ATTTTGTGACTCACTATGTAGCTTGACACATTTGTACCATAGTTGTATAATTTATAATTGCATAATTCATCATAGTAAAGATAGGCGAAATAAAAATTTCAACAACTTTATTGGGAAACAAACATCTTTAGCAGACCTTAAGAGACTTTACAAACAAAATGCGGATATTTTGTGTTATAAATATTTAGAAATATAGTATTTTAGTTGTATATTTACGTGTATTTTTTCTGAAATGGTTCTTTGAAAAACAGAGTCACGCAGAAAAAGCGAAGAATATTCACATTCTTTTTAGAAGACATAGTATCTTCGGGTTTATTATGAATACTTAGCAAACGAGCATCCCAGCAGATTATTTTTGCACTGCCTTTTGTTTTGAAACAAAATAAACGTAAAATTCAAGAGCAAATGTTTTACACGTTAGTTTTCATTGGTCTTGTGCACGATCCTATTGTTTTACGTTCATCATAATAATTCTACTAAATCCTGACAAAATCAGAATAAAATGGCCTAATATCAATTTGTGAATACAATCCCCCGGTCGACTGAGTATTCTCTCGCTGTATTTTCACCTTTTAAAAATATGCTTATCAGACCGGTCTATCCTTCTCATAAAGCTTTCATTTATTTCTTGAGGAATTTCCAATCATCATTGTGAAGAATTGCTTATGGATCCAGAAGTAAAAATGGCCGCCAGCTACCGCAGCCTTGGGATTCTGTATAAACGAGGTGGAAAGAGCAACAAAAACAAAAACAAACGATTGCTGAAACTTTCGTTAACGTGAGTGAACTCTGCGAAGAGGAATCGTTCACATTGCCTATGTTCCAGATTCCACAAAAGTATCCATGGGTCTCTGAGAGAGAAACGGTAATCGTTTTTTTTTTGCATCAATGGAACCGGTTTTATTTCATTTCCTCCCATTGATTTGAAGCTTAGAATGATCGTGTCCTGACAATGCATGAATATCCAATCTGTGCAGCTGCGACACCATTTTCAAAGATTAAAAGAAATGCAGTTTTTGAACTAATATTTGTGATACACCATGCATCAGGTAATTCTTTAGAAAATGCCAATGTTGAATGACTGGTTAAAAAAAAAGCCATATATGTCTGTTCGTAACAATGTGTGCGCGGTTGGAGTGGATGGACGCTCCAGTTGTATAGTGATCCCTTCTAAATAAATGTTTTTTTAGATGTTTTCCCCATTTGCAATTTATTTCCAGAAAAAGAAAAAAACCTTCTGAATTATTCTATTAATTTAAAAAAAAACACGTGTATATTTGAGTGTGTGTGAGCGAGCGAGCGACAGAGAGACTAATATAGTCCAGTGCATTCACAGGTACATAGAATGAAACATATTAATAAGTAATTTCTATTGTGAGAACGTATAAGCAATGGAATTCCTAATGAGAAGAAAACAAATAATGACAATATTATTTGCTTACAAATCTCGCAAAGGATAACAGAACGGAATAACTTAATACCATATTGATCAGTGTTTGGGTAACATTACGATTAGAGCTCATCAACATCTATCATGTCTTTCTTTTGGAGAGTAACATTTAATTGAATGAACCCCAAAATAAAAATGCATGCTTTCATTCGGATTGCAAGCGAGAACAAGATATCATCTTATTCCCATTCCTTATTTTTTTTAGATCAACGTTGAATTTAATTGACATCATTTAAGAGTCCGATGTTAATTTCGAGCAGTATAAATCACAGACTTTTAAAATGTACAGTGGCATTTATTCATATAGAAAACTGCAACGATTTCCCAAAGTTGAAGTTCAATGTTAACCACGAGTGCATCCTTTGGGTTCAAAACTTGTTTCAAAATAACCCAGACCGAACCACGGCCTTGCAGCAATTTGTTGTTTTTTGTGCATCAACATCTCAATGGCGAAGTTTTACTTTGATTGTCTTTCCAGCGATAACTGTTGCAAAAGATCCCAAAGACCACATCAAAGCCAAGTATCTCATCCGGGTATCAGCAATCTCTCTCGGTCTGGACTCCTGTGGATGCAGCGCCTACACAACACTAATGCACTGATCTGCTAAACTCCCACTATCTGCATTGCGTCTCGTTTATATCAAATATAGCTTTGCTGTTGAGGTTCGGGCCTCAAACTGACAGCCACGACATGAGGATATTGATATCAGGCTCCCCACCCACTCTGTAATGTTCACGCGGTGAGCATTCGTGTAAATAACTGTGGGAGAGAAAATTAAAAATGACGGAGCAAACCAATCAGAACTGGAATTATCCATTACCAGAGAAATATAAAAGGCGATACTTACGGTCATAGAAGTGTGATAACTGGTAAATACAGATTGATTTAAAAAATGGCGCATAGGAGTGCATCCCAGTGTTTGAGTTTAATCGGGCACGCTATCCCAGCTTCCTTTTTCGTTTGGGATGTTTATTAAACATCTGTAACTCGGTTTGCTTCATTCTCGTTAAACGCCTGCAGTCGGACTACATGCGAGGCACGGGAACACATTCGTGTAAAATCGCTCCCCCTCGAGTAAGAAACGGCCAAAAAAATATATATTTTTGTTGACTTCGCACCAAAAGACGGGTAACATTCACTGTTTACAATCTCAATCCGGCTTTTGCCAGACAAAGGCCGCGTTTTAAGTTCTTTTGGGGGACGCCTGGTTGCTCACGTTAGCTGGGAATGTCAGGGATTCCATGTAGGTGGCGTCTTTAGCTCACCCCTGGTCAGCAATAATGTCTATCTGGCATCTGCTGAAGCTGATTGTCAAAGCCGCTATTAAAATCCTATGCAAACTAAACTACTTCGTTTCTCATAGGCATCCTGCATTCAATTATATTACGAAAAGTACCGCACATGTGGTGGAATTTGCCTATTTCTTATCGGGACATTATTCTGCCTTTTTTTCAGCTTCAATTTTCAATTTCCACATTAAGCGTAGATATTGTTGCGGGGCCAGAATTACGAGTAAATCCGATTTTGCCTGAAAGCCGTTGCATAATGTTTTCATTTCGGATGCTATTTTTAAATTCTAGACCATTCAAAATTATATCTTATTGTTTGCATGTTTTAATTTATATTAAAAAACAAGCTGTTTAATAACAAGGTTGCAATAAAATAAGAAGAAGAAGAAATGTGTAAAGTATTATAGGAAAAAGCAGTAAAAAAGGAATGTCATCTAAATTTCAAAACAAAAGCTTTTTATTGGGCACTGCAAAACCGTATTATAAAGCTATATATAATTATTATTGATTTCTGAATTAAAATAAAAATATTTTTTTCAGCTAAAGAAGTAAATTATCCCGATGAATGTATTATATTCACTGTAATTGATAAAGGGTGAATAATTTGGCTTTCGCAGAAGAGCGAAAAGATACAATATGCACTTCAGGGCACCTAAAGGGTATTTCAGAGCATTTCTCTGCATTTACTGAAGCTAAACAATTGCAAGAATGCGGCTTAAATTGTTAACCGGTGATTGTTAATGGTACTGGCAATCAAACTTTTTGTTCTGTGAAATTGAATGCAGTGCAAACCTAAGATTTTCTGGCAAATATATAAGAGAAAGGTATTTTTTTGAGAGATTGTGTTAGTTTTGGCCCTGCCCAGTTGCTTTTGGAAGAGCAACACTTTAAAATCTGAAAGCAATGTCTAAACTTTAACTTTGACTATTTTCAACGATTGCATTCATTTGAACCAGACCCGGGCACATTACATGGTTGTTAAATTCTTAACGTGCATTAAAATATTTGAGATTGCTGCACAACCTTACCTTAAATAGAGTTAATTAGACATTAGTTAATTATTCTGTTCCTTCCCTAAACACACACTGTATTTTGAATCCTTGCGTCTGCACTAAAACTCGGTTTGCTAGTTTAAAATCATTGTCTTTTTTATGCAGTTATGAAAATAGTCGGGCCCGCAACTAATACCAAGTGAGCAACATTCCCTTTAGCTGCTCTTCCTGATGTTGTTTGCTTCTCCGTGAACTTGTTTTCAATGAAGGCATCTGAAGTGACGATGCACCCCGAGCCATACGTTCACAGAAACAAACCTCGAATGCCAGATGAGTTAGTGCGTTAGATTTTTTTCCCCAAACATTTCCCACAATTCACATAAGCAAACCTTTAGTTGTTTTTTTTTAAAGCCTCGTTGATAATGGGGAAGGGTTTTGCTTGTTGTGGAGTTGAACGTGACCATGCCCGCTCGTCCGCCAGCCTGAGGAAGCATTAACTTCGAAAAACGCTTAATTCAACGCATTCTCTTGTCAGCTTTGCAGAGATTTATATCCACACTTTATGGCAGAATTCATCTCACATTGATTTTGGATAGCTTCAAGAAAAAAATCTCCAAGTTGGGGACGGAGTTACTTATTTTCTCTCTGAGATCTAAATATGGCTGTAATAATCTAGTGTTTGAGGCAATATAGGCTCGAGCGTGCATAAAACGCTGTGTAAGAATTTAAAAATCGATCTTTTTACCATTACAAAGTTCGCTAAAAGCTTCTTGCGGAGCTTTGACCACCAAATTATCCATAATTTCAAAAAATTCTGCTGGCGAAATCAGCAAGTTTCTACAGTTGTCCCCATGAAATAAAACAGGGAGAAAAGCAAATGGAGATTATTGGTGAATAAATTAACCGAAATGAAAATGCTTCTGTAGAACAAATATGTAGGAAATGTGTTGAAAAATCACTCTCTCTAGAAAATAAGTGGGTTTTGATATATTTCCAGAGCGGAAATCGTTAGTTGTTATTTCCAGATCCATCCTCGCTTCAAGTCAGCTTGTTGGACCGACGTGCAGTAAATTTGCCAAATGCGCCTTTGGTGTGACGGTTAAACACCTTCACGGCATTATTCGAGCTTTTCTCCCCCCCCCCCTTCTTGTAGGTTTGTGCAGAGCTGAGATGTAAAGAGCTTTGCTCGCTTTTGGTGCGAGGGGGGAAATCCAAAGTGATGCATGTCAATTTCTCCAGGCATCTGGTCACATGACCGGCTTGTCCCTACGATGTATGGAGATACATTTCCACGTCAGCTTACGTTTCCAAATTTTTACTCCGCGGATCAGCTTCAAAGAGGCAGCAGCATCTAAGGACCATGTTTAGCTCCGCGAATGCAAGCTATTCCTGCGCTAGGGGACCCCAAGAAAGCGATGATGGATTTTGATGAGCGGGTTTCTTGTGGCTCTAATCTCTACTTGCCTAGCTGCACCTATTATGTCTCGGGCCCGGATTTTTCCAGCCTTCCTTCTTTTTTACCCCAAACGCCGGCTTCTCGCCCCATGACGTACTCGTATTCTTCTAATATCCCTCAAGTCCAACCTGTGAGAGAAGTTACCTTCAGAGACTATGCCCTCGATCCTTCAAATAAGTGGCACCACAGAGGCAATCTGTCCCATTGCTATTCCGCAGAGGAGCTCATGCACAGGGAATGTCTGCCTGCTGCCACCATGGGCGAGATGTTAATGAAAAATAGCGCCAGTGTTTACCACCCCAGCTCTAACGCGTCGTCCAGCTTCTACAACCCCGTGGGCAGGAACGGTGTTCTGCCACAAGGGTTCGATCAATTTTTCGAGACTGCCTACGGTTCCGGTGAAAATCAGCAGTCGGAGTATTGCGGGGAGAAGAGCCCGGAGAAAGTGCCGTCTGCAGCAACTTCAAGTTCGGAGACTTCCAGGGTGTCCGTGGAGAAGGAGACGAGTCCCGGGAGAAGCAGCCCGGAGTCTTCTTCCGGCAACAATGAGGAAAAAGCCAGCAATTCCAGTATGTAGACTCAGTGCCCACTTGTGAGAGAAAGTTTGCGATCTCGCGTGCTGCTGTTAAAAATTTTATGTGCTGTTTTATAAGCATATAAGGGGGTTTATGGATGGCCTGTAGATTTCCCAACAAAACTTTTTTTTTATATAAATGACAGGATCACGTGCTCAGCTCTGAAATTGGCCGTGAAATAACTCCAGCCAATCGCTGCATTAAAATGCTCCCCCCTGTACCTCAAAAATCGAGTTTGGGGTTCAAAATCTCATTACTTAAATTATTAGGTGTAAATTCATGAAAAGATTACGTTTGGCCGCTTCTGATCTCTCTGTGTTCTAGTACAGACTAGCAATACTATAAAACACACGTGTTGACACAAAAACTCTATTTATAGGTTGTATTCAGCTCCATAAGTAACCGCTTTGGAACATAATAAGGCAAAATGACATTTTTAACAGCTACATAAATAGTGTAATACCTTCAGCATTGAAGCCTTATATCATAAAAAGTTATAACAGAACCGAGTAGCTATATTTTATTTAATAATCACATTTTATAGCTGGATGTCCGAGCGCTACAGTCTTAAAGCTCCATATTACGTTTGAAGGTTGCCCCATGTCGCGTTTCACAATACACAATAATAACTATAATGCGCAAACCCCCTCGCCTGATGAAGTCAAGTTAGAAGTAGTTCCCAGCATTTTTTAACATAAAGCTGAAGTGTTTCATTCCCTCCTAGCCTTCATAAGCTGAGCAACATACTGACAAAATGAAAGTTTGCACATCTGTACAGTTATTATTTCAGCCCCAACTTTTTTTTTCTTGTCTTTAATATCCCAATTGAATTGCGATGTTTCACGGCTCCTCTGCCCCAAATAGACAGAGAATGTTTAGTGTTAGTCTCACTTGGAGTTTCAAAGCATATGGCTGGAAAGGGAGACCTGCAGCTTTGATATCAAATTGGATCAGTACTGCAATCTCTGCAATTGCTCTACAAACTATAAAGGTATTTAAGAACATGTATTTGCATTTTAATGGCCTAGGCCAATGCTGAAAGAAAATGGTGATCAAAATGGATGTAATCCAATGTTAGACTTTGAATTTGTTCACAGTGCGGAATATGTAAACGCACACAAAGTTAATTAATTTCGTTTATCAGTGGTTTCACACACTGTTTACCTGGTGCAGGTGGCCAACGTGCACGGAAAAAGAGATGTCCATATACCAAATACCAGATCAGGGAATTGGAAAGAGAATTTTTCTTCAGTGTCTACATCAACAAAGAAAAGCGGCTTCAGCTTTCCCGGATGCTCAACCTCACCGACCGCCAAGTCAAAATTTGGTTTCAGAACAGGAGGATGAAGGAAAAGAAACTAAACAGGGACCGCCTTCAGTATTACACCACAAATCCACTGCTCTAAAATTATCCTGAGGTTAAAAGAGGCACTTCTTCTCAACTTTCCCCTCTGTGAAGAATCTCCGGCAGAAACCAGAGGTAAAAGACCCCTCAAGTTCGAGTTTGGGAGCAGACACTTTAATTCGGCTTTGACGGGATGAACTACCTTGAGGACGCTCGGACGCCTAAGCAGATTTTCTCAAACTTTAAACTGTAACTGGAACCAATCTCCTTAGTTTATTTCACATTCGCAGACAGGCACACCACAGACACACCATTACGTTTCCAGTCGTGCTGTTCGTGTGCATTGTACAAAAGATTAACGTCGGGAGACCAAGGTGAATGCCTGGAGTTAGTTCAGCGAACCCGAGGTCAAAAAAGAGAAAGTTTCGAACAAAAAATGAGATTATAAATGGCTCCGGATTTCAGCATCGGAGCCACACAAGAGAGACTCGACTGTTGTGGATCAGCTGCAATAATTTTTTAAAAATAAAATGTGTGCATGCTTTAGATTAGGACGCTTTCAGTGGATCTCAATGCCAATTCCAACTTATTGGACATATACATTATTTCTTATTTTCAGTTGCAACGATTAGCAAGCAGCTGCATTGTTCTTTTGCAGCTGAATTTTCTGTATAGCGCGATAAGTGTCCAAAGCAACTGATGCCTGTTCATCGCATCTTAGAATATGGATATGTGCCTGTTTATATATAGATACTTAAAGATAGATTACAAGGTACAATGCATTCCTATAGCAATTCTAAATGTTTTCCAATAATTTACATCCAATAGACCCCACACCACCACAGATAAAAAGCATGTATGTGAATATCCAACCAAAAAAAATTGAGATAAAGACACGGCGTCTAAAGAAAATAAGTTTTGTGTTAAATTCACATAGGACGCAAAGAAAAATAAGTGTAATTTAATTATTTGAAGACGTTCTGAGTGACGGGGTTCAATATTGATCATACTGTCCTTTAAAATAGAACTGATACATAATCATTTTTGAAAATGGGATATTTAAGCTGCTTCAGTAAGTCCGCGGGTGTTTAATTCCAATTTGACACACTGTGCGCCAACATTTTCAAATATAATTTACTTTTAACTTTTCGAATAGAATAGATAGTACCAGTGTTAGCACACTTGAGCACAACATGATGTAAATATATCGCTCATTTTGGTATAATATGAATGTGTATGGACTGTTTTCAATAAGAATAGGGTTTCGAAAATGCTGCTCATGCATCCATTGTTTTCATAGATGACTCTAAGGTGACAAATCTGCCGTATTAATAATTCTTAAAAAGCCACCCTTATCCGTGTGAACCAAAGACAGAAATTAATTTCCTTATTTGCACAATGGCAACATTTCCTGTACATTCACCATATAAGCTTTTATAGGCCGATATATCCATAGGCCGTATTGTACAAATATTGTCTACACGTTACCTGTTCACTTATACCAGCCTTAAAAGTGTTGTGTTTACTATTCTTATTTAATTTAAATGTTTCATTGTGATATGTACCATGGCCATCTCTAGAAAATAATTACATGCCTTTATGTGCTAATCGAATTGACAGATGACAGTGCTGCAGCGTAGAATAGTATCCATGTCATGTTCTTCGATACGTCCAATTCAATCTGCGGTACACTGAATTCAGTATGAGTTGAAATATGCACCATAGAAAGTGGTGCTTTTTTACATTCAGCGACTGGTGTTAAAATAGGAAAGAGATTCTTTTAAAAAAAAATCAAGTCTTAATCAAACGCTGTTTAATTAAATGTGATATCAAAATTTCCCTAACATTTGTATATAATTTATATTTATCAGTCTGAAAAAGTGTAAGAATTGCATGTACACGTTCAGATGGCGCACAATGAAATCCAAGGTAGAAGAGGTAACTAAAGGTGCTTTTTATTGAGGCTTTTTTTGAACTTTGTCGGGTCCTCAACGCAAACTAAAACCACCTGCAAGTATTGTATTACTGTGCGTTTCATGTACGTAATAAACAATCATTAAAGCTGGATAACATTCCACACATACTATATATATTAGTACGCTTCTTTCTGGGTTACTTTTTAATGACTAAAGACGTTGGAATCAGACAGTAGACAAATATAAATACAAGTATTTCTTAAGACACAGTTGAAAACAATGCCATTTAAAATTGGTTTACATTAGAAATAATAGAACACTGCTTTTAATTAAACTCAGTTTAGTTTGTGAAAGTATTTGCAACTGCAAGTTGGATAATGTCGGGACTCTTCATCCTTTAACTGAAAAAACACATCTCCAAAAGTTAGGTGGGATTTTTCAGGATCCTTCTGTGACAGTGATTGCCTTGGTTTTCATTTCTGTTACATATTTTAATATCAGTTTGCATTCTGCTTTCCTGCCTGTTTACTGGCTTTGAACTTCTGTTGCGCCATGGACGTCACCTCTAACCTTGGGGGTGAAGGAATAACAAGGTTTGAAGCTTCCATACACCGGTTACACTCCCTCCGGAGGTGACAGGAGCCCAATACGAATTATAAAAGATTGATCAAGACGACTGGCAGAGTTGCTGGCGGGTTATAAACCTGTGCCGAGGAAGCTTAATATTGCGTGCGAATTTCTTTTAATAATGGATAGCGAAAGCTGTAATTAGAAGTTGTATTTCGCGTTTAGCTTTAGGGAAGAGGGAGTTAAGACTGGGGATGTACCAGATTAAGGGGCTGAGGCATCTGAGGCAAATGACAAGGGATCGTCTCTGTTGCTGTGGTTACTAACAGCAGGACAAGTCATAAAGATCGTTTTAATGTGGCTATCTTCGTCTTTGCAAGCTTACGGCAAATGGATCCAGAATTCAAACGCTTGGGATCAAATTCAAAGAATCCAATGTTAGCTGTTTCGCACATTGTAGGTATCCCTTTCCAGCCTTCGTTGTTGGTTTTCGTGCGGTGTACGTGAAGAAGCTGTGATCATGGCTTTTTTCAGAAGGACCGAAGTCCACACGGTGGCGCCATTTAGATCAATGTCAAAGCCGCTGTGGAGCAACAAAACCTGTAAGGAAAATACTTTCTCTTCTTCGTTGTAGCACTTTTTACCAATTCGAAAAAGAAGTGTATTCGTTTCTTAATATAAATGTATTGCTTCCGAGTTTGGAGAAATGAGTGAAAGCCAAAGCTTTTGGAATCTCCGAAGAAAGCCCCAAAAAACCGTCGTTTGAAAGACACAAAAAGGTAAGTGATCAGTCTGCAAGCATTTACGGCAAGGACTTTTATTCACCCCAAGTCCATATCTCAAGTTAAAAATCTTTCAGTCATTTATTATTTTTACTGCATTGCTACCAGTGGAAATTATAAGTTTTATATTGAACTGCACGTGAGAATTATTACCCGAACCCATGAGAATTATGATTTCACTTTTATATCCGCATAGAGAACCTCCAGTAAAGGCAATGTGCACTGTTATTCCAAACCCAGTAGCAGACTTGAGCGAGCTTTGAAACTAAGGCAGCGTTCAAGTGTACCTTAAGTTCAATTAAAGTATTTAAAACATAATCACTTTTGAGCAGATAATAATTTAGAAATGCACCTTCGGTTAGTATTCTAGTCAGAAAGTTTACTTCGGCCGATAAAATTCGTTTTCCTTTATTTATTCCCCCTTTCCTTTTTTTTTAAAAAATGCTTATTTCCGTTGTTGGGTGTTCTCTCCTGTGGTATAATGTATATACAACACTAACATAAAACATAGGGCTATTACAATTTCACCAGTAATGGGAAACGTGGTTTGGCTTTGGATATCTGGGTAATATTTTTCAGCGTCCTAGTTGTTAAAATGAAAATATATATTTTTTAAAACCTTAAAATAAAGTTAAATCCACTGGAGAGCTGTCCTTTTTGGACCTAATATTTAACATGTTTCCTCAACTCGTGGAACCGTCTGCCTTTTTTGGTCTTTTGGCTGCATCTGTGTAACCACAAAGGACAGATTGCTCTTTCTCTTCCTTTTTTCTAAAAAAAGGCAACATTTCCTAAAATAACTTATTCTTGGAGGTTGTATTTTGTTAGCTTTTTTCTAGGAACTCTTCCCTATAGAGTTAAAACATAAACCGAATGGAATTGAGTTGGTATGTTGTCGATTTTGTTGACGATTTGTCATTTATACGTCCGTAATTCAAATATCTGACCATTTTGTTTAGGAATACGTGACTGCGAAATGGTGTGAAACATAGCAGTTTGTTATAATTGTATATATTGTGCTTTTTATTTCAGTACGCGTCTGTGCTCTGCGCTTTTTCGTTAAATGTGTTTTTTATTTTGATTGGTTAGTTAGCAGGTTATTTCTGTTTTTCACTACAATATGTTATTATAGAAAATATTGATGACGGTTCGTACACTGAGGTTTGTTTATATTTGCTTGTCACGCACTGATTTTTAAAAAAATCTTTGTACAGATCACTTATTTAATAAACACGGCAAATCTCAATATAATTAACCATAAAGTAGCTGTGACCAAATGAGTTCAGCACGTATCTCCATCAAACAAAACGTATTTCAATTCCGAGCTTAATAAGTGAAGTGAAATAATCAAATAATTATTTTATATCGTTTAGAATCACATTTCAACTGAGCACTGTCGTCGTTGATCCTAAATTTTTACCAGAATGCATTTATTTTGTGCAAAACGTCACGTGACGCTAATTTGCAATAATAATTAACTCTGCTGCTGAGCTTGACTGAGCACTGCTCTAACATATCATCTGCGAGAATTGAAGGTTCATTCAAACTTGGAGTGTGTAAATTCTGAATGAAATTCATGCAGAATTTCTTCTTCATTTACACAAAGCTGTTGTGCGTGTTGATAGGTGTACGCGTGTGTCTGTATGTACAGTATATGTGTGTATATAATGTTGTATGTCTGTTTATTTAGTAAGTGAATTGCTGATGAAGCACAACAAGTTTTATGTATGAATTAACGTCAGGTATTAATTTGATGATTGCGTTTGATACAGTTAGCTCTTTTCACGTTGAATTATGATCCTTGCAAAATGACTTTTTCTCTTAGCGTGCCCTGTTTTAACAATGGCTCAAGAAAAGATTGTGTCTTACAACTTTATTGTGCGATTAGTTTAATAGAGTGTTATTAGTGATCCGCGCATGTCATGATGTGTTCTTATCTGGAATCAGCAAAACTTCAATATTTAATGCACAAGTCAGTGACTGATGTAACTTCAGACCACAGCGCCCTCTGGGTCTAGAATCAATGCTTGCACCACAACGGTATACCAACGATTCATTCATTCAGTGTGTCTATGTCTGTCTGTGTGTGTATCTGTGAGTGGGGGGGGGGGGGGGGGGGATGCTGGGGTGGTGGTGGGGGCGGTTGTAAGTGAATTAACTTTTTACTTTTAAAATAAGTCCTTTAACCTATCGATATAACGTAAAATAGAATGGCAAAACAAACTGCAACCAGTGAATCATACCTCACCCTTCACCACAATAAAATAAGAAGGCAATTGTTATCTTTATTAGTGCGCAATTTTAAGCTTCCAAGGAACCTTCTTGTATTATAGAATTACTAAAATCCAAGCCTTTAAAACCACTTAGAAACCAGAACGATTGATTAAACAATTAGACTCACCAGGTAACAGATAAGTGCACTCTAAAAATTCTGGGAGAAATGCGGGTGCGGATTTTCCACGTGAGAACTTCTAGCACCTAGGAACAGTAAGAAGCAGTACCAGATAATAAGGATCAGTAAGAAGCAGTGAAGGAAGCTAAAGAACAAACACGGGAACCGACCTACTGCTGTGGTGCTTTTATTGTAACTGTTAAGAAAATAGGACAGTCTAGACATTCTAAATTTGGATTGAACCCTGATTGGTTTTTAAGGTTGGCTAATTTCTTTTTCCACTGTTTCACACAAAACACAGAGTTACAAACATTTGTTCTACATAACCAGCTGGCTTTTTCCACTAACGAATATAGATGCATTTTAGCGGTGACTCGCAACGCGCATATTGGTCTGCGTGCAAAGTCTGTCTTGTAGCTGCTTGACTCCGATTAAGCGAACAAGATAATCATTATGTTAAGGAATATTATACTGAAAGACAGTTTTGTTTTAAACAGAAAAACGCAAGATATTATAGCACAGGGTTACTGTAGGTCGTTTGTTTCAAGCGGATGAGTGGCAAGTTGAACGAGGGACTGCATCTGGCGAAACTTTATTTTGTTATTAAGAGCTGAAACAGTGCGCCACACAGAAATCGCCTTTACACACCTATTTTGCAGTATGTTGCACTGTATTTTATTTCTGCAGTGGTGGAGGTTTGGCGTTTTGATAAGTTATTAAACGACTTTAAATTGAGCATTAAAACACACACTACTCCTTTGTATGGAAGAATCAAACTATTGAATGCTAGCGTTCTCGTCAGTGCAATTCTATGCAGGAGACTAAGCGAGAAATTTGTTTTAATTGTATATTTTACACCAAGACTTCATTTTCAACGTGGTGAGTAACATGGACATTCTTTTTGAATTCTGCCCTGACCCCCGCTGTGTCACCTTCACCATGGCCTAAGCAATTGAATTGCCGCCCTTTTTGGAATAAAGCCAGTAAGCAAATCTGTCAGCGGTATAAAACAGTGCAACCATTTATTTAAAAGCATACTAAATAAAATCAGAATCCGTGCCTTCCATTATAAATTACCCAAATGAGTACAGGTTATTAAATAAGCGAAACACGATGGCGTGTCTAAATAAAATCCAACAATAACGTTTGTTTAATAATAGTATGCTAGATAATGTCTATATCTATCATTGTGTGTGTGTTTTATATGCATTTATGTTTGAGTGCAGTTGAGTGAACATTTTAAGTGGAAACTTTTTAAAGTGGACACTGGCATCAGAATCAACTTAGTTGTTAAAACTATATCACTGAACAGTACAATATAAAGTGGTGTTCGTAACATTCTATTGACATAATTTCTGACAGCATTAATTCTGCTACATTTGAAGCTTGGGAGATTTTTTTTTGGCACAGTATTCTCAGTTCCGAGTTTGTTAAAGTATCCCGGTCAGAAAATTTGTTACCATACCAATATCGATAGGTTTTATTAAAATGAAAGGCGCTCCAGTTCACAGTCATACCTTTCTTTGGTGATGCAATATTGGTTCCTTTCTACGTGTCATTTTAATTGATAAGACATGAGACATTGCAGTTACTATTTAATGTTGATGAAATGACTGAACTAAATAGGTAAGATGATGATTTTGAGCTTTTATAGAACAATTTATGGAAAGCATCAGGTTCTATTTAAAAAATAGAGTACCGTCAAAATAGACTGTACACATGTACATAATGCATACACATACTAAGTAAATATATTTAATATAAAGTAGAACTGAATTCTACTTTATAGATTAACTAGTTTACATTTACATGTATATACTATGCAACTGATATGGTCGATATGTATTATACGTTCACTATATCAATCAATGAACTTTTTTTTATTTTAACTCCACATTTTACTAAATTTATTTGTACAACGAGCCAAGGAATATTTCGTTTTCTATCTTCCGTTTATATTTGGGATCTTCGGTTAATTTACATCGGAAAAGATAATCACTTCATTTATTCCTGATCAGTAACCGCTGAATCATTTAATCGTCTCCTGCAAAGGAATCGGACAAATGATATCCCAGCAAATTAGTAAGGCTTGAAAGTCAGTGAAAAAATAAGTCTTCAGTGAATACAACAACCAAATTAACATGAGGGTTTTCCCCCTAATTATTTGACTCTGCTGACTATATATATTGTATTTTCCCCCTTATTTATTTGACTCTGGTAGCCGTGTATATTGTGTTTGGGTATCTATGCAAAAGTGATTTCAGACAATTTCCCCCCAGAATTACGTTTCTGTAAACATTTCTGTATAACCTGTTATAGCTTTAGCATTAAAATCAGAAGAAGGGAAGGCTGCATTTAATGCCCAATGGATGTTAGTCTTCGATGCTGAGTTGTCCGGAAAAATGATTTATTTAAAGACGGATTAAAATAAACGTTCAAATGCACCCTGATAAAGCAAACTATCCCAGAACCTCCAATTGTTCCAATAAAACAGGTCAACGTAAAGGCAGATACAACGCGTCAGTGTTTTCAGATTTATCTCTCAGGGAACACATCATTATCTCTCTTTCAATCCTAAACTTTAAGCTGAGATAGCCATTTTTATTTTTAAAAAAAGGGACGTGGGTTAAAGCAGCCTAAAAGAATGACAAATATTTACTCTAGTTGAGAGTTTGAAAAGGAGTCACTGCGCACACACAATGGCCCGTACACTTGAACGGCGAGGCGCCAATTTTAGGACTTCACAAAGTGTTATACAGTACAATATATGTAATGCTATTGCAAGTTAGAGATAACCAGTTAGACATAATATAACTATCCGCGGCCACAGGTGAATTCTGAGGTTTTCTCCTTAAATCGGTGTTTAGCAAAGAGTGAAAGGCTTGTGATGTCTGGTTTCAGTCTTAAGTTCACGATCTAGGCTAAGAACGAGTCCGGGCTGTGAGAGCAGTCAGCCTGCTCTGCTCACGCTTTTAACTAGAGTAGCCTTTCGCCGCAATGCCTTTCAAGCTTCAGCTGCAATCACTGAAATATAGACAACACACACTTTACCTCGTTTGGAGTAATGTGTCGGGATGTTTGCGCATTTATTGGCGCCAGGAAGAGAAATAGAGAAAACTTGCAATACACGGGATCAATACAGCTTGGCGGAAAAATATCTTCGTTAGTCTTTCAACGTCAAAGGGCAGTAAAGTACTGTGTTACCCATACAGTCTGGTTGCATTCTGAAGCTGTTTCTTGCATCTTTTCTCCTGTTGTGCAACATATAGCCCATTTGATTTGTACCATCCTCCTACTCGGCAGCGTTAAACGTGTTTATTGATTGTTAACAATGTCAGATGTAACAACCAAGGGTGTGTTAGGAAACTGGAAAAGAAACGCATTTTTTTAAAATGAAACACCCTTGGAGCTTTTTTTCCCAGCGTGTTTTGGGAATGTACACAGCAGCCACGAGGCCGGCCTCCAAGGCTCATTCCTGCCTATAAAGCTCAAAATGAGACTCCCAGTGTCCTTGGAAACTGGAAGACCAATCCACTATCCACATTAGAGTTTTACTGGGAATCCGAGTTATAAACGTTAAGCCTTTCCCAAAATATACCAATAAAATTATCCAAATATGGCATAAATTTATTAAGCAATCAAATTTTTACCAGAAAAAAATCAGATAAATATCCTGTCTCCAACACATTAACACACTGCTGGTTGCCATTTGTGTACAGTAGCTTGAGCATTTATATATGAGAGTTGAGTAGACATTGCATTTAGTTTTTCCCCATTAAATCTTTGTCTACTCCCATGATTATATGTGTCATAGGCACAGTGGGACTGCAAAAGAAACATTTTCAGGTTAACTTAGGAAGCCCACATTTCTGGACTATGGTGATAATTTTGAACAGTCATTTATGTTTCTAAATAAGCAAATAACGAATCCTTTGAGACGGCCCTTAGCAAACACAATGCATGAGAGCTGGGCTTCCTATCCCGCTGACTTTTACACGAACTATATTTTAAATAACCTGTTTTAGATTAACACCCAATGTTAACAACATTTTCAGAGCTTTAGACCAGCGCCCAAAGTAAAAACAAAAAAAAACTATGTGGGGGGGGGGGGCGGGCGGGGGGGGAGGGGGGTAGGAAGAGAGGAAGTATGCTTGTGCTCAAATAGACTCGTAAAGCGCAGCTATTGCCCAAGACTGAAGGTTAAATCCTTTGTCACTGTGAAATCACACTGTTTACTCCCGATCCGAGCTTGCTTTCAGGCGTCAGTCCTCGCTGTACTTGATTGCAAAGGTGGCGATCAAAATATGCAGAACGTTACTTACACAGAACGGCCTCTCTTATTTTTTGGAGCTGTATTATACTGTAGCACATTGTACAGATATGCCACGAAGTCAACACTTCGAAGATGTATACCACACACAACTACAAAACGCTGTGTAGGTTATCTTAATTTAGAAGGAAAGCTTTGATTTGATGGGCGAAAACGTCTTTGCTTTCGAAAATTCTACAGGCACAGTAATGATGGATAATGGGTTGTTTTGATCTGTAATTTTACTTTAATATGACCCCTTGTCAAAGGAAAGTTTATATTAAACCGGAGTTCACGCTCAAACTCCGCATTACCCTTTGAAGTTACTAAAAGTTTGGAGATTTCGAACAAGAATTCTCTGTTACGTTTCTCTTCCGAGTCTTGTAAGCAGGGTTTGCTTGTTTTACATTTAACCGGACTACAAGTAAGGTGCTTGTAAATTCAGTTTAACAGCCTTGTTTTTTATTTTTAAGACAAAATCCTGAGGTCAACGTTATAGATGTGGTAAATGCTGTCTCCTCCAGTTCAAACAGCTGAAAATATACAGTTAAATATTTTGAAGCAAATTCTTCGCAAAGCTTGAAATGGTAAGTATTAAATTTGAAAAAAATGTCATTGCCGAGAATCAGTCTTTCTGCACTGCGCTTTGTAAATATACAGAAAACGTTGGTGCCGCTTTATTAGTTTATTATCGTTGACCTTCTACACTTAACCCGCAGAGCTACAGTCCATTTCACTAACCTACTAAACTCGACACTACAAACATTAAACTAGAAATGCACACTAACGCCTACATGTTTGGGAGCGTTTTACAGCACGCGTGGCATAACAATAATAATATTGTTTTGTTTAAGTAAAACCAGGTTCTAGTGTTGCTCATAGCTGTAATTATCAATTAAAAATTCCAGTTGCATCCGAGTGACCGCAATGTGATGGTCAAGATTACTTATGTTTACTCGGCTTATACTGAGTCTCGTAAACCCAACGTACCTTTTACTTGAAGCATACGATTACAAATGGACATTATAACAGTACTAAACCAGATATTTTGTCAGCTGCGGGTGGTGGGGGGTGGGGGGGGGGTAATTTAATATTAAAATTATTGCTAGAAAGTAAAAACGAAACATAATGGAATTTTACACATTACTAATTCTTTTATTACACAATATTTGAGACTAGGTTTAATTTTATTGAGTAGACGTGATGTTAATAAACTAGAATGAGGGAATAAAGATGCATTTAGGAGCCTTTGCAGTTTACCCAATACATATGGTGACCTTTTTGCAGTTCTAGTGACGTAGCTACTCCGGAGGCGGGGCTTATGGCCAGCTCTGCCATTTGATTGGCTCGTGCCCTTGTCCTGCTGCGGAGGTATCTCTAATCATATTCAGCGTGTTTGCACAAGAAATGTCAGCCTGAGCGGGATATCTTCTGCTTTCGCCAAATTACCCCACAACAATGTCATGCTCAGACAGCCCGGCAGCTAACTCCTTTTTAGTAGATTCTCTGATCAGCGTGGGTCGTGGTGGGGACGGAACTTATTACCCCAACAACAGCCTATACCTGCCGCCTGCGTCTGATCTGTCTTACGGCATCCAGAATTGTGGACTTTTCCCATCTTTGAGCAAACGAAGCGAGAACAACCCTCAGAGTATGATCCTGACTTCTCATCCCTATATGAGCGGGATGGAAGTTTGGTCAGATCCTCCTAGATCTTGTCGTATGGAGCAACCTGCAGCCCAGCAAGTAGCAGCGTGTTCCTTTCCCCAGAATATCAAAGAAGAAAATGCATATTGCTTATATGATTCTGAGAAATGCCCCAAAAGCGCAACTGCTACAGATCTCTCCACATTCCCAAGACTGACATCAGAATCGTGCTCCATTAGTGACAGTACTAATAGCGGCGGGGTTCCTGTCCCCGGCTACTTCCGCCTGTCCCAAGCCTATCCGACATCCAAACAGACACTTTATAGCAACACTGGGCAGGCTGGGGCCTCTTCATTCGTGCCCCAGTCACAGATCCGTTTCGGAACCCCCCCTTCTTCAGCTTCGACCCCGAGTGAGTTGGGGAGAAAAGGAAGTGAAGGGACATCCCCCGGTCATTTAACCTGCGGTTCGGAGAGGGAAGAAGCAGAGGTTCAAGCTTCTTCAGCTAATGAGGAAACATCTCCTGAACCTTCAGAGAACAGCAAAAACTCTCCTGTGAAGGAAACAAAAGGTAGGTAAATATTACACAAGAGGGGCTCTGCACAGCCCTCAGAAAGGGTAAACGTGGCAAGTACAGTTAACAAGTTTAACAAAGGTGGGTTTATTCTGACCTTGTGAACTTTTTATTTTTGGGCGTGAGCTATGCTGTAAAAATTAATGCCCACTATAGTTTATTGCATGAGCCCACGCTCTGGAGTCAATTGTAGCCACAGTTTAAACTTGTCAGAGAAGTTACAAAACCACGAATCCTTTCTAGAGTTATTTAAGTGTGCCGCATAGAAGGACATATTTGCACACAGTGTCCAAAGTAAACAAAAGACAACCAATAAATAATACTCTAAGGAACATAGTGATATTTTATGATCCTACGTTGGTATCGAGAAAGAAAGTATCAAGTTTATTTACAAAAATGCTCAAAATTTTGAAGATGTGTGAATATATGTGGTGTTATTTGTGGTTGTACTAATAATGCTGAAATGCAATTTTAAATGGAACAAACCTGAAGCTATGAATCAGTTTCAGCCAATGGTCGCTCTTTTGTGCATTGGAAATCTGATAAACTGCGTGGAAACAAACATCAGGACAACACAAATGAAAGTAACAATAAGCATGAAGGAATTTCTACTAACGAACTTGTGAAGATAACACTGGATAAAATCATTTCAGAGTTTAAAAAGAGTAAAGACCACTGGGTGGTAATGATCTTGAAACATCCCAATGGCGAAGAAACTATCTCATTCGTTTTCACCTGGATCTGATGATTTTAGAAACAGAACGTTTGGCCAATTTTGTTAAATTATAGACATAGTTGACAACGAGTCCTTGCAAATGAATATCAAGACAAAGCTGATAAGCTGAGGTCGAAAATGGTATTGGAAAGAAACACACTAATTGGCACTAATGGAGACTTTGCACATTGTTTGGATTTACTTAGGATTCCAACATATTTTTCTTTCATGTGGTAATCGTTGAGAAAAGGTATTTAGGGATATTGTAGAATAAGAAAGAAAACGAAATTATTGTATGAAATCATTGTATGAAATCATTGTATGAAATCATTGTATGAAATCATACAAAATAATCAGAAAATTCCTTTCATATCAGTCCACCCAGATTTTAGCTTTTAAAACAACTTGGAATATAAAACGCAAGAGATAAAAACAAAAATGTTAACTGATAAACAAACATTATAAAAGCAGGCGTAAAAATAGACATTAAGAAATAATTTCGATTTTGATTGAAATATATTCAATTCTTCTTTTTCTTGAATAAGGCTTGGCATTTAAGAACTTATCTTCATGTTACGAGGTAATTATAAATTTGCTCGTTTTGTGTGCTGTGCATTCAATGGTTTATGCGCCTGTGTTGTAGAAGCGGTAGCCAGTTTTCTGTGCTGACTCAAATTATTTTGTAAGTGTTAATCGAAAATAATACCATTAAACATTTTAAGTATTTAATAATCCACGAATAGAGATATTGAGGAAACAAATAGGAAAATCCAGCCTGTATATGACTTCACCACCACAAAGCAAGTTCCTGTATTGAATTTATTTTACAAAATATGGTTAACTCTCTCTGTTCTGTTTACCTCTCTCTCTCTCTCTACCTTTCGTCTCCTGTGTCTCCCCTTTTCTCTTGTTTACTAGGGGAAGTAAAATCTGAAAATGCGGCCAACTGGCTAACTGCAAAGAGTGGCAGGAAAAAACGATGCCCTTACACCAAACACCAGACCCTGGAGCTGGAAAAAGAGTTTCTCTTCAATATGTACCTGACTCGAGAGCGTCGCCTAGAGATTAGCCGCAGTGTCCACCTGACTGACAGGCAGGTCAAAATCTGGTTTCAAAATCGCAGGATGAAACTCAAGAAAATGAATCGTGAGAACAGGATCCGGGAGCTAACAGCTAACTTCAGCTTTTCATGATAAACAAAAACACTGGTTTACAGATTCCAGCGGGACATTGGGAAGTTGTGCTATTATTACCGAGAGACTAAAAACTTTTCCACTTACCTCTGACTTTTCAGCTTCATGCTGGTTGTAGATATTTACAATCTACGTGTTTTGTTTTTAGTTGTGGCGGTAATCTGTTTTGTCGCTATACTACTAATGATGATGATAATAGTAAGGAAGCATTGCCATTGATAAGCAAGGCATGTACAACAGTTATCAGCCTGTACGATAATTTTCCAGACAATAGTGGGGAAACACATGTCAACAATATTTTAATTGTGTGTTAGTGGCCAATTATCAGCTAAGTGCATCAAACCTTGTAACGTTTAAATGCAGATACCCATTCTGTTAAAATTAGTTTCAAAAAGTAAATGCCGTATACGGACACGTTATTAGAACTTAAATGTGATTATTCTGTAAAGTGTGTTGTTACATAATGATATCACATGCCTTGAGAGACCGGATGCATCCGAGCACATTCAAACATGTGGATTATTGTTGCAAACATAAAAAGGTAGCAATGTCGGGTATTGAACCCATTACTGTCAATTCACCTTGAAAGCAAAGCAAGCGAAGGGAAATATAATTGATATGTTTTGTTTTGGTGGTATGAAAAGAGGAGCTACTTATACTACAGGACTCAGAATATGCTATCAGTCCTTTGCTGCTGCACTGTGTATGTTAAAAAGAGACCTTGTGTTTTCATGAAAGATGAATAAAAACATTTCGTCGGATTCCTTGGAGACAGAAATATGTACATAATTTTATATATACTCTTTTTATTTTTTTACTTAATTTTGTGTTCGACTCTTTTCTTGCCATATCTATTCAGGAAGTTTACAACAGGAATGGTGGATTTAAACACTGGCAATTGCTGTTCCAATCCATTTAAATATTACCTAGACGGTCGTAATTTGTCTGGGCTATATAGCAATGGTGCTGTAACGTTTGTCGGCTTTTGTTGAGTTTTATGACTTGCTAGTATATCTGGGTTGTTGCTGTCTTGGACGAGTGGTTTCAGTTGAGCGAACAGCCACGAAGAAAGAGGGAGCAGAGCACTGCTGTGATGTAGGGGATTGATTTTCTTTGCTCCTAATGCACTTCAGATCTTTTAATCAGCAAATTCAGAAGATACTGAGAAATCGAATAAAGTCAGCTTTTGCACAGATAAGAGACCCGAAGGCATTGAATGGTAAAGGTGAGGTATGTAATAAGAATTAATGTTAAGGCCTGTTTTCCCACAGAGATTTATTTTGAAGGAATACCAATGATAATAGCTAAACATTCTGTATTTGTGATATTTTTTTTACAATACCAACATAATGTTAACGTATACAAGCATAAGTTACTGTACCGTTGAAATTTACAATCTATCTAGGGGGGTGGGGGGAAGGAACAAAAGAAAAGACCTCTCCATAGACTGTGTCATCTGACTGGTTCTTTTCTTGAGCCAAACCTTGAACTCGTGATTATTGCTGTACAAACAAGTTACTATGGATTATCTTTACCGAAATGAGTAAGATGCAATCAGTCCGCGTGAAATCCTGAACAGGCGTAATAAAGATCCCGCCATATTTAATGCGGAAATAATAATACTTTTCATGCTGAATTTGCAGTTAAACCTTTTCAATTAAATGCTATTTCGATCCGGAACGCAAAAACGGATTTGTGTAAAATGATTAGGGTGAAATATGGTATTACCCACTGTAAAGAGCACGTTTTGTTTGTTAGTAAACCATTAAACCAGCAAGTGACTAGGGGTATAGAGAATGTGACTTTTCGATTTTAGTGAATTTCTTGAATATGCCTTAAAACATTCCCATTTGTGTACAGTGATAGGAATCTAAAGAACCGAGATAGAACTGATGTGTGATTTAGGTAGTTTCATGTTGTTGGGGCTCGAGTCTAACTCTACAACACGAAACTGCTCGAATTACTGCAGTTATCGTCTTCGCCAGTGAATCTATCGCTGGTTTGGATAAAAAAACATCACTTACTAAATAACGCGATTAACTAATTGAAAAAAAATGCTGGCATTATTTATCTTAGAAATTCTGAGTCTTTCATAAGAGGGATATCAACAGCTTATTGCGTAAGCGTTCTCGATAGTAATGCAACTCTGATTTTTTTGAATAAAAGAGCAATCTATGCTTCGGTTTGCAATCTCGCGTGGATTTATGTTTATTTTAAATGTTATTACTAATTAGAAATTGCGAAATGTTTTTGTGCTTTGGGTTTATATTTCCTAAGAAGGATCAAGTTCATGTTTAATTTGAATATTTGATCAATTTTAGATTTCTGCTCGACTAAGATTGTGCCTCTGAATCGTGATTTAAATGTCCTTTCTCGTCGGTACTGCCTGACTGCAGATATTTGCAGGATGCAACTAATTTCATTCTCACGGCAGCGTAACACATGCATTGCGAATTCCTCTTTGTTCGTAATAAATATTTCAACATCACGTTAATATTGCTTAAACAGCGCATATTTCTTTAGTGTATTCTGCTCGTGATTGATCTTATAATTCCCAGTGAAAATCGGAAATAAGAAGGGACTGCAGGAAGTGATATATTAGTGTACGTGTTTTAAGCATATGTATTCCACCATGTGAAAGACAAAGAAATTACTTGAAAGGCACAAGGCCTCGGTTATGATCATTGCATGGCGCCTCGGCGCGTAAATTTGTTTCGATCTGGGAAACAGCGACCTCGGTGGATGGTAGTGGAATTGCTTCTCTGTTGGAGACCTGCCGCTGCAGGAAACCAGACTAAACACAGAGAGCAGACATCCTATTATACTGGCTATTTAGACGAGACAAACAGAAGCTTTAATCTAAGGAAAGCAGGTAAACAAACACCGAGCATTTTATCTGGTGGGTTGGTTATTTAAATGGCAGGTCCGGTTTCCATTGTCATGTTTTAACCCATCGAAGCATTCAGTTATGCAGAATCCCGAACCGATTTTTCTTGTGTTCAATCTCGCCAGTGAAGTTTTCAATTAATTTTATATCATAAAATAACACGCGGAAAGACAAACACATCACGTTAACCCAGTTAATGCATTTCGGATTGAAACGTGGGTTCCGTATATTCAAACCAGCTTCGAATGATCTTTGCAAGTTGCCTACAAATCGTGTTTCAAAAACAGATCCGCTTACTTTAAATGAGCACAGTTACGGTATTAATTTACGTAATGTGTCTTATCAGGCGATTTTAAACCTACACGTGTATCGCATGCTGCGAAACAAACGTTTGAATGCTTGATAAGAGATCTATTTAGAATGTTTTATTTTGTGAAAAGCAAAAGAATATTTCGGGACCAAATGTATAGTTTATATCATCAAACAGTTAAGCAACTCACACTATCATACCACCTGTAAAAATCATGTATTGGCATAGTTTAGAAAATAAAATTAGACCATAGTCATATATATTATATATATATACCTATATATAAATAGCTGTTGCATTACTTGGGGAATCAGCAGATCCTATTTAAAATACGTTACAGATCAGACCCATGTATAACTATTTTCTCCATCATTAATATATCTAACTGCGTTTTGATATAAAATATAGTTTGGAGGAAAATCAGCGGGAATCGTGTGTAAGATACTTTATTCAAACAATATTATTGTAATTAAAAAAAACTATCTTTGGCGAGGCCAACATGTTGTTGGCTATATGTCAAGTGGCACACGTTTCATCCTTATTTGTTTTGTGCTATTAAGTTGTAAGTTTTTATTTTTACTGGAAATTTACGCATTTACTGGAAAAAGCTTCAGATGCTATCATGCACACATTATTCTAATTTGAAGGCGCATTTCATTACACGAACTTTCAAATATAAAGCAGTAAATCGTTTGTAAATTCCATATATTTTTGCTAATTCATGGGTTTTCTTTTAAAATGTAGTGTATGAAATGTAGTTAACATGATATATTTTGCTTTAGAGTTTTCATTTATTGTTGCTGTTGTTTTGGGGAGGGGTGCTGGTGGTGGTTGGGTTTTATTTACCATTATTTTTGGAAAACAACAATTTCCAACAGTTCCTTCGCTGTTTGAGAACATCTTCAGTTGGCACAGTTTTGTTTCTCGAACGCATCATTTGGATATAGTTATGAGTCGATTCAGTTTAATTTGAATTGCTTCATGTAGACGTCTCCATAATTTGATTATTTGTTATTTGATGGTTCAAATTTTCTTGTACGTATTTATCAAATCATCCAGTTTACAGACAAAGCCATGAGCGAGATTAAAGTGCGTTGAAGATGCTGTTGTTCTTTCACGCTGCTTTGCCCCAAAAGTGGCAACATATTCACGCAGATGTTATCTGAATGGATATACAGGCGTCAGCTTTTAAACTTCCCTTTAAATCGCACGAGGCAAAAAAAAACAGAATGTGTGCAGGTTTTCTTCGTTTTTACGCGTTGGGAATTTAATCGCACAATTTTATCCCACTGTTGTACTTTTTTTTGGGGGGGGAGGCGGTTGTTCATTGTCTATTCTTGCTTATGTGTTTTCGATTACATTTTACTTAGTTGAGAAAACGTTTAATGCACAGTACTTGCGAATACATTTGATTTTCGTACGGTGGTGAGTCACCCAATTGATCCACCAAGAGCTTCTTGTATTATTGATATATTCATTATTTATTTGGAACGCTTTTAATGCAAATCAAAAAAAAATACAAAGCCTACGAAGCCTCACATCAGGATGTAAAAAGCAGTTTCGTTTTTATCTGTACACCATGCACCTCACTGTGCAATAAAATCAGGACATAGTCCAAATTTTCATACACGCTTTAAGTTTAGAATCGAAACCTATATGAACTTATTTTCTACACGCAGAAGCATTGATTTTGCGTTTTAATACTAATTTACTCTGAGATCTTCAGTGAGTTATATCCACTCGCGTGAAATAGTTTGCTTTCTTTCTCAGGTTTAAAATTTCATTTCCTGGTTTGAAAACTTTTGACTTGTAAATAACATATGTGTGTTTGAACTTCCAAACACCACTTCCTTGGAGAGCGTGGCTGAAACTCCAAACTGGACAACACAACAAAAATTCGAAACTGGCTCTAAAATGTGATAAACGTAAAATTGCGAATTCACGACGCTATTGGTAACACATTCAACTGTGATCAAAATCGAGCATTTTACACAAAACTATAAATCTTTAGGCATCACAACAAGACGCGACGCCTTCCAAGGTCGTAGTTAAAATCTCGAAGACACCCGCACGAAGTTATATTCCACGCATATCTTCGACGGGAGAGAGGCATTTCGAGCAAGATGCAGTTTCGGGGCAGGGTGTGCGTGTATAAGTTAATGAATTGGCTTTGCAAATGCAGCCGTTCCCTGTGAATCCCGGTTTCGGGGCACAGCTGCACAGGAAACACGAGCCCTTTCCCCGCTTTGGACTTGAATTGTTCTGAGTTCTGCTCCAGACCACAGCACCCCGCCGACTCCGCTGTAACACTCCGCTGCCCAGGAACCCACGGCTGGTCCGGAGGGGGAGATGGTGGGGCAGGGAGGGGGGGGAAAAAAATAAATAATGCAAAAAGAGAAATGGCCAGGAATTGCAAACCGCCACGCACGAAGCCAGCAATCCGAACCGACCAAAAAAAATTAGGCGAAAAAAAAAACAAGCGTAAATAGCAGTAGGAAGAAACGATTTAATCGGGGCCACAAGGAAGCAATAGGGGGGAAGCAGGCGTGTGGTTTGCAGCACGTTGTTTTAAATATGGGATCTGATAGTTGTCTTTGTTTAATACGCACTTCTGCGTTTTCCACCTCACGCAAAAGCACCACTGCTTCAGGTTTATTTTGGGCAACGTGTTACACTTTTACCTTATTTTTAAGGTTTGCACGTCAAGCGCATTTTGTTAGGGGCATTGGTTTCAATCATTTTCCATTTCGTGACGCAAAGAAGGAACCGTGAACCTCCTGAATATAATGTGTAAAGAACCGTGAAACAATCGTAGAATATTGATTTAAAAAAATAAGATTCACTTACAAATCTACAGCATTCACCATCTCGAGTTATGTTACTGTTTGTCTTCAAACAAGATCCGAGCTTGTTACAAACGAAGGTAAGTTTCTGCTTTTTAGAATTTTCTTTCAGCTTTTCGCATATTTATTATAACATTAAACATGTTTTAAGACCAGTAAAATAAATCGTAACATTATATGATCGGAATGGAGCCATGGTGTAAATATTCTTACTGTGCATAGTTAAATCTGAACACTCGCATTACATACACAAACGCACTGGCGTCTGAGACTGACATGTGGAAGAAAACGCAATGTAATGGTGTTTTTTAAAATCGCATTAATATAATTTCTTTGGTACAAAAATGTAAAATTTCCGTCTTGGTCGCCATAAATTGTCGCTTAAATCACTTGATCAAAGCGTTACGATTACAAGTTCATTCACTGTAAAAGTAAATTAATCCCTGACATTGATTCCTCAAACATAAGATGTTTACTGCAAGTTATTTGGCTGATTTACCCGTTATTTAAGGAGACTGCTCACCATAGAATACATTTGTGAAACCCAGACGCAGGCCTACTGAATTTTCGATGGATAAGTCAGGTTTAAGTAGGGCGAATGTGCAAATACCATTATATTAAAGCGAGCGTATGCAGCCAGGGATAACGGCTATCGTTTACTTGATAGAAATATGGATCTCTCTCTCTATATATACTATATGTTTGTGTGACGTGTTATTTGGGTTTTAATTGTTATTGATTGTACAACAGATACATTTCCCGAGTATTGCACTTGGATGTTACTGCCTGTGTGTGGGAAGCTTTCCAATGTTACTCTCCTCAGAGCCCGCAAATGAATGAGTGAAACAAGAAGCTCAAGAATTTGAAGAAAAATCTGGTCGCATTGTTCGCCTTATGAAGAAATGCTTTCATACCAGTACTCGTATCTGTCAAGCAAAATCACACGTTGAATACGGAAGTAGTGATTAATTGTGCTACATGGTAGGTAAAATACCCTTTTGGAATGGCTGTAGTTTGCTAACATGCAATTTTATTGCTGAACCTGTTATAAAAGGGAAAAGCATCGAGTATGTTTTACGTGCTCTGCATTTAAGAAGTTAGTGGGTCTTTCACAGCAGCAGGTAAACATACTACTTCCCAGAGGCACACTTTATGTAACTTCATTGCAGATTTTTATTTGTTAAGGGCCCTTTTTTTTTAAACTAAGCACGAATAATAAATACCTGTCCAAACTCTTCGCTCGTTGTGTTTTTCAGCAGTTTATAGTTTCGCTCGTTCCATAATCTTTTATGCGAAGGTTAACGATTATAAGGTGTTCGTTAAGAAAACGAGCAACTGATGGGAAGATTGATTATGATATAAAATAGTCCCTGGAAAGTGAAGTGCAAGAGAAGCAGCCTTCGGAGCTCAGCTGGTAACAATGAAATAAGCGGGAATATATAGAGGTGATTACATCCCTTTGCATAAAAAAAACATATGGTGTTGCTATATAAAATTATGACTATAAAAGAGTGACCCTGTACCAACCTGCGGACTGATTTATATGGCGTTGTTGTTCTTGCGGTCACGTGTGGGAGAGGTCCAATGGCGCGGTGGAGGCGCTGCACCATATTACAGACCGGGGGGAAGGCTCTCGGGCGCTAACTTCTTACATGGAAATCCGCTCTTTCATATTTTCAGAGCGCAGAGAAGCCGCGTATTTGCCGAAAATGTCGACGCCGGGCACCATCAGCAACTACTACGTCGACTCGCTCATCATGCACGACAACGAGGACCTGCTCTCGTCCAGATACGCGCCGGCCCCGCTGGCTCAGCCCTCCCGACCGGCAGCCCTGCCCGAGCACCCCGACTTCTCCCCGTGCAGCTTCCAGTCCAAAGCCACGGTGTTCAGCACCTCCTGGAGCCCCGTCCATAACCAGAGCTCTGCCAACGTGCCCACTGTATACCACCCCTACATCCACCAGGCGCCCATTGCCGCGCCTGACGCCAGGTACATGCGCTCCTGGCTGGACCCCATACCGGGGACCTTGTCCTTCCCCGGGATACCTTCCAACAGACACTACGGCATCAAACCCGAGCCGGTGACTGCCCGCAGGAGTGACTGTACCACGTTTGAAACCCACACGTTGGCCTTTTCAGAATACACTTGTGGAGCTTCTCCCGGCGACAAACTTGTGAGCGAGGTTCCCTTATCCGAAAATAAGGGAGAGGTTGAGTCCATCGCAGATAAGCTACACATTGATCCAAGTAAGTGCGGGAAATCCCCCCCTTTTCATTGCTTTTCCGTGTGGCTTATCTTTTCGAACTGTTTTATGTTCTTGCCCTTATTCATTATATCGTAAAAGTAGTTGTGACATTTCGTCACAGTTTTGTGTTGTGCATTTTAGTCACTATTGTGAAATACATAACGTTCATACTGTCCATCCCTCCCTCATTGCAGAACCAAACTGTAATGACTGATTATTGACTCGATATTACATGTATTTCTGAGGACTAATTTTGACGGATAACGAGGTTTCTGTATAAAGAAACAAAATCCATATAATACACAGTTAAATATCATGTTGATATGTACTTTTTGGACGAATACGAGTCGGGTTAATTGATCAATACAAAATTATAGATTCCTATCTAGTTTATTTGCCTAATGAATATTGATTGTTCACAGGGCAAACCACTATGTATGTGTTTATATGTGTGCCTGTGAAAAAATATTTATGCTATGTATAAACGTACCTGAAGTTATAGCAACACACCCCTAGAATCCAATTTCTCCTCTCTCTCACGTGCAAAATAGTCCCCATTCCGCGAACTTAAAACATTAAACAAACTTGAAGGGGGATAACGTGTAATAAAGGTCTTTTTTCAATATATTTCCAGGCAATCCTTCTGCCAATTGGCTACATGCGAGATCCACCAGGAAAAAGCGCTGCCCTTATTCTAAACATCAGACCCTGGAGCTGGAAAAAGAATTCTTGTTTAACATGTACCTCACAAGGGACCGCAGATATGAGGTCGCCAGAGTCCTTAATCTCACCGAGCGACAAGTTAAAATCTGGTTTCAGAACAGGAGGATGAAGATGAAAAAAATCAACAAGGAACGACCGAAGGACGACCGGTGACCAGAAATGCAATCACAGGGTTTCAAAAAAAATAAGGAAACAAAGAAACAATTCATAATTACAATCGAAGTAGGCCTCACATCAGAAAGAAAAAAAAATCCATGAGAACGTTTTGCATTTGCATTAGCACAAACTATTCCTTTGCCAGTCTGGGACACGATATGGGGGTGTGTGGTGGGGTGGGGGGGGGGGGGGGGGGAGGGGAGGGGTGGGGAGGGGAAAACTGATTCAGTTTGTAGTTGGGAACCAAAGAAGGAGACATTTGCGGCAAAGTAAAACAGTCTGTGGCTACGGAATCTACCTTTTATTTACATGAAAACTACCTTCTCTTAATCCACTGTTATTCGTGGACAATAATTTAGTAATACTGTATTAGTTGTTTTACATGCAGCAAGTGAGGCTGTCTATATACTTGAATCCTTGTGTCTGTCTGTTGTGGTAATTATCTCTGTGACCGGGCCTCTATGCTTGGGTGATGTCTGACTAGTGATCGTGTAAACAAACAAAGGTCTCAATTTAACTCAGGATGTTTAATATAAGGTAACAACGCTGTGTAGTGCATATGAAATGTATTTTCGTTGTGAACTTGGAACATATATTGTATTATTTTCACAGTGAATTACATTTAGAAAACCCTGGGCTCATGCTGTCTTTGTGAGTACCGGCCTTGCCCGGGGTGCATGGTAATTGTGTTGTTCTTCAAAAAATATATGAAATTGAACTACATAGAATGCTAATATAAGTTTTATTTCAAAGAGCAGCGCTGAGCATTATGCTACCCGATACTCTTGTCTGTTGAAATAAAAGCACGAGTAAAGTTCTCAGACACTTTGTATTTATCGGTGTTTTCGTGGTGCAACAACGTATAAATTTTGGTTTGAAACTACCTATATGTATAACTAGCAACTACCTATGTTTTGTGTGTGACTGTCACCCTTAATATTGTTTTGATGCATTTATAAACGATAGAACAAATAAACGATATTGTCAATAAATGTATTGTGTACAATACAAGTAAAACTATCTGGGTGCAATAGTAAGAGCTTATAAAGGTTGGCTTTGGACCTGTAGAACTAACGCATTTACACTGTGCATACATTTGAAATGAATACCTCCTGGCATATTGACCAAACTATGCTGATTGCAATGAAATGTCATTTTATTTGTTGTCCAATAAAATATATGTTTCACTATATTTACATAAGCTTTCGATTTCAAAGTTCTATATACTCAATATACTACATGTAATTCTGCTAATTGTTGCTTTTTATTAATTCCTTAATCATTTTAAATATTGCAAAACCACGCTGAACACAAAAATCAGTTTTCAGTTGTAAGAAGTCACTGCTTTTTGGGACACATGACGAAAGCATCAACCACATCAGTAAAGCGGATATACTTCCAGACCAAAAGTGGGAGTTCAAAGTTTAATGCAATAAAAAGAATAAAACAATTACTGGCAAGATTATCCCTTTTTTTACGAATATATTTTAAATCCACAATGCTGGTTTCAAAATATATATTGTGCAAAATTCAACGTTGGTAACAACGAGAATTCCTGGAGTCGTGACAATTTTGCACCAGCATCGTGCGTTTTCAAAATTCAAACAGTTAAAAAAAACTGAAGGTTTGCGCCTTGTCCATCAATATCAGGAAGAACTTTATCACTTTAACTGCTATAGTGCAATATTTAGTGGGTCATTTAAATTGGACTGAAAAAGGGGTTTCTGATAGAAACAAGAAATAAAAACCACGGTTGCAACATCTTGTTAGTGAGATAAATTAAAACAGGTTTGAATAGATTTGAACTTAACATGCAATTCTAGGAAATTAGTTCAGGAAATTGAAAACTATTTAATAAGCAACAATGTTAGGTTATTGCCTTTGCAGTTGTTTGTAACATTGGCTGTGAGCTATTTATTTAAGCCGTAGTTTTGCTGGAAATGGAATGAGAACCTTAACTTGACTTTTCAAGCCATTTCAAAGTTCTTGGATTGAACCATATTATTAAAAAGTAACTTTAAACAATGTCTTGGCAACAATCCTGACGGCACTTCTTAATTGCTCAGTACAAGAGTCAAACACTTAGGAACCAAGTAAAGTTAAATTAGTCTTAGACAGACATCTTACCGATATAAAATGTGCACGGATTGCCCGTTTATGCAACTTCCCTTCCAAGAATAAGGATGCCTAGTAGCTTTTTTAAAATCCCGAAGACAGTTTGGATAGATTTAGTGGGACTCAAATGGTTTGGAAACTGGACAGACAGGCCTCAGTAGTTGCATGTCTTGGCAAAGGCTGTCGTTAGTAAAATTCTGAGTGGTGTACCGCAATAAAAGAAAATGACTGCTGTAAGCGTTTATGGGGTGTAAAACACTGGAGGTTAAGGGGCGAAGCACGTAAACAAGACACTGACGATCTTACATTTGGAGTATTCAGTGTTAGACTGCAACTATTTGTTTTGAACCTCAACTATTACAAAAACGCTCTTTTTGAAGGGATATTAAAATAGTTGCGAAACGTGAACTGTATTTTACTTTCGTGTTCAGTCTCGAGGGTTATAATGCTAAGACGCCCTCTGTTGTTGCAGATCGAACTTCAAAGACTAAAACGGGGAGACTAGCAATAAAATGAAGGGTCTGGCAAGTCGTCTGGAATTCGGGTTTTAATGAGTTTACAACTGTCCAGCTACAATCAGTATTTTTCCAGAGAAGGCCATCCATTTGTTTTGTCTGGCTGCTTAGACAAAAGGGTCTGCGGAAATAACGACCTTTATTAGTCTCGTCTCTAACGTGGGCCCCTCAAATATCCCTTTGCTAATTTATAGTCTGGTGTAAAAAGGTCTTTAGCAATTTTAAAGCAGGACTGAAAAAAAGCTATTCGGAATTAAATTTGATTTATATAGAAAAAAAAGAGATGTGGTCATATGTATACTCACTAATTTTCATGTTTAGGCTTCAGATTGACCAAAAAAATGCCTTTTTATTCATTCTCATTGAAAGCGATTTCCTCCTGTCATTTTCCTCTACACCCAGCAGATGGCAGTGTTAATCCACCGAAAAATACAAAAATAGTGCCACCAAGCTGTCAAAGAATGCAATAGCGACCTTCAGGTTGAATTTATTTATGCAGTAGGGTTGTAAATAGGAAGAAAATATTCTCCACAAATGACACATAACAAAAAGCATGAGGTCGATGAAGTTTACTGATTTTGAATCTAACACCATGTTTAAAGACTCATCTGATCACATGGTTAAGAAATCAATTTGCCGTTCATTGCTTTATTCAATCTCGAATGCCGCCTCCTATTCCGGTTGTAGTAAAGGGAAAGGATTCATTTGTCTGATTAGGTTATAAAGTGGCCCGATAAACACGTGCATTGGTTTATCTTGGGGGGAAAATTCTGAAAACAAAACGAATTGAAGTTTTAATTGTGACTTATACTTGAAGTCGGAAAAGTAACATAAATATTATTCTGCGTTCTCTGATTTATAATTAATAGTCATATAATTTTCGTATTTAACACGTTAAGAGACCTTTTAAATAGAATTGTTGGAGGGGAAAATATAATATTCTACGGGCATTATTTTTGAAATAGATAATTACTAGGTGCACTATGTTTTTACGGAGGAACAACTACAGATAGAGCGATATAGATGTAAGGTTAAGCAAGAGTCCAAAGATTTGTAGAATGATCTTGTTATGCCTATAAACACAAAAGAGATGAAGTGAGAAAAATAAATAGAGAGGAAAGGATTTTTAAAGTCAAAGCTTAAACAATATTCAAAATTCGTGTGTAATTAATTATATTATGGCGCTAACTATGACATATAAAGACATCGTGAAGTACGTGTTTACTATGCTTAAAAGTATATTAACTATGCTTAAGAGTATCATCAGAACCCTTACGTCTCTGAAGGCAACAAGGAGGCTCGGTTTGGAAAATACAGAATGAAGCGTTTAAATGGTCCCCAAACAACACTAATCAGTTGACGAAACCAATGTTCAGTAAACCTGGAGTGCACAGCATCTTGGCGTATTTTGCAAATGGAAAGATTTATTTGTGCTGATCTTTGAATGTACATGTTGCTGCATAACATTCCAGTCGTCGTCTAAACCTAAACCATGTTCCCTTTGATGTAACGCGATTGTTACATTTCAATAAAGTGACTTATTTTTTCTCACACAACCGAAAGTCGAAATCTTTAGTTAAGAAATCTCATAAAAGGTTTCCAGATTTTCCCACTAAATTCACATTTTAGAAGGCGGGGCACCAATTGAACCCAAATAAATGTTTTGGATTGAGATATTTTGGACTTACTTTCGTTATGACAATGATTATTTTTTCAGTTAAATTTGTACCACAAGTAATACTCGACTTCATATTTTTTCGAAAGATTCAGTGCAATTGTGAACAAAAACGTGTATTTTATTTGCGTAGGTAATACAATCAATTTTAATTATCTTGTCACATCTTAATCCATTATTACACAGAAGTCCAAAGATACCGTGAGAAAGCATCGTTTTATAAAATTATAAATACATATCGTTATTTCTGATCACACAATACGTTTCAAATCAGACCAAGTTATATGTACCAGAAATATTTATATTTAACATTGTACAGAACGATCTATATCCGTATTAAATCGTATGTAAAATAGATAATATTCTACGATAACTGTGTTCCTTTTTTTCTGGTTAATTCCACAATTATAGGTATCACAGCTAACGTTTTGATGTGCTGCGTTCTGAGCAGTACACTCTACGAGTGTTGCAATGATTCCCTCGCGTTCTTGTAATCGTTAAGTATTTTATAGTACTTTTTTTTAAATCCACTGCAATAATTTGTTGGATTAGCGCAATGAAAAATTAGTGTAAGAACACGTGTCCGTATCAATCAAAAAAGACACTGTCTCCAATATCAGTAAAATCTACCATCGAATACACAAATAAGGTAAAATCATTACAGCGTGATAATAATGTGTGTGTATGTATGCATGTGTGGATGTATATATGTATGTATGTATGCATGTATGTATGGATGGATGGATGTATACATGTATCTATGCATATATGCATGTATGCATGTATGCATGTATGCATGTATGCATGTATGCATGTATGCATGTATGCATGTGTGTATGTGTATGCATGTATGCATTTATGCATGTATGTGTGTACGCATATATGTGAGTATGTATATTTCTCTCTATATGTGTGTATATATACTTGTATTTGTATTCATAATTTAAATTTCAACCTGATCATATTTGCCTAAATTTCGAATTGTGAAAAAATGACAGCTATGATCTGTAGCTCTAACTGATCCGTCATATTAATTTTAGCTCTATCGAGGCAATTGGCTGCAGTCTTGATCCGCAAACATATGGAAACTTGTTATTTTACATAAACAACATAACCTTACATATCTATAGACGTTATTTCAGAGCAAATGCACCTTCATTTTTTATATTTCATATGAGTAAGCTAGAAATTGAAATGACAACCACAGCAATTCAGCCGTACATATATTTGTCTTTGCTTCGTAATTATCTTTAGGACGGGACACGGATCAATGCAGTCGTAGTTTTGTATTGATGAAGAAGTGGTTTCAGATTGTTTCCAGACGTAAGCGTATTTTTCTACGTTTTCTTAACAGTAAAGTTTGATGTGATGTAAAACAGTCCTAATCAAAATCTTGTACAAAATACTATATCGACGCTATATTTGTAAAAACCAAAGGCTGTCTAAAACACGAGTGGGACAGCGCAATAACAACGCTTTCCTTACTTAGTGCCAGGAAGCTTACCGCTCTGCCAAGCTTTTGGTTTAAAGGTCGGAGTAGATTATAAAACAGAAGAGAGAAAAAAATCAGCTGTTCCAAACCATCTGTTTCATATTATTCTGAAAAACATGTATGTTAGTCCACCCTCGGTTGTTCGCAGAGAATATTTCCTTAAGTTTACATCATTCTTTTGTTGAAAACGAGGTCATGCAAATGCTGTGCAATCAAATAAATCCACGATATATATTTCTAATCTGCTTCATAGCAATGCATCTCATTTTATTCTAGCTGTATGGATTTGCAGTGTTCGCGTGTTTGCTTTGCTTCTGCTTTCCATCGTTTCTTCCCTGTTCATCCCAGAAACTATAACCTGTATTGGCGACTTGTTTTCAGTCTGGAATCTCTGGACCTGAAGAAAAATGAAAAAGTTTAAATTACACTAATTTCTCACAATCGACAGTAGGACCCTCGATGACATTCATGAGTGAAGCTATTGCAATTTGGGGAAGTTTTCTTTTAAAATCCGCACATCTCTCCATTTGGCAACCCATTTCAAAACTATTGGGTCTTTTCAAGAAATATATTTTAATATGGGGGAAAGTTCATTCGCTTCCCGGAACATTCCCATTACTGTACTGCTGAATCTAAGATGGAGATTGCAGATGAAGGTCCTGGGTTAAATGTTTTTCAAACGAAGATTGCTTAACGAGCGAGAGACGAATATCGTATACTAACCTCATGCTAAAACATCCCCACAATGAGGCAGACCCTGTCTGCTGAGCACAAAGGTTGCTTCGCGCTATAAGAGTCTCCAGAGATCAAACGAGAAAAAAACTATTTACAATATTAGCGGAAATGCTTCGGAATGGTTTGCAGAGTGAATCTAGGCGAAAACGTTGTATTCTAATAATTATTTATGCCCATCGTTCAATACGCCAAATGTATGGTTACGTTACAAGGAGTTTCTATTGAGGCACATACAAGAAATTCAGGATTCAGTCTCATCCACTAAAATATATGGTAATGAACATATACATGAATCCTTCGCATTGCAGGAAACCCGCCATTAAAGCGGCCAGAAAGCAGGGAGCTAGGTTGAATTTACAAATAAAGTGTGTAAAACGGCTTCGGAAACAAGTTCTGTGATTTAATGAGATGATTGAAAAAAAAGTTGTAAAACAGGAGGAAATGATGCGGGGTCAATTCCCCTGCGGGGATTTGGTCACATTACCTAGCAACTCGAAAAGATTTTCACAGAATAGTTGTTGCACTGGTAACAGTTGAAGGAAACAGTGTCTCTTATCTGATATTCTGCACTTTAGAGAATCAATATGCAACACATTTGAAAATCTTTAAAAACCCTCGACTGAAGAGCTAATAAGGAGAAGTTGGCTTCACGGGAAAGGTCCCTAAGTAGTGCTGCTACAGTCTATATCCTCCTGCGTTTATAGCTCCGCTAAAACCTTGCAGTATCGTGTTCTATAATCTAGAGATTAGATCGCACTGATAATTAATCGATGGTGTTAACAGTTTTTGCGTTACTTAACCTACTCGTATTTCTGTAGGGGATTGCAACTCATCACAGGAGGGAAAACAAGCCACTGTACAAAAGAGCCGAAAAGTAGCGGAAATCTTGTGATATCAAAAAGCAAAGCTTTTTAACATTGCATGTCAAAGCAAGTGCAAAAGGATTTGTGATGCTGAGGAATTAGAGTGAGTGATTTATGCTTATGTTTCTTGAACAGGTTTACTTTTTAGGAAACACAACTATTGCCTATATATGTCTCGCGTTTTTAAGGTTGGGGTAAACCTTCTATTTCAATGAATTAGAAATCTATTGCTCATCTGATGTTTCAAACCATACCTGCGATTCCAGACCTACACGGATGTGCGGGGAACTGGAATGATTCCCTGGGGTGCTGTTAAAACATATTTATTCCTTTTTTTTTGGAAAATATGACTGCTTTAGCAATCGTGTAAGACGTTTGATGTTTTTATTTTCGTACTTTTATTTTGAAGATCATCAGATAACCTGATATTTACCACTTTTGCCGCAGAATGCTATTGGATGGTGGGATCACATGGTGGGGGGGGTCACGTGAATAGAAATAAGAGGGGCCGAAGGAAAATGGGTGTTTGGTGTAAATCTGGGGTGTAATGCTGCCATATATCACGCTATCTCGTAAAACCGACACTGAAGAGTCTCGGCCAACAAATCACCAGACAAAATTATGAGTTCGTCGTATTATGTGAATGCTCTTTTTCCCAAATATACGGCGGGGACATCCGTTTTCCAGAACGCGAGTGGCTTTACAGAAGCAACTTCTTGCGCCTTTGCAACCAACTCACAAAGATCGGGCTATGGAGCGGGCGCGAGCGCCTTCCCAGCCCCGATGGCCGGGCTGTACAATGTTAACAGTGCAATCTATCACGGCCCTTCCATGTACAACACAGGTTATACCCTAAACTCAGATTCCTACAACCTGCGCTGCTCCTCCTTAGACCAGAACATTCCAGTTCTTTGCAGCGATCTGAGCAAACAGGGTTGCGAAAAATTGGATCAGACAAACGTGCACCCTCAAGCAGAGAGCAATTTCCGGATTTACCCCTGGATGAGGAATGCAGGTATGGGACATAAATGTAACATAGCTATGAGATGGCCATATAAATGGTCAGCTAAGATGAACGCCAGTACATCCTTAAAGTAGTTAAAGAGTTTTAATGATGGCTCAGCTCAGTTCCTCAAACGCATGTGGCATTGTATGCAGATAGCAATCATAAAACTTTTATTGCACAATTAATCAGTACAATCCTCGTAAAAGCACTCGACTTCCGCTCCTTTAAAGTTAACAGCAACTCACATATTGCTTGTTTACCCCCCTTTTATTGGCATCAATGGGAACCCTTTTTAAATGGGGGAAAATCCTGTATTCACAAGTAAATATAGAAGTGATATGTGCCAGGACTAACACATATTTATAGAGAAAGCAAGGTCGATTTGGCATTTACGAAATTACTTTATTGCTTTTCACCTCAAGAAAGACCCATTGGCTCACATGAAGTTTCCTCTGGTAGCTATTTTTTAAGTTTAGCATTGCAGTGCCTCAATATAGAGGAATTTCCCGTCAGTGGAAATGGACAATTTCCTTTGGTGGCGTCAATAACAGCACATTTACACATTTAAAGAATCACACATACAATTACAATTACACCATTAAAACTTCGCTGGATTCACCCCATTGAAAACCAATGCCTAAATATTCATTCTGTGACTGTTGGCAATTTTTAAAAGTTTTGATTGTTCTATATTGATATGAAACTTGTTTACTTGTGTTGATTGGCTTTCTGCCATCTGTATTTATTCATGTTTTACGCTGGCAAAACTTCCATTAAGATACAGGGAAAAGAACAGTTTGATGCATCCTCAACCTTACCCTGACTTAATTTATCATAGGCAAAACACGAAAGAATCCCACACGGAAAACAATAAGAGTATAAATAATTTATATTTCCTTCTTGGACTCATATATCTCTACCCCTGAAGCTTTGAAGACTCACAATTTGTAAACAATACCCTTGATTCGGAACAAGAAACCGCTGAAATCTCCCAAATATTGACGTGGACCTCAAACCTCACACTGGGCTGTTTATACGTGGAAATCATTTTTCAATAAACAGTACATATTTTAATTATAAAACAGCGGAAACGAGAGATGCAGGACGTTTTCTTTTAAAAAAAAGAACAAATCGGAAGGAGTGACCGCGAGATTTATATTGTTTTCTCTCTCTCTGATGAACAGTAGATGATCGTTTGGGGATTTTTTTTCTCTTTTGCTCAGGTCCGGACAGAAAGCGAGGGCGGCAGACTTACACCCGCTACCAAACGCTGGAGCTGGAGAAGGAATTCCACTTCAATCGCTATCTGACTCGCAGGCGGCGGATTGAAATCGCTCACGCTCTGTGTCTTACCGAGAGACAGATCAAAATCTGGTTCCAGAACAGGAGGATGAAATGGAAAAAGGAAACCAAAGCTGGGAGTTCCACCACCACCACCACCACCACAACCGAGGAAAAGACAGAATAAGACCTCCCCGTGAATCCAGAACTGTTTCAAATGTATGAAGTTGTTCTGCAGCAGCTAAACTATGACATTAAACTACCTAACCACAATAGTGGAAAGTTGACGAAATCCTGTGCAGACGCACTCATAATACTACCTATATGTTTTCTTAACCTCTTCCGAATTTATGGTTTCAAAATGAATTTAACGTTATTCTCTAAAGAGCACTGGATCCACAGACGCGTTGGGTAAAATAAATAGGAATTGGGTTCGGAATCACTGTCTGTCAATATAATATAATATAACTCGGAAATAGCTTCGGAGTCTGGGAATTAGTGCAGTTAATTGGAGTTCGATTCAGAATGGGAATGAGACTCTGTGAGGGCAGTGGCAAACATAACGGGAATTAAACTGAGATGCGGTGCAGGCCAGAAGTAAATGAATTGAAATAAATTCATAATCCGTATTGGCAGCAATGAAATAAAAGATAACCCGTGCAGAAATGGTGTGGGAACCAGTAAAATGTAAGGGACGAAAATTTGGCCCATTGCTAAAATAATTAGAATGGGGTTTAGAATCTGTATCTGCGTTAATAAAAATAAAAAAAGAATAATAGTAGCAAGCACAGAAAAAGATTTTAATCACTATTCTATGTTATCTTACAGTAAACACTCCATACCACTACTTAATCTCCTGCACTGAACTATTCCTGAGAGTTTTTCTCCCTACTATCAAAAAANCTTCCAAATATACATTTTTGCAAAAAATATTCTGATGATCACTTTGATTCACACGAGTACCAGTGCTATGATGATAATCATTTCGTTTTAATTCAACTGGAAATTAAGTGTTTAAATCATAATATCAACAATTTCCAGAACTAATGGAAAGCTGCAATGCTATTTTCCTTCTCGATTTATTTGTTTACTCCATTTTTTATTCATACACAGGTTTTAACAGGTTGTTCTCTCGATGTATCGGTTTACTCAGAGAATCACCGATTAATTAGCAAATAAAGAGGTTGATTCGCATAGCAATGAAATGTAACTACCTAAACCACAATAGTGGATTACTTGCACACCTATATGAAAAACTACCTAAATGTTTTAACAATCACCTCTTCCAGTTAATATTCGTTTCTAGACAAACTTTTCTTATAGGGGGGAGGGAAGGGGGGGTCCTGTTTATTCACATTCGTGCAAAATACGTATAATCTGGCAGTTTTAAAAATGTGAATTATACTTTGATGTATGTTTTTATAATAAAGTGCACACTCTAAAACTTCAAAATGACCAGAACTACCCAGATCTTGTTTTTGCATTTGACGTAGAAAGAATGTTTTAGTACTGTGTTAAAGATATTTCTGTAAAAATAAGCAGTCATGTCATATTAGTGGATGGGAACTACAGTAAAACATAAAAATATACTTTGTGACCGATGATATAAAACATGTACATTTCCTAAACATTTCAAAGAAAAACAGTATTGCTATAGGATGTATCCGTGTTAAATATGTTGTGTTGGTTGTCTCATACATATGTACTGTACAAATGATAATAAAGAAACAAAAAATCGAATAACCAAATGTAATAGAAACCCGAGTTTCACTGTTGATTGAATATGCTGTGACTCTGTTTGAATACAGTATTCCGTGTGGTATTTGTGTCAATCGAAAGTTTGCTTTGTAATCTGTGTATGTGTCGTTAAATAATACCTGATGTTAAAAAGGTTCAAGGTGCAATCTATTTAAAAAAAATGTCCGTTCCAGTTATGTATGCTTTGAATGAAATCTCTGTAGGAAAACAAAATATGAAAAATATTAAACGATTGTTGAATGCAATACTTTCTTGTTTCCTTGGGTGTGGAAAATAATTGACACTAAAGGTATATGCATATGATACATATACGTTTCTTTACAAATATATGAATTAATTAGTTAAGAGTTAGTTATTATATAGGATTCGTATGAGTATCTAAAATGAAATCATTGTGCACGTAGTCATTTATTCTTTATGCTTTGTAATCAGATCATTTATTTCTAATTCAACATTTATGTATAACTTTACGTATATCTACGCATACGAATCAAACAGTAATTCCACAAATTTATACCACACATATGGAAATGGTAGGTAAAAAATGCAGGTGTTTTTGCTCTTATGAAACATATTAAAAGGAGAGAATATACTTTCGAAATTCAGGCAATCAAAAAGCGAAAGGTTCTTATTTAATAATCTGGATTGAGTTTCAAATCATGTCCATATTTGTACTTCAAATAAAGACTTAGATTAGGTGAGAAAAATGCACATGATTCTGTCACTTTTTGAAACATATTAAAAGGAAAGAATATACTTTCAAAATTCAAACAGTGAAAGATTCTTATTTAATAATCTGGATTTAGTTTCGAACCATGTCCATATTTGCACTTCAATAAAGACTTAAGATTATAGGAAAGCCAACACAATGCTGTACTCTTGTATTCCAGTTTAATCATATTATAAATTTTAAAAAGAGCCGAGTAGCCGCTGTCAAATCGTAAACTGAACGAATTTTAGAGGAGTCCGGCGACGTACACACTGCGGCACTTTTCCACTTGAAGCTTTTACTGATATAAAATAACCTTGGTTACGTTGCATTTGCAGCACATTCAAAAGGAGAGGAAACAAATACATTTCGATATAAGAGACGAGATTTCACGTAAACCCGATTAACATTTTAAAACAGCAATTAGAATAGAGGAACAATGTAGTCATCGTTTAAGAAGGACAATCGACCTCAATATAATATTAGTATTAGGCTATACAGTGAAAAAATGATTATTATATTCACAACTGTGAAAAATTCTTTAATAATTTTGCAATATAAACTTGTTTCTTTGTTAAAAATGGCGTCTAAGACCTGCCTCCTAATAGTCATGGGGAAATGTCATAAATCCGTTGTTGTTTTATGAAAATTTACAACTTTGCAATAGAACTTTACGAGTTGTTCGGTTTCTCCATTGGCCGCTGACGGTCATGTGGATTGCAGCCGTGAACATGAACTTTTTATAATTTCCCTTGCGGGTATAGAGCAGCATTCTTGTGCTTAGCGCGTCTAGGGTCGGATGTAAGAGCTTTGCAGGCTTTTTCAACGCATGATTTTTTTTTTTGCCTTTTTTTTCGCCCCCCCCCCCCCCACCCCCCACCCACCTCTCCGGTGCAGTGATTATTGCTCATGGAGCTTGAATGCAGCAACCCCTTCAGCACAGACCTCATGGCTCGTAGCTACGAATTCCTCTACGGAAGGTGGGACGTTGGATTAAAAAAGCCCCGGCTCAGATCTGCAGGGCAGTTTCCTGCTCCCCGTCACCCAACGCCGCTGGCAGAATGCGAGAGCCATTGGTCTGGGATGGAGCTGAACAGACAGCTGTCAAAATACCATCGGCTTTGCAAACAATGACAGTGGCTTCTGCAAACACTACGGGCATTGCAAACTCGCCCCACCAAACCAAACCATGGACTCAGCAACCAACTACAGGGTAAGGGCCTATTCGGCATTCACAGCATTGCATATTCTACAACATTGCTCTTTTAACTGGAATATTTATTCCACCTTGTATTCTTGAAGAACAGTTAACATGTCAAAGTTGAAAGACTGAAGCGGCAACAGTGTTAAAGATCTTCGTAATGTATTACTTAATGTGCGTGTTTTTTAAAAAAAATATTTCCCCCTAAACAAATTTTACGCATTTGATTTTTTTCTTGAAACCAATGAGTAAATTGTATTGTTTTAGTAGTACGTTCCCGTTGATTTGATCACCAAACGGCTAGTTGGTTCAGAATATTTTGCCCAGGGAACACATTTTACAGAAGTAGATCGCAGCCTTAATGATGTTTTGAGATACTGCCAGCAGAATTCAAAGAGATGTGCCTTATTTTACCAAATTAATTTGCATGGAATTCTCTATATTTTTAAAGAAGAGAACATTAACTTGTGTTAATTATGTACAAATTGCTGGTTAGATTGATCACGCGACAAGTCTTGCAGTAAATATTTTTTACTGCTGTGTGTCGTTTTTAAATGCCACAATTTTCGTTTAATATTCTATGCAATTTTTAATGTCGTTTTTCAACAATTGTATCATATGAATCAATTGTACGTTGTCATCCAACATTGCAGATTATGTGATATTTCGGATGCCTTATCTGGTTTTGTGACATTATTCGCTTAATCTGGGATTTTATTGTTGCTGATATTTATCAAGAATGAAAAATTGTTATGAATGCAACATCTGGATGTGTATATGGAAATGCATCCGTTAGTATTTTGACTTATTATAAAAGGGGAAATTCACCCTTCTGGTATTGAGCTGTTGTCTGACTTAAACGTGTGTGGATATTTATGACCTATCCTTTCGGTATCTATGCTGCCACCTTGTGTTTGGAGTGAGGACAACCGCAGGTTTCTGCAGCACTGTGCAGTCATGTGTTGCTGATTAAGTGGTTGAGTTACATTTACAAATTAACCGTTGTTAAACGTCGTATCGTTGTTTTGCTGTCGAAAAAAGTAAATTGTGCTTTACTGGCATAGCATCCGAGGATATTGAACACTGTGAAAGTGGTATTTGTATCTTTAAAGATATAATTGCAGGAAATTGACTGTTTAAAATGGAAACATCACTGAAAGTATGATTTGAACTTTGAACTGTGATTGGATGCCCCCACCTTCCAACCGACACAAGTATACTTGCTTTACCATTTTGAGAATATGGATAAGCTAAAGGCGAAATATTAGTAACCAGCTGGCTGTTGGGATGCTTGGAGAACATTCTGGACATTAGTTATTCTATCCGCTCTCACGTTTTGCAAATAGTTGATAAACAATACACGCAACACCTCAGCCGTTATGTTCTGAATGATTATATGGTTCGAAATACTGCTGAACAAGGTCAGTCCGCAAATTATCATTAAAAAACTCTACAATATGCGCATCATTTAATTTCTTCAATTATGTTGAATTATGGCAAAACACGCTTTAAGAGATGAAATAACACTTTCCAAGCATACCTTTGTTCGAGAAAGGTAAAGAGAACATGAATTTGAGTTTAACTTGAGAGTGGAAGATAATGCTTTGGTTGAATGTATAACCAAACAACAGTATTGTCCTTTAAAAAGGTGTCCAATGGTCATTTTATGACGTTAAAATATCGCATATTTTATAAAGCCTTTTTAAAATAAAAGCCTTCTTAAAAATACATCTAGACCCTACTAATATTTCTATGAGATAATATGTTTCCGAAAGACGTTACAGTTATTTAAAAATAATTTCATTGCACGATTTGTAGAATTCTTAAAATAAAACAAATATTTTTTTAACGATAGAGATAGACAACAGTATAAAAATAAAATTCCAGCTCAGTTTCCATTTTGAGTCACTGGTCGGTATTGCGGGATTCTTCAGAAGTCATTTGAAAGGAAGGATTTTAAAGGAAGGATTAAATGTGTAAATTAACTGTACGTCGATTTTGTTTTACCCTAAATATAATCGTTTTGGCTGGCAAAGCGATTTTCGCGTTAAAGCTTGGAACAAATAGAACAGGCCTCAATTACTCATAACAAGCGAGAACCAAAAAAGTTACTTCTAACTAAATTGTTGACTGATGAAGTTGCATCAGCTTTTATGACCTCTGGAACAAATAACATTTCGTCAAAAAGCATACTTGCAACCTATTGGTAGTTACTTAACATTTCGGCATGTTTTCTTTATAATATTTTAACTTTTTGCTTTTTGAAAAACACTTCACGGATACTCTCTTAATGCAATATTCATTCTTAATTTCTCACTGCCAAGATTCATACATTTGTAAACTTTATAATTTTATAGGTGTTGTTATCTTCAAGCCAATTAAACTTCGGCAACGGAAAGAACAAATCGCACTGAAGATATTTTAACCATTGGGCTCCCAACTTTCTAAAAACGTTCTCAACTACTTTGGAAGAAAAATGTTTCTATAGTTACTTTGTTTGTTAAACAAACTGAATTATAAATGCAAGAATTAGATAATTAGTAAGAAATGAAACAATGGGATCTATTTCGCATAGTATGTATATTTTCAAACCAAAGGGTAAATACAGCCCCATTTTTAATTTAATGTTATTCGGTCGACTATTAAATTGTCATCTATTCTGTAGAAATAGAGTCCTTTCTATCTTGTTTTTGTCAGGTTGCCTACATAAAACGTGATCACAGTCCGCATTTTATTAGCTGTTTCACCTCATTGGGAAAAACAATAGCAATGCATTTCTCAGTGCCTTTTTGTTGTGTATCGTTCAATATCTCCTTTCGTCGGATGCATTTTGTCATTTCCACGATAATTACGCTGAAAAGGTTTGCAAGTGTGCAAGAATTGTGGGGCAATTGCCAAAATCATGCCCCCCCCCCCCCCCCCCTCCCCACCCATTTTTATTTAAAGAGTTTGACGAATAAACGTAAATTAAAAACCATTCAAAAAACAAATCATAAACAGAATAGATCAAGCGTTGATGGGAAAACTTCGAATTTATTAAACTGTTATGTACAATTAGCAAGAAAAAGATACAATACAATATATTACAAAGCACAACGAGAGGCGTTTAGGACAGTAACCGAGGAAAGCGTCGGCCTTTCTTTAAGAGGATTCGAACACGCGTATTCTTGCACATTTCCCTCCACACTTGTGCTGCGTTATACTCACTTCTTGAACAGAAACAAACAGCTTTTGATTTCGGTCTGCTTCAATTTGGCGATTACTTTCGGCCTACAATTAAGAAGGAAAGACAAGTATAAGACTTCAGGGTCGGAAATTAACCCGCTCACGACATTTAACCATTTGTGATCAATAAAGTATTTTCACCTGAAAAAAGCATTATTATTTTTAGTGAAACCACTAAACACATGTGTCCACCAAATGACCTTTCCCAGTAATAATTGGGCTAGAAATGTATGTTTTGAGGTGCTGTAACAATATTTACAAGAAAGCTTTAAATAATTGTCCTATTTAAAATAGGCATTATATACATTAGATGTATATAGTACATATTATACATGATGTCTTAGCAATGTCAGTACGTGATGTAACCAATGTTGACAGGAAAGGAAACCTGACGAGATAATGGGATCTTTAGCAAAGAGCCCTTGACTTCCGTTCTTTCACTGCGATCTGAAGCCGCGCACTGAGTACAGCAAATGGTCTGTTATTCCAAACACAAATGCCTCCATCGAGATGTTCAAAAATGCCTAATTATTCCAAAAGAAACATTCCACTATTTTATGGTCGATAAAGCCTGAACAGAGTGTAATTATGGAAAATCGAAGTTGGGATTTGGGGAGTATTAGCGAATTTCAATCGTATGCAATTAAAACAACATTGTGATGGAAGAGAGCCCACGTACACGCTTATCAAGTATGAAATGGAGCCTGTGTGGATCTGCAGCTCGCTTGGACGTCTCAACAAACCCCGTGAACATTGGTTAAATAGTTTTCTCCAGAAGTACTGTGGCGTTTGTATGCTAAATGCATACGTATGTATGCATGTTTTAATGAAGAGCGCTGGTGCAATAACAATTGCTCCCCACAAACTACAGCAAAATTATTTTAAAGCTGAGATATCGCTTTGTGTTCGTCTCTTAGGCTGTATTTTATGAGAATCAAAATTAAATCTATAAATCATCTTCCTTAATAATACACTTAGCACTACGATTTTTCTGTTTGTTTTCCCACTATGAATTTATTGGCACAGACCAGTTCATGGAATCAAGAAACATTTGGTGTTTGTCAGTCCCAGTACTTGAAGAGGCTATTGTTCTCTATCGCGTTTAAAAGAGGGGGAGAAAAACATATTATGGAGAGACTGTTGTCTGATGTTTCTGAACTAGTCTAAGAAAGGTAACGAAAGGAATTTTGATGTCTCAAAAATATCCAATCAAGAGCTAGGTTAATAAGATGAATTAATCCTCCCAACTGTTATTATCTTGTTCTGGTCTATCTTTCGCACTTACCTATAAGCACATCTACTGAATTAATCATTTATCGATTTATATCCTATTATCCCCCATTTTGGATCATCTATCGTCTAATCACTGTTTATCAAGCTATTGTTGCATACTTTACGCACGTATGTGACTCCCAAACGCGAAACTGTATAAAATGCATGCAATTATACACAACAATATCTTGTAATCTAATAATTTTCTTATTCATGCAAACAGTATTTTATGAGAACCACCCCTGTTTTAGTTCAGAACTGATTTGGTTGTTTGTAACTTTGCTGGTTCAGTCGTCGGTTCTCTGGGGAGCTTTTTGAACCAAAGTCGGTTTCTATTGGCCAGAGGCTGATCAGCTGGTTATATTTGCTGCTGTCGCTTTGGCGCTCGGCCATCCTGAAACAAACCACCTCGATGACTACTAATAGCTAAACCACATTGTGTACTAATACATAACAAATCATATTACTACAGAGTGTGGAGCAAATGAGTTCGTATTTTGTAAACCCTACTTTTCCTGTTTCACTGCCTAGTGGTCAGGACTCCTTTCTCGGGCAGATCCCACTCTATACAGCTGGGTATGATGCTCTAAGGCACTTTCCAGCTTCCTATGGGGCAACGACCCTCCAGGACAAGAGTTACTCGTCACCTTGTTATTATCAACAATCCAACTCAGTAATAGCCTGCAATCGTGCATCGTATGAGTATGGAGCTTCTTGTTTCTATCCTGAGAAGGATATAGCCAGTATATCGCCATCCAGTAGTGGAAAACATAGAGCCCAAGATGACTTCTTTTCCTCAGATCAACATTACAAATCAGATTGTGCGCAAAACAAATTTTTAAGTGAGGAAGCAAACGACCGGAAGTACAGTACACCAATTTATCCTTGGATGCAACGAATGAATTCAAGTTCTAGTGAGTATTTTCCTTTTTTTGTAGAAAATAATAATACAAAGTTGAGCTTAAAATGTTGTACTTAATATCAACGTTAAGTGGAATGCATGCATATGCGATATGTTAAATATTACGTTTAGCGTTGTATAATTGTTTTTTTAAACAGCAAAGTTTGAAAATGTACCAAATTTGCCAACAGGAGCATTCAATGCAATGTCCTTTGCATTCTTGTTTCTATAATGCAGGTTCTGTATTTGGGCCACATGGACGTCGAGGGCGACAAACCTATACACGATTCCAAACTCTGGAGCTCGAGAAAGAATTTCACTTTAACAGATATTTAACAAGGCGCCGCCGGATAGAAATCGCCAACGCACTCTGCCTTACAGAACGTCAGATAAAGATCTGGTTTCAGAATAGGAGAATGAAATGGAAAAAGGAAAACAAACTTCTAAACACAACAGAATCTAACAGCGAAGGAACAGAAGAGAAAACAGGGGAGTAGCGTGCACATTCAAAATAAGTTTGTCTGGGCCTTTCTGTTAGATAGTGGTTTATGTGCTCAATCTGCTAAACAGAGCAGAAAAAAAATATTTCTATTAGTTTCCGTTACTATTCTCCATGAGCTTGTGTCTGTGTATAAGTGGTAGAAGAAGTATTTAAATAATTCCGCATTCCATAGGATACTATAATTATTCAACATAGGATTAATTGTTTTATAAATGTGAAATGTGAGTGTTTCTGCTTCTCTCGTGGTTACTCTGTGATGACTTGCTTTCCAAATAGTACTCCCAATTGTTTCAATCGATATTTTTCTTCATGGATATAATTTGACAGTTTTCAAATAAATGAACGCAATAGGTATGCCCTTTTGGTACAGTTAAATACAGTACTGCATTCGCCCTTATTTTATCTGATTATATTTTATTATTGTCTTTGACAAATATTAAAGGGCATCGCGTTCAATCAGCATGTCATGCTTTCCCTGATAAGCAGAATATTTGCTTTAATTTGGCTTCATATTCGTAGGATAAATAACGCTCGAGTGCCAACGGTGTTGCGCCTAAATTAAAATTTTACAAAATCGTAAGCCGATTTCAAAGTGTTTTATTTTAGGCTAAAGCTCTCTCAAAACTTTATTTGGCACGGGAGGCCTTGTGAAATTGATCGGTAGATGTCCTTATTTCAAAGAAAAAAATAGAGAATATACGTGTTAAGAATGACTATTCGGTTACTGGAGGCCATTAAATGCGATGATTTTCATTAAATCCGTAACTAAGGACGTAGCGGGAACCACTGTTAAATTTATGAAGCATTTATTCTTAATATTCATCACAGCAAATGTGTTCTGAACTTGAAAACGGTATCGGGTACAAAGCTCTCTTTTTTTAATTAGGTGAATGACTTCTGTATTTCTAAAGTGGGTCTTTATGGTTAGATACCGCAGTCTTCCATCTAATCTCACCGAACAGAAAGTGTGGTGTAAATAAATTGTTTCCCCGTAACCGAGGTACGAAGCAAAATTTATTTACCAGTGGAAACGGGGTTCTGGTTTAGTCTGCACTGTAATAAAGTAGATTGGAACGATTTAAGCGCATTTTCCAAAATACGTGACATGATTTTTAAGAGCGCGAAGATTGGTTTGATAGTTCAAGTGTCTGTTTTCGAAATTTCCAGAAACACGCACAAAAACGTTAACATTGCTGAACTGTGCGACCAAAATACGTATGTAAAAAAAAACGGTGCATGGAAAAAAAAATAATCGGCTTTTTTGATCTTGTATAATTTCGCATTTTTCTCGAAATAATCAGCGATGGAAGTCAATGCGTTCGAAGAAAAACATTACATATCCCATCCAAATTAAATCCGAAAGGGATCTTTATTCAAAGCAACCCCATTGCAAGAAAATCTCAAATTATTTTTGTAAGATAATCCGCAATTGCACAGAGAAATGATCTGCACTGGGAGGCGAGGCTGAGCAAAACAACACGATGGTCAGCAAGGATCTGGTTTCGAAAGAACCCCCCTTTTTTTTCCCCCACTGTTTTATGGTGAATGTGATTTATTTTACGAAATGTAACGGTTACTTTTGAAATGTGCGGTCGCCTTAATTCGACCCGAGGCCGATTGCCCCGTTCATCATAACCAAAGGAAACTGAGCCCCTGTCTCCAGAGGGTGGCGCGCAAGGACAACCAAAAGCTGCGGTTGGGAGCCGGTGGCGCGCCCAATGCGCGTACCCCTCATCCTGATTCCTCCGCTACCTTCCCATTTGTAGCCACAGTGCCCGAATTTACCTCTAGAGGTCATCAGCGAGAATTTACGACTGGACAACAAAAGCACGTGATTCCAAGTCGTACCCCATATTTGGGCGCCTACGTAGGAGGGAACGAAGTACATGTCCCAGTCATTTCCATAATTCATCATAAATTGTGCAGGGTGCTAGACGCACAAACGACCAAGAGCCACAAATCAAGTAAAAATAAATAAATAAAAAAAATCAAATGAGCTCTTACTTTGTAAACTCATTCTGCGGTCGCTATCCAAATGGCCCGGACTATCAGTTACATAATTATGGAGATCATAGCTCGGTGAACGAGCAATACAGGGATTCTGCAACGATGCATTCCAGCAGGTACGGCTACGGCTACAATGGGATGGATCTCAGCATTAGTCGTTCAGCATCTAACCATTTTAATGCCAATGAAAGATCTCGAAGCTACTCTGCAGCAGCAGCAACAACAGCAGCAGCAACAGCAGCAGCAGCAGCAGGGACAGGAGCAGCAGACACCAGGTACAACCAACCTGCCACATCCACTCAGTCTCCTTCACCTGACCCTCTGCCCTGCTCCGCAGTGGTCACTCCGCCTGCCAGCGACAACAACCACGGAATCAAAAACTCCATAGCAAGCCCAACTACCTCCTCAAATTCCAGCAGCAGCAGCAGTCACATCAGTAGAGATGGGGTTGGCACGTCGCCTGGTACTGAGGATGACACCCCGGCAAGCAGCGACCCGCCAAGTTCACAGAACGGGCAAAGCACAGCACAACAGCAGCCCCAGATTTACCCCTGGATGCGAAAACTGCACATAAGTCATGGTAAAATCCCTCCTCTCTTTTATCTTTGCATTAGTGGGATCCTAAATTATCATGGATGTTATAAATCAGGCGCTAAACGTGCACCCTAATGCTCCTTAATACCTCTGTAAGGGTCATGTTTTTAAGTTGCTATTGTATTTGAAGTCGTTGGGTGATGGAATATTAATTAATACGTTGGCCAGTTGAGCATCTGTAGTGTGAGATTAAATAGGAACTGAGTTTTTTTTTTAAATGTGTAATTGATTGAAAAAAACACCTTTGACCAAGTGAACACTTAACATTTAGTTCCAGTTAAGTTTCTAAGACAGTTATTTTTAGATACAAGCGAGAGCGCAAAGCTAGCGGAGACATGTGAGTGATAGATTTCGGTCTGGTGCTTTCAGTTGGGCTTTATGAATTTTTACACCACATAATTTACTGATTTGCACTAAACAAAGGATTCATTTTTTTCTGTGTTACAGACAATATGGGAGGACCAGAAGGTAAGAGGGCCAGGACGGCTTACACTCGATACCAGACCCTGGAGCTGGAAAAAGAATTCCACTTCAATAGATACCTGACCCGGAGACGACGGATAGAAATTGCACATGCTCTTTGCCTCACAGAGAGACAGATTAAGATCTGGTTCCAAAACAGAAGGATGAAATGGAAAAAAGATAACAAGTTAAAAAGCATGAGCATGGCCGCTGCAGGAGGTGGATATCGTCCATGATCAATAGAAGTACTGGGCAGTAGCTGATCAATTAGCATAATGTCAATACAGTACTGACTTCCAAAACTCTTTTCCCCTGTTACTTCTATGAAGAAAATCATTTCAGTGTTGCCGTATTCCAACCTTTGAATCGTTAGCCTGTTCTCTGGTCGTACTGTTGCCTGTTCAAGTATTCTGCTTACAGTTGTTGTCTAGGAGTAGCATAGCCTTGTGGAATATAGCTGTTTTAACTTATTTATATTAATACAAGCGGTGTTACTTGAAGTAACTGTATAAATCGTCCAGTAAAGAAAAATGTAATTATGTGTTGCAGTCTATAAAAGTGTATGTATGTGTTAGTTGCTACATGTCAAAATAGCTCCAAGCTTGCAATAAGTAATTTAATTTCAGACTATCGTCCTTTGTAATTGATATCGTAGTGTTACATCACTGAGATGCTACCTATTCTGTGTTATTAGTGAACAGTGAATTTTGTGAAGGATATTGCGATTTTGAATTGTATGTCTATGCTGTGCCTTGTATGACTTTGCACGAACTCCAATAAGTGGCTCTTAGCGCAGCGTCAGTGTATGTTTTTGTGACAAAGGATAAATATAAAGCCTAAAGTCTGGCAGCTTAAGAAATTTGTGATCAGCTTTTGTATTTGTTTTTAAGACTGACTGGAAGTTAAAATAAAGTTTCTATAGTAACTTTCCTGGACTTTCGTGTCCAAAATAAGCATTCCTGTTGTGTGTTGTCCTGTGAATTAAATATTTTAAATGCTTCTGTTCGTCAACGTTTTAATATAAAATTCCGCTAAAACTAACAAATTGTGTCTATTCTGTACAATTTTGCACCATTCATTCAGATGGACATGCTACAGCCAATGTGAGTATCAGTGCTCACATGAGGCAAACAAGTTGCGCGAACTTAGGTCGAATGATTAAAATCTGCATCTTTTGTACTCTGGTTATTTAATGTTGCGGAAAGCAGAAAAATATCGACAACATTTAAACCTTTTTTCTGCATTGGATGTTAGTACTTTACGTAATTCGAATTAATACGCTTGCCTCAGACTGTAACACTCCATACGCTCTGGCTGTTGTGCGCACCTCAAACAGCATTTGCTAATCAGGTTCATTTTATGCTAAACGCCAATTTCCCTTTCTTCCCTATATTCATACAAAACCTCGTGTGAACACAAGGTACTTTGAAAGTCGTTTTGCGTTGATCCGGAAAATAGTGGGCATTGAAGTACTCCAAATACTTTTTGCTCTGCAGGTAGGCGTTAGTCACGTTCTCTCAACTCCTCTACCAAAGTGTAGAGTAAATGTTTTCCAACAGGTATCTTTCGTTTTAGAGTTTACTTACCGCATGAAGGCAGACCAGAGAAAAAAAGCACGTCTTAGCTCCTGACAGCAAGTAGGGATCAGCACTTTTACCCTTTCTGCTTAGTTGGTGTCTGTCCTTTAAAGTTATAAACAGTAAACTTTTATACACCTCAGTTCCGGCTATATGACATTTGGGTGCCAAATGAATAGGGTTTTGTCTATGAATTAGATCGTAAAATCATCCATAGCACAGACTGATAGCCTCACTGGCTATAAAAAATCACGTGGTGTCATTAAAGTAAGTTTTATGGTTTTGGGGAGTTGACAACCAACAGTATATTCTACATAACATATAATCTCACTGACGCTGGACTGCATTTGGCTCCTTTGCAGATTGCATGTGCACACAGGCCACTCAAATGGCTAATCATCATGATCAGAGGACTATCCAGAGTTCCACAACTCTAGTGTACCAGAAAGTTATGTGTTCTTGCCTCTGGAGGTAAGTTTTGTTGAAATATTATTGTTATTTACCATTCATGGGGGAAACCCAGCCCAGTAAATGGCCCCTAAGCACCACCCAGAGTGCACTGAGGCAGAAATGGGCCAGGGTAAATCAGTTGTTGCTTTCTTTTGGGGTTCAAGTGATTTCACTTGATAAACAAGGTGAAACAGAGAGAATGATTTTCAAACGTGGAGTAACTTTTAGAAAGGTGAACCGACGGAGTTTAATTTCAAGTGAGGTGCATCTTTGATGTTATTTTACTCTTTGGAGGTTTATTCATTGAATCGACTGTTAATGACATCATTTTCATAAGGTTTGGCGGAAATTTGCTATCTGTTTCTCTCAAAAGTAGTAGTTTCTCCAACAGTTGTTTCAGTTTATTTGTGTGTTCGTGTCTCATGGAGGGGGTAGTGCCTCTGTGCTGGCAGGAGTTTATTCGTTTGAACAGTGTGCAGTTGTTGCTGTTACCAATACAATAGAACATTAAGGTTTTATGGTCATGCTTAGGGAAGCTGCAGGGCACTCGTACTTTTTATGACTGTTGTAAGAGTGTTGAAAGCTTATTCGTGTGGTTCTCAAAACTGCCGCTTGCTTTTTGATGACTCGAGTACACAGAATTCCTATTATACATGCATTAGTTAACATTTCCTTGTAAGAAATCTCATTATTTTGTATCTGGCTCTGGTGTCGACAGTTCTAACCGTGCTCTCTTAAATGGGTAAAATGCCTATGTTTTAGGCGAAACCCAATGAAATAAATGCAACAAAACTAATTCAAACAACTTGGAATGACACCAGTGTCTGTGATAGAGGTGCAATATGGCTCTTTTTAAAAAAATACAGTTAAAACACTGCCAGCGGAAGAGCTACTGCAGCTTTAAATCTGACTGTGGTAACACCAACATTGTTTTAGGTGAATTGCTGGGTTCCTACTGTTCTGACTGACCAACCATAAACTTTATGACCGGCGTTTCTTTTCTTTGAAGCTTCCGCTAGGCTGATATCTAGATATACAAGAAGAGCGTTTGAAGTCACATTGTTTCTAACGAGTCCTTCAATGCGGAAGATGGACATTAGCCACCCATTAGTGTTAGATTTTACATAGGCAAACCCAACCTTTAATATAGGAAATGAAGAGAGCAGGCGGCCACATCGTTAAAAGGGGACAGCACGGTTGAAAGCAATTACCCCATCCAGAATTTCTGTTCAAAACATTCCACTGCAATTAGGTCAGTTTTACGATGTGCTATAAAGATCCAACCACAAATGAAGGAAATAGGCCCTGTGTTACTACAGTAGTTCCGGATCGGCCGTGTCAATCGCGTTAATCTGTTGTAATTTCCCTTGTATTAGTTTACATTTAGATATGATGGTTTTAATATATCACCTGTCTATTTCACTTAAATAACTTTTATGACAAAACGAAACAGACTTTAACTTGACTCAGTACTATTCAACAGAACATTATGTATCATTTGCAAGACTTAAGTTGACTTTTAGCGGTAATTGCTTTCCCTAAACATTAATGATACTGTAATACGTTATTCAGTTTCAAATTGCATAAAGTTTCGTGGAGGTCTCTAACCTTTTCAGTTTGAAGCTATGAAACTCCAAGGAGAACTGTCCTGGCAAAATTAATGATTAATACATGTAAATATTTATCTAATCCTCATTCATATCTATATATATTTAATTATTCGGTGGGAAACAACAAAGAGATAAAAGGCATGAAAATGCTACGAATACTGAATCCCTCTTTCTGTATTTTTCTTAATGGGGGCCAAACGCATATTGCCTCAAATAAGGGGTCATCGGTTGTCATAGTTGCACTTACTAAACAAACTGCAGGAATAGCACGAAGGGTTTAATAAAATAATCAACACGCATTGTTTACTTATATGATTCACAATGCCTTCTGAAAATAACTGGGTAGAAAGGACTAACGACATATTTTCCTATAGCTGACACTGTTATGGTACTTTTATACAAACTGACGTAATTATACGAGAGGATGCGAAGTACATTTTGAAAATTTCATCAGAAAGTTGTGTAGGAAAAGATAGAAGTATAGTTTAGTCGCCATCTCTTCCATGGTCCAAAAATGCATTTTCATGGGAATGTTTCGTTTTCTACCCCAATAGTTCTCATCTGTGATATGAGCAAAAGAGCTGGTTCTAAAATATATTAACGTTTATAAATCTTCTCCTTCCATCTAAACTAACACATCTGTAAAGTTTGTGGTAAACCATTTGATGTAGGCTATGAAATACATCCAAAACAGACCTTGAACACGCCATCTCATAAATCAATGAGTATATACATAGTAACAAACTACTATTTACCGTTTTGCTGTGTTTTTTTTATTTGAAATGGGTTGGGGATTACAATTGAGTAAAGAATAAAATAATTTTAGAACATGAGTAGTACATTTATGGGGTTTTGTAAAAGATTGGTTGGTATAAAATGTGGAATGTGATTTGTTTATGTTTCGCCAGAGTAAGGGCAACGAAAGGACAACACGATTTTCAATAACAACAAACTATGCTAGTTTATCTTTTGGAGACAGCAGACATCTTCTGCGACGTTTCTAACTGTGTCTTTCCCCTAAGTCCAAGGCAAAACGTCCAAACTCATTGTTTTGTACAACTCAGTCTATGTAAACTTATGCAGCATAGTATGTGAAAATGTAATCACTCTTCTCGATGTCTTTTCAGCAATCTCGAGAGTTCTGCAACATTGTGATTTCCTGTTTATGGACAAAGTAACAGCTAATTGATTTGACGTTCATTAGAGAGAGTAAAATAAATGAAAGAGGAAGCACCCAATGCGGATTCTTTTGTAAACGTACACAAAACAAAACAAAACGGAAATCACTTCTAACGGAAGAGGAAAATTCATAGAAATTCACGTGTAATAATATCTTCGAGCACATAAATGGAATTTCAATATTGCGTTACATAATAATCAAGCTTTTGCATGGTTTTACTTTAGCTCGATTTCTGTAGCCTGACTGATGTGAAGTTTCATTTGAAATGGTTTTGCATTTCAAAGATAGTCATATTTTATTGAATATCGTAACTGAAAAGTAATTTAGGAAAACTTTACAGGGGATAGGAAGTTCTATCATCACCACATGTTATTTCTTTCATTTGCTTTCAACTGTTCTATTCACCAGTTACATGTTTGATATTAATTGTTGTTCAGAGGTCATATTAAATGGAGAGAAAGGAAATCCAATGGATGTCTGAATAGGCCGTCAGGAATTTCTCACCAATATGTTTGGGGTACAAATTGACCTTTTCTTGAAATAAGGGTTTGTTATTCTTCAGAGAAAGGAATTAATTAAATGTTGTGAACACAATATATCCAGGATCACATTTAAAATATCGCAGTGCCATTGCATCATCCTATCGTTGATGGGTTGGAGGAAAAAAATAAAAACGCACCAGAGAAAACTATTGGCTTTTATTTTATTTTGCCAACACAATCGGTACATTAAGTAGGGAAGTAAAAGTTGTGCAGTCATAATCTTATTAACGTTTGCAAATAAAATATTAACACACAAAATAGCAATATGAATTACGTTCATAATGACGAAGCAAACTGACACGTTGAAGGTATCGTTTCACGAAAAGTTCATATCTGATCAATGAACAAAACTGATTTAAACATAATTTATTGTCTTTTAGATTCTTAACTTGATAGTTTGTTATCGTTTGATTCAAAATCTCGAATTTACTGCCTGTGCTACCATTGTTTTTTGTTAGTGGAATATCATAAATAATCAGAGTCTGTGACAAACAATTTAAAGGGTATATCCCCAGATTCCCATTCTGGCTTACACCTTATAACTAGAAATGTGGATCATTTCATTGTTCTAGGATTTCTCGTTGCTTAAACCTGGTAGAGCATGTACTCAGGAGACAGAGAAAAGGGATTACCGGAAGATGTATCTGCACACCCTGCGAGTCACCAGCAGAGCTCGCTTCAGACCAAGTTCACAGTCATATTGCATTAGTATGGACGTGGGAGCTCACACGTCTATTGTTCTATCAATACAGCGGAGAAGGAGAAAAGGACGTAAATATTAAAATAGTCTCTTAACGCTAATGACTTTTTGTCAGGGTTATCTATAATTACCCGTGGCTACTGCCGAAAAAAAAACTTACCCATTTTGCATATCCAACTAAATAGAAGAGCACTTGAATAAATAGCTTGCAGACAGTTGACGTTCATACCACGTTTGAGATTAATTTAAGGAAAAAGAAAAGGTTTCACTCATTTCGAAAAGTAACGATTCTCTCAATATTTCCAAGCCTGGAATTAGCAGTACATCATGAAAATAGTGAACGAAAGGGGAATATTATTTCAATCCTCAGTGGCGCTTTGAGAATGCTCTCTGTATCGTGGTTGGCAGGGCGGTACAACTGTAGGTCAAAAAGTTGAGGGTCAAAAGTTTACGTTTTGCACGACTTGTAATCATCTGCTCAGACAGAGTTTGATGTCAATGTTATAGCGCGATCTTGACTATCAGCACAAAAGATAAAATAGCTTTGAGTTACTCGTGTATCATACTATGGACTCCAGGTGAACCCTGGCGACTGAGCGACCTCAATTACTGACGAAAGGAAAGAAAAAATATTCTTTTCATGACCAAGACACGCTGTATTTCATCTTGAAAAATTGACCACGGTAATTTTAATGGCTGTTGTGTACGTGCAGCAGGTAAACTTTTAGCAACTGTACACAATTTAAGTGACTTGTAAACATATATTTGAATTGTTTTATTCAGTTTAGCTTTTTATCGTACACACTCTCGCTTGTGTTCACATGGGTGAGATGCCGTGGAAGCGAAGCTGTTGAATTGCGTACACCATGGAAGCAATGTCCGACTCCGGGCAAAGATCGGCATCAATTAGGTTAAAATTCACGTTGATTTCCCCAGATAATATACTTATTTTAAAACTGCAGTGCATGTGATGTTTGTATTGTCAGATCATTTCAAAATCACGCTATTTTCATCGATTCGATGAAAACCCAGTTTTGAGTACTTTTGTTTTGATTATGAATGGCCTAACTTGTATTTCAGTCGATTTTAATGCGCTCGAGCAAAGTGTGACACTCTATTGAGTGTTAAGCTGTCAGGGGAGAAGTTCTTTCTCCAACTAAAATCCAGGAATGCGATTTATTTATAAGTGTTCAAAAACATCCACGTTTATTCATTTTTTTAATAAACGTTGAGACGTGTTTTGATTTTCACCACATATGTGCGACTCAATAATAATTCTCAAACTCTTTCAATGGAGTGAACACGATCAGAACAATTCAAAATGAAAACAAAGTGGTGCAATTAAATAGCAGCTATTCCATTCAATCACTAAAAGGTCGAAGCAAGCAATGTGGTTTTGTGTGAAACTGCTTTCTAAAACGTAATGCGGTAATTCCTGATCATCATATATATTTTAAAGAAACGTATTGACAATTTAACATAGCACTTATCGCCAATTAAACGATTGATTTAGTTTTTATTTAAATTTAGTTGATTACAATCTGTTAGTTGGATAAAAAGATGAAAGCAAAATTAATTTTACACGTTTTTGCAAAATCATACGAGTAGACAACTGAATTTATAACTTAGTACATAGTCTCGATTTTTTTAAATGAATAATCTTCCAAAATATTTCGTAAACTTGTGTAGAATGGTCCTTCCTTGATCTGTATCTTTTGAATCGAAGAATGTGTGTGGCTCTGAAAAGCATATCAGCCAAATCAGGTAAAGATAACCTAAAATAAACAGAGCACAAAAATCGTGTGGAAATAAACGAAAACAGTGTTAATTTTAGGATAGTTCAAAAAGATACAATAACTTGGATTTTGCAAGTTAGTAAACGACAAAATATATAGCGTAACCACCAGAATAATAGTTTCAGAAGTCCTTTTTTATTTGGATTTGACATGAAGGGATTTTACAAAGACCAATTGAAATCTAAATTGAACTTCGAATCAAACTTGTATGGACTTGTTCGTGATGTAGATAACTCAGTGAATATGAATATAAACAGAAAGGATGCACATTCTCGGATGACTTCCTTTTACTATGTTAAAATAAGAGCCACGTCTTTCACATACAAACTCAATATTTCTCTTCTGTAATAAGAGGAGGTTAAACATGTCAGTTTTCAACGAATAAATTCGTTTTTCTGAGTTAACACTTGTTACTAGTTTTGTAACTTGTCCACGATTGTGTCATCGTGGTTGTTAATCAGTGGATCATAGTCCCCATTTTAATGCTATTCTAGAACCAAAGGTTTGTTGACACTCGTTTAAAATTGGCAACTGCCCGTTTCAAAGAATAAACTTGCCCTAAAAAGTGATAATCCTAACCTCAAACTTCTTTTATAACGCGATTTTAAATGACTTAACCCAGCCTGAAACATTTGAACCCTGCAGCACACATATAAAGACACAAGCGAGAATTTGAAATGCAATGCAGATGTATTGCTAAAACAAAGCAGGCCTTTGTGTAAGTTTCTTGCAAGTTAAATTAATTTCAAATTCAGAAACCACAGTGTCCAACCACTGACATGGTTTGGTTTTATTTAGTGCTTCCTCCACTCTGATTGCTATCAATTATTTACCAAAGGAAAAAAATCACAAATTATTGATTTTTTAAACTCCAAATTGAGAACATTTTATTTAAAATATTTAAAAACGATTACCAAATAGGCTATTGAAATACGCAAGGCTGCATTGAACCCAAGCATTTTGCCTTGTTTTCCCCCCTCCTCAAAGGTAATGACCTGGGCAAAACACCCTGGTATCTGAAAGAACACTATAGACCTTTTAGAAATGGCTAAGTCCAAGGCCGAGGTGAAATTCAGGTCACCGCGTCTAACAAATATGAAAATGTCGCCTCACGAATGGCACGCCTTGTTACTTAACAAAGACTGTCAATGTATAAGATTAATAAGAAACAAAATGCACACGGTGTCACTTTTCGGTCACTTCCAAACTTAGCTTAGCGTATCCTTTGCGAAATCTAATTCATTGAATAAAAATGTTTTGTTTCGTTTCCCGTGCAGAAGCTCAATAAACGCGCAGTTGTGCAGCGCTGTGGGATGTGGAAGTCTGCTCGAAGATGTATCTTCGAAATATACCGTTTTACTTGTTTTATTTTGATGCTGAGTCGAACATTAGCTATTTTAACCATATGTCCCAGATAGAAATGGAAAACAATTACATTACCACCATGGTGCAACCTATCTGATAAACCCAGGGCAGAGCTGGCGGATTCAGTCGCTAAATGAGGAATTTATGACACTATCAACTAAACTACTGGTTTCCTGTTTGGAGGGGAAATTAAACTGGTAAAGTCTAATTTCTGATTTATCAAACCGCGAAACGATCTTCACTTAAGCAGTAAAACGGATTCCTTGACTCTTTCTAAATGTAAATTTGATATGAGCGCCTTTAAAAAATACACCTTACAAAATATTGTTTAAAAAATGCTAACTTTGGCTTTATCTTGAAAATGGCTGTAAATCTAACCTTGCAGTAAAAATGTCAAATGTGCAGGGAGGCGAGATAACACTTGGGGGTCCTGGCTCCATCTCTGTTTATGAAGGGGAAACAAAATCAGCAAACGCGACTGACGTGTGCGTTTACTTGTCCTCAGTAATTTCTTGTGTATATGAGATGCAAAACGTATTTCTCATTTTTCCTCCAAGAACATCAAAACACATATTGCTCAAGTTAATCACTTGGCGATGTTACTTACAAGCAAATTACGTTATCAGATCAAAGTAATTTGCGCCACCCAAGATAAGAGAAAATCACGTTTTTTATTGGGTAAAAGTTAATTTTACTGTATTTTTGGAAAACGAATACAATTATCTATTTATATATAATACTTATTTTGGGACATTTAAAAACACGAACTATTTAAAGAAGAAGAATTAAATGCGAACATCTGCACAAGCTGCTCTTCGGTAAACAACACAAAATATTAGGCCTCCTTCCATGGAAATAATCTAAACACATTCCATTTGTATATAAACTCGTGGAAATAAATATTTATTTATTTATTTTATTGAAAGTCAATTCATTTCATTAGTACGATATTTTATTGAAAGCGCTTCACTGGACAATTCCGTTGGGTAGAAACAGGACAGTTGGACAAATGCACCTTCCAACTTGTGTTTTACAAAATGGTTGAAAAGGGCTCGTTCGAATCAAACATCACTTTCAATATCCGAATACAGAGACATCTTACAAATATTAAAACAGGGGCTGGTAATGATTATGAGATTGACAAGAACTGGCAGGGTGAGCCCGTTATGATTCAGAGAATAAGGTCCATTAAATATAATTACATTGCAAAAATAGAGTGGCGTAAAATTATAATTTTCGTAATGATTGAAACTCATTATTTACTGTTTGGGAATTTTTTTGATATAAAATATTGAGTAATCACAACAATTTCTACTAAATTTAACAAAATATTGGAAATTCCACTTTTTGAATATGTATTTGTACTCCGAGGAAAGTGAATCTTTAAAAGTACAGTAATAGTAATAATTGTTAGTGGTTTATATATATACATAACGACTTATATCTTGCAGTGAAGTAACGAATTATCATAGGTGCGGACTTTATAAAGATACGAAAATACTGGAAGCACCTGAAATATAAATTATTGATTGAGTGTTTTCCAAATACACTCGCGAGGGGGAGGGGGCATGAAATACGCCGATTTTGTTCAAAAATTCGAAATAATAATTGAATGCCGGTTAAGTGTTTGGAAAGGACTGCTGTTGAAATTAATCGTTTTGTTGAAAATTTATTTTGTGTTTTATTTATTTGCTTCAACCAAGAATTACGTTTGCTAGGCAATTATATTAATAGAAGGTTCGTTTGTATCATGTTATATTATGTCAAATTAGATCAAATACAATAATTAATCTCGTGAAATCGCATTTCTGTTGCATAATAAAGATATGCATCGAACGATTGGAGAACATTTTGTCCGTATTTGAGTACATTTAGAAAGAATCTGAAATGAATGTATAACTAAAATAAAATATCTTGGAAATGGTCAGAATTCTCCACCATGTTCCTAAGTCAGAACTGTTTCAAAGAAATCTATAGTGATATATGCGATGGTATCCAGGACCTAAATGTGTTTTGTATTTGTAAAATATAGTCACAATTTTAATAAAATTCGTACTATAAGAGGTGAAACATTTCGGAAACATTTTGACAGTACATTTTACAACAGAACCGAAAAGCGAGAATGTTTCATTCTCGTATACTGCCTTTATTTTTCCTCCGGAAAACACTGAAATATATTATTTTATGGAAAATTATTATCAGAAAGAAGAACAATCCATTCAGACAACAAGCAATCTTTAATTGACGTTATTTTATTGTGTTTTTCCCCCACCAACATACATTTGAAAACATTTGTATTTAACAATAATACACCGTTCTTCTTATTTCCAGTCTTACATTGTGTTAAATCACGAGTTTTCTTGCATAGCTGGAAGTTTTCCTCCCTATGCAAAAAATGTAATTTCAGGGTAAAATTAGATTTTGAATGATAATATAGATTTTTGGACTAGACTCCATGCATTCATCATTGGTGTATTTCCTTATCCGGGGCCCACAGGCAGTCACCCCATTGGTTGACTGCATCACATGAACAACTAACTTTGTACACTTGACAGCAAGTAGGAGGGTTCTTATGGAACAGAAAAACGACAACGCGAGAAAAATTAGTATTTTGCACTTCAGAAATTAATGACCATGAGTTCGTTTTTGATAAACTCCAACTACGTTGAGCCAAAATTTCCACCTTGTGAGGAATATTCTCAAAATAACTACATACCAAGCCAGTCTCCAGAATACTACGAGCGGCCGCGGGACACTGGATTCCATCATGAGGCACTATACCCACAATCAAACTACCCAGAGCCGACCTACAGCTTCAACAATGTCCAAGGCAGTGGCAACCGAGACATGTCGCAAAGAGGTCATGTGCAGTCGCAGGCTAGTCTCCAAAATCACATACCGAGACAGAATCAGCTTTGTGAAGTGGTCCCAGTAGCCACACCAGCTTTGTGTAGCCAGAACGCGAAAATCCCCACTACCCAGAAAGGTACTCCCAGCAAAGAGCCTATAGTTTACCCGTGGATGAAGAAAATTCACGTTACCACCGGTAAGTAACTAAAAGCTGACTGAAGCAATTCAAAATCACTTGAAATCGGATGTGCGGAACCCTTTTCTGTAACCTAGCCCTTTCATGAGATTTACGATCACCTAACTGTTAGGTCGGTAATTACAGCGCCCATAAATTTTATTGCCCTGGATCTTGCTCCTGGCCATGTGTCTTTGATGCTTTTCTAACCTAAAAACACAGGGCCATTTTATTGCAGTAGATTGTTCTCCGTTGTCAGTACCCCTTGAAAGAAAAAGTCTCGTCTTTTATAACCTTCATTCACGTGCATCTAATCCCATTGTCAGATTCGTGTCTGTATCTGTACTTATGTTTGGTTACTTTTTTTTGTTCAGTGAACCCAAATTACATTGGAGGGGAGCCCAAACGGTCTCGAACTGCTTACACCAGACAGCAAGTCTTAGAGCTGGAGAAGGAGTTCCATTTTAACCGTTACCTAACCAGGCGTCGACGCATTGAGATTGCACACACTCTTTGCCTGTCTGAACGCCAGGTGAAGATCTGGTTTCAGAACAGAAGGATGAAATGGAAGAAAGATCACAAACTACCTAACACTAAGATGCGTTCTGCTAGCTCATCATCTTCTGCCAGCCAGCAATCACAAGTATCCTCTCATGGCCCTCAGCCAGATGGTTCAACACCAAATTCATCAAGTCTATAGCTGATTCAAGTCTCCAACCCCTCTCCCACAACATAGTTTGGACCAAAATGTGTTTCCTACATAACAAAACTTGAATATGGAGCGATTTCGTGCAGGGTACATGTTCTTAACTCCAAAAGAGACAGACATTTATATTATGTTAACCCATTCTTCACGGACTCTCAGAGCCTTTCTGTATGATTGGGTACATGTTGTATCCTCCATTACCTCACAGTAACCGTTGTTGGGGTTTGTCAGTGTGCTTTCTTCCTCCATGAAACCCAAAGCAAAATGAGCAACAGACATTGAATAATAGATATTGTGGAGAACTGTAAGCGTCATTATTTCAACTTGTGTAGTCTGTTGGAATATTTTGTGAGGTCTGTAAGAATAAATCTGTTTTAGTAAGCGAGGGAGACAGCAATATGATTTTGTGGATATCGGATAAGTGTTAAACCGAATGAAACTGTCCAAATGCTACATATAGGAAATAAATTATGTCACCAGCGTTATTTAAGGTGTTTTTTTATTATTATTTTAAACATGTATCCTCTATAGAGTTATGGTACCGGAATCAGTATAGCAAATGTTAAAGCAGAGATTTCAGGCGAGTTGTATATTTAACAATCTTGGTACAGTCCAAACTGTGACGAAACCATACAAATCATTGGTAAGATTTGTGTATATTTCTGTGGATATTTCAGTGTACTATGTGCAGTGCCAAATGTTGCAAAAGCAAAAGACACGAGCTGCAGTGTAAAAGAAAGCCCGTAAATTTAAATAAAATATTAATTCATGGAACATCACATTTCTTATGTGTACGATTTACTTCGTGTCAGGATTTAACAAAACAGTAATGTCTTCTACTCCAAAACGTGACTATGCATTTCAATGCGTTATATTTTTGTTTATATTGTTATTTTCAAAATAAAAAGCAGCTCTAAAACTCTGCTGCAAAATATCTTGCGTGGTTCTGAAGAATAAATGGGTGAAAGAGGATGAGTTACTGCCTGGATCCACAATTCGTCTTTTGCAGCTTTTCCACATCAATTTCTACGTCACCAAGTCGTAAATAATGCAGTAAAATGTGAAGCGATTAAATAATAAGTGATCTATGTGGTGAAGAGCACAGCCTTTTATAGCCCCGAATGTTATATTTGAAATCCTAGAATACAGTATAATTGTGTTGCTTTCTTATGTAGATAGATAAACGTTGTATCTTGTTGTGTTTTCTCACACAATCAAACATTTAGAGTAGTAATGACTTTCAAATAAAAAGATATACAAAATCAAGTATTGGGATCATCTTGCCTTTTATTGCTCATATATAAATTGCCATATATATCAGATGAAGTATACTATCAATGTATGCCAGTAATTGATTTCTTTCAGGACTACCCAAATACACTGACTGACGCGGTTAAAATGTGGAGTCGGCGGTTAAACAAATAAGATTCTTTACTAAATATAATATTTGAGCATATAACTGCCAGCTGTACTGTGTTTGATAATTCTGTTGTGGACAGTTATATGGACTGCTACAAAACACAAGTAGTAGGAAACCGAAAAAAAACTCTAGCGATTTATTTATAACAAGCAATACCTTTTCTACGAAACCATCTTATCGATTTCGATATGTCTACATGTCGTGTCTACCCATTAAAAACGCAAAACAACCAGATTCGTTCAAACCTTTCCCTTTCATCTCCAAATAATGCAATTAAGAAGGAATATAGTTCAATGTACAGAGCACACGACTGTTTCAGTACTGGGAAAATCTCACTCCTTTTATTCAATATATTGAGTGTATTTTTTTCTTCTATAAACTATTTTATAAAAGTGAACATTCGGAAATCATGCCACATTTTTCACATGCATTTCAATCAAATCGTTGTGTAGTAATGTTAGTGAAATAGACTCACGTTCCACTTTCCAATCTTTTGGGGAGGACAAAAGTCGCTGAAAACGCAAGGAATGATTTATTTTTTATACAAATGCCAAAGAAGAATCGCGTCTAATCGTTATCAGCCACTTTATATATATGTCCTGTAAAATTACTTTAACGCGATTGCGAATAATCATTTAAAGGTTAGGACGATGAGAAAATGGAGCTCCACTAGGCAGCCGTAGTTTGCTTATCTGTAAAAGGCATTTTAAACCGATTGAAAATACCAGATTTTACCCAGAATCATTAATCACCTCATTCAATAAATACTTCTTTGTATACTTCAACAGCAAGTCTGAAGGGCGTTCTTTTGGAAAAGTGTGTGTGGACACACTGGATTCTCCTGAATAAAATGTGGCCATCTCGTCTCACACCATGCGTTTATCTTGGAACAGTTCTGCAGGTTCTGGGTGGACTATATTCATTACTGCGCATATTGTCAAAGACAAAAGGTAAATTACAGTACTTATAAAACGCCTGTTCTAATGTTTTTTTAAAAAAAATGATCGAGCCTTTAGCAAATGAAGTCAAATTGTTTGCGTTACCACTTGTTTGTTTCCGTCTGATGCTTTTTTAAAAGTTTTTTTTTCTCTCTTGTACATCGAACGTCCTTTTGCAATAAGAAGTTTCATTGTTTGTCAACGGCGAGAGGGCCATCAGATGAGTTCACCAAGAGGACAAATTTTCTGACCGATTAGCTGTTTTTAGCGTTGCAGACTGACCCCTCAAACCCTTGACCTTTAAAAAGATGGACAGTCTTCTTTCTTCCATTTCCTAGGCCTTTAGCGGGGGGAAGAAAACACCTCCTTACAAAAAAGCAACAAAAAATAAAAAAAAACTCTTCTTTTAACGTGATGCATTCCTTAAACAGAGAGAGAGAGAGAGAGAGAGAGAGAGAGAGAGGTGGGGAAGACTATATATATTTTACGGTGTAGCATGTATTGGTGGAAGGAGCACCCGCTGATAATTTATTCACAGGCTCGGGTATCTGTTTAAATATGTTTTATATATGTTAAGAAACAGTGCTTTCCTAAATGTTTTGGTTAATTTTTCTTTATAAAGTTAATGGTCGTCACGATTTTTTAAAAAAGTGTCCAATCATTCACTTGTTACTCTGTGACAATTCACCTTTTTTGGGGGGTTCTATTGTTCTGACTTTTTTAAATGAGGGATATATTGTATTCTTTGCATCAAGCACATGCCGTTTCTTTACACATATATATATAATCATATTACATATATTTACAAATCAGTAATCAATGCATATATAATATGCATAGATTATTGTTTATATATTTTAGCCAATATATATTTTTAATGTCCAGATTTCTTTTGTGGATTAAAATGCAGAAAAGCGAGTGTAGGTCAATCGTTTCACCAATCTTCAAAAATCCTAGTAAGAGTTCGTAAAACTGATTTAAAAAAATCTGGCTAAATTCCCACTAATTATTCAGTTCATTGACAATAGTTTCTTATCAGCTGACTATCCTGCACAGCGTTATTTGCCATTGTTAACAGAATGCAATAATGATAATTGTGGATTCCCCAAAACGATGAGATAGAAAAAACTGTTGAAAATTTGGATGATGTAACAAAATATCGACTGTGGCAAAAGAAGAGTCGATTTAGTGTCAAATTCAGCAGCCTTGCGGGGATGCAGCCACATATGAAAGAGTAGCCTTACATGTGACTGTTATATGTGGGAATTACTGTAACATTGAGCTTCAATATCAAAACTGTCAAGCAGACAATAAAGACAGCTTGAAGAAATGCACAAGAATATTGGGTTGAGGCAGCTCGAAGTATAGGTGACATTACATGGCAGCCCTGTCAAATGTGGGATCAGCGCCGGCCAGTCAATGTTGCATGATCGCTTACCAGCGAGCATCCAAAGACTAAAAGAAAGTAAGACCAATAAAGATTCGAGCAAGAAGAGGCGAGAGAGAGAAAAAAAACCCTCCACTCTCCAAGATGAAGGGTCACGCGTCTCCTCTGTGTATGTATTGAAATTTTAATCTCCCCAGTCACGTGACTCATTAAATAATTAATGCAGCCGGTCCGGAATAGATATGTAGTCGTCAGTATTCGCACTAGATCTGTTTCAGTCTGATGTGAAAATGAACTTTCCTTAAAAAATAAGTCTATAATTGGAAGACAGGTGTTCTTAGAAAGAGGAGAGACACAAGTCAGGCAAGAATTGCGGTGAGTAGTGCCTGTGTGATCCGCGCTTTATTCTGTTTATGTTTTTACAATTTTTTTATTTCTAAAGACTGTCATAAATGTGATGAATAGCGCCCTTTAGTATTCAGATCTAAATCACGGCATGTCTGTGATGGTGTTTAGTCAGTCTCTCGCGTGTCAGTAATATTTTAGATTTTTTTCATGATTAATTGCAACAAATACAAACACATATGATGATGTTCTAGTTCACAGTATGTATGCCTGGATACCACGGTGTAGCTGTGCTGCTTTGTTCAATTTTCCTGTCGTTAATAAATCACCATCTCTTACATGCGCAGGACTGAGAGGCAACTGTAGGCAACACCGTTTGGAAATGAAGAGGCATAAGCTAAATTCCTCTATGATTCATTAATTTGAGCGATTTACAATAAGTGGCAGAGTTATGGTGCTCCAACAAATGCACTAACAGGTGTAATTTTGAGCAAAGTGCTGCACTTATTCTGGCCATGTCCCCCCTTCCCTTGTGCATGAAAATAGCGTAACAATGAAATGGACAATGCAAACAAAACTAGAGACGTTCACAGAAACGTTTGTCTTTATTGTGTTTTAGGACAAATTTCCGGGCCTCTTTATTGCCCAAATCCCTATTTAATACGTTACTAGTATAACCACTGAACACATTTGGAAGCAGTTCACTCTCATAAAAAGATACATTTGTTCCATTCAATGATCTTGGTTTTATTTAAGAGATACATTTGATGTTCTTACCTGATGGTTGTATATCTAGAGAATGTGTATTGTTTGTACTCATAATTAAATACTGTTCGCAATATTTACAATAAAAGCTCGTTAGTAAAAGCACAGTACTTAATTAAATATCTAGTCAAGTACGTTTTATTGTTTGTAGCATTGTCTATGATCAATCAAAACAGGTTGATGGCAATGGAATAAGGGCTGGTACAATGTTTTCAGATTCTGTTACGGCGTTCTTTAAAAGACTTGCAATTGAAACCATCTCCTAGAATAAAACAAGACAAATAGATTATGAGTTATGATTAAACAATCAATTATTATTGGATCAGTTTTCATGGCAAAACATGTATTTTTGTTTCTATCTAGGCGCCCCTGTGTCCAGAAACAAGACTGCTTCCTGGATAGTGTGACAGGGCACAGGAATGGGCTTGTGCCTGAACTAGAGAGGTAAAATATTTCAATTTTGCTTGCAATATGGGAATCGAATGCTTGATTTCAGATGTTTCCTTTATATAGTGGAACAGGTGGTTTTGAACTGCTGTTCATCAGAAAGATGGAACTCTAAATGAAAATGTAGTTTCTTTTTGCAGCTCTGGTATAGGATGCACTAGGCAGACCATATTCCCTCCATGCTAAAATGTATTGCCAAGTTGTAAAAGGTAGTCATGGAGTCATTTCAGAGTGTCAATTCGGTGGTGATTTAAAGGAACAAAAGCCTAGGGTACTTCCTTTGTTTGGAGTTCACAGCAACCTCCAAGAATCCACTGGAGATACAAACATACAGCTTGATTTGCTTTAATTAAAATTGCAATAATTAACTATTTTTGGAAAGGAAGGGTTGCTTTGACTGCACTGGTATCGAGTTATACATTTGACTCATAACTCAGTATAAATTTGAAAGCTATTAAAAAGATTGACAGAAATCCTACAAGGCAACAATTTTCTTTTCCATGTTATTTCTGTTAGATTGCCAGTCTCAAGCATACCAACATTTCATGGCTGATAGTCCACTTGATACATAGTAACAGCGAAATATTTCAAGGGATTGTACCCTAGTGTCTGTTTTTATACAGTAATATGAAAATAGTGATATGAATCTATTTTGAATTAATGGATAGCACGCGGATCCTCGGCTACGGCTTTATATTGAAAAGGTCTGAAGTCAATTTTCTGGAAATTGAGTTAAAATAAAACAGGGTTTCTTTGTTTATTTTTTGTGAAACTGGTGACGAAAATAGAAATAGGAAACAATACGTGCAAGTTATTTCCGTGCCATCTGGTCTAAAATAAATCTAGATCTGTCCACTTTGATTTACGTATTTGTTAAACGCAAAATGATTTTAAATATGTTGAAGCTTTTAAACCTGGGTCATTGGAAATGCCGTATAAATAGAATCTCGGCGGGTGATGCATTTTATAGCGTGTAAAACAATAGTTCTTTTTTATCTACAACAAATAGGGGAAAATATCTAATTGAAAAAAGGGAGAAAGGAAATTTCACAAGTAGGTTAAAGACGGAGAAGCGGCTAAGCGGACGAAAATGGGATTGTCGGATGAAACGGCACAAAGCACCTTTAATCCGCCCACGACTCCATAAACAATGTGTTGGACAATGCATACGTTAGAGGTAATATTTTACCTGTAGCAAATAGGAATAAATAAAGGTGATGAGCTTTGCAAGTCTCAGCCTGCTAAGAAAACTCAAATTTCTGGGTTAATTTAAAGTACCGTTTGATAACGAGAGTCGTTTTACTGCTCAGAATGGGCAGGGCAATAAATTACTCTGCTTTAATGCTTTGTTGTGATGGGTTTGTCAATTACACCCGCATGTAGAAATATCTGTTTCTTCTAGCGCCACGCTTAAAATAAAAACAAAAAGATTTAACAGACTGTTTTTTTGAAAAAAATACTTTCAGATATCTTCATCTTAAAGATTGTAATGTTTATGTTGAAAGAAAATTATTTCATCGCGGCCATTGCTTTGCCTAACGATTTCCAGTGCTCCAACCCGTCGACCCTTTTCTAATCAGATCAGCGTCTAATGTTTCATCCAATTATGTTTCTGCAGTTTATTTACCAGTTTCAGAGACCAGTGTTATCATGTTAAGGGTTTCTTCATTCAAAGTAGGCAAAGGAAACGAATTTTATTGAACTACGTTTGTGCACTAACATAGTTGCATATCTTTTGAATGTAAGTCTAGTTTCTATCCATAACTTTATATTTGGTATATATTAATATCAAACGTGGTTGAACTAAATAAATATAAAAACGACAGTAAAATAAAAGCGAGTGGCAGTGACGACTGTTCAGATTCTATGTACTCTGCCCCACGGCTTTAGTCTTACCTTACCAATCCACTGAGACTTACCACAGAAACTTTATTGTACGTGGCTAATAACCAGGATTTGATCCAGATTCTGCAAACAATTATTTTAAGTCACGTGAACGGATTCCATAAGGTTTTTTCCCCCCTCGATTTGGCCCTGCTTGTTTGCTGGACATTCTCTGTCTCTCACTTGAATGCATAGTTCTCATAGTAAATCAGTATCTCAGACTTCTGCAGAAACCTATGAGGAAAAACAGTCCAGCATTTGCAAGACGGCGAGACAGTTCTAAAAGAGCTGGCCTTCATTTTTCGGCTTCCTTGATTTCAAAGGGCATTGCAAGACTGCAAGGAAAAGCTGCCTCGAGTAAACACAAAGCCATAGATTTTAAGGAGTCGAATAGTCTGAAGACTGCAGACACTTTACTGTGCATTGAAAGTGTATGCCCTTTAAAGTAGATTCTTAATATCACAACGATATTTGTCTATCCTTTGATACTGCTTTCGGATATGACTGAAGTGGCAGGTAAGGTGTAAGACTTCTTTTTAGCTCTGTCTATATGCATTCAGGGTGAATTCCAGTCCAGATTGTAATTAATGGTGCAAAACTTGACCTAAGGAAAGGAAAGCCATTGGTTATCTCAGGACCGATAGCCCCCTTTCTAGTAATCTTTCTTTCTAATGCAATTGAGTTGTAGTTGTGGCTTCCGATCTCTCATTGATGCATTTGGGATTTTTCACAACTTTGTTCTAACATGCAAAATTCTGAAGAAATGTAACCTTTCGTTGCCAAAACACAACGACTAGTTAAAAGGACTTTTAGCCTTAAGAAGCATCTGTGAATTGTGATGGTGATTTATTGCCCGGACGAGTTCTGCTCGCCCAACGCTGCAAGTCCTAAAGGCATGTTTTAACTTTAGACGTAGAATAGTGGATAACGTTCTACACCGCAAGTTTCTTTAGATTTGCTCAATTTGTAGAAATGTGACTTAATCGTGGGAAGCGACTATATATTTCAAATAGTTTTGGTGTGAAAACGTTGAACTCCTTCACTTAGGTCCTCTTCTCAGCTTTCATCAATTATTCATTAACGTTTTACGTTGTTTGTTAAAAGTTAAACTAAGGCTTTACTGAAAGGCATGGATTTTGTTCGCCGAGTAAAGATCGTGGTGTGAGTGAAAACCTTTATACTGTCCACCAACAACGAGAGACCAATACATTCTCTTAAATTCTGTACAGTGAGGTTCGATGCTACAGTAAAATCGGTAATTTAACTCATTCCATCCGCCTTCCTTCGTGCAACAAAAATGGAAGAGGGGAAGGATCTAAATAAGTTTTAATATGTGCTGTTCTTTTAGTGTGGAACATGAAATCATCCCATGATTAACTCTGGAGCAAATTACTGCTTACATGACGGAATAATTTGTTTTATTTCTTCTTTGAAAAATAATTATTTACACTGTGTAAAACAGAGTACAATAAGTAACCTATAGTCAATTTGTATATGATGGACCAACAAGAAAGTAGGACTGACTGGTTTCAGATAGTAGTTAGTAAATATTAGTAAAATGAGTTTAGGGGCAAAGAGTGCAGAAAGGAATAGAAATAAACGGGCGATGTTAAGTTCAGGATACGTGCAAGAGGTATTTTGGAAGTAAATTTTAATTGAGAATAGAAATACATCAGTTATTGTTCTCTCAAATTATAGGCTTTCAAAACTTCAGTTGAACAAATATGAAGCTCTAGGTGTATTTTTTTTCTGATATCACTGTGAGTTGTTCCTCTTCCAAACTTTTAATACGTGTTGCACAAAATAAATGTTAAAATTATCTCTCTATAGGAGTAAGATCCAGAGACTTCCTTAAATTCCATTAATGCACACTGGACACTTTGTCTTAATGTCTCCAAATCACGAGTACAATCTTATGTGTAACCGCTTTGGAAGTTTCTCCACAAGAAACCAATAATTCTGTGCATCATTCAATTGGAAGGAAACGCGTAAGCACACATTTCGCACGAGAGTCCCCATAGACACGTTTTGCGACTCCACTAGAAAAAAAATCAGAACCCTCAAATCGCTGTCAAGTCCACTCCTCACCTCGTATTATTCTGACTAAACCCTGCTAAAGCCTTGTGTGACACTGCTTTGCCATTGTCAGGTAATGATAAGCCTTTTCTACTTTCCATAACTATCCCGGTGTAACGTGTGGGTGTTAAGCAAGCTCTGTACAATAGCGCTCTAAAGCTCGTTCAGGAAAGGGAGATTCGCGTGCAAGCTTAACCATTGTGGCTCCCCCCTGCTAGTCCGGCAGGTTTTGCTCCAAAACGTGAAGTGCTTCATTTTTTATAGGTCGATTTAAACTCCTGCTTCTGGTTTTAGTGCTTTGCAAACAGTTATTGATCTGTGCCAAGTAGTTCAGTCTACAGACTCCGGATAGAGGTCTTTGACAGGAGAAACAGACGACACAACTTACCTTATGGTGGATTTTTCTGCAAAGACTTATCGCGGAGGAAACGACCTGCTTCATCACTAAACTGTGCTTAAGAAACTTCCTAGGTTTTGTGGGGGGGTGGGGGGGGGGGGAAAGTTAGGTTTCGCCCGAAAAAAATGTTCCTTTAATTATTTCCCAAATTCAAATAAAAGGATTTAAGTTGACGTATGACCACGTGAGCACATAATACAGCGCATTATTGTGGCATTTGGATCGGAGACCTATGCTGGCTTCGGCAGTGATTACGCTTTTCCACTTTCTGTTAAGAGCCAGCTATTTTCTTCTGAAGAAATTGCACTCTGGACGCTGGATTTCACATGAAGGATTATATGCGAGCGGGGAGATATGCTGCTTTTAGCGGAATGGATTTTATTTTGAGGTATTTCAAATGCTTCCGTTGATTGTTCATTAATGCGGTGAGTTATTGCTGTTCAAGGCAAAGGTCAGTGGAAAGGCTTACGGGTGTCAGATTGTGCCAGAACATGCTTAGTTTCCTCTTCTCTGCTAGCTTCAGCATATAATCAATTCCCAATAATACTTTCTCTTCGTATCGTACACCCAAAACACTTATTTTATGGAACATTTTATGGAACATGTGCATGTCTTTATTCCTTAAAAACAGAACCATTCACCGTTGAGAGCCTGTCAATGGCCGCTTTCTATCCGAATCCGGGCAAACAAAACATCGTATTTTTAGCAGCTACGATTCAAAAGTCAAGATATCTGGATGCAATTGCTGTTATAATAACGATTGCTGTACCACATGAACATAAGTGGACACATATACATTCTGACAATTTATTCATTATGGAGCCATTGTCCGTCCATTTTAGAAATCCAGTGAGCTAGTTTGTAATTTGTAATACAGCATTATCTGTGGAACTGGGTTATTGTGCGGTTAGTTACTATGTGTAAGATGTTGAAATCTGAATGAATCGTATCTTTTAATGCACGGTTATAAAATATGTGTGACGTGAAATGATTTTATATAAAAAGACTAAGACAGTTCTTCAGGTGTTGATTTTTAAATCATTGTTGTCTAAAAATTGCCCTTTGTTCAACCTCTCTATCGTAGCATTTGATTAATGTAAGACATAAGGCAGGCCGAATCGGGAATTATTTACTAGCAGGCCATCATTGCTTTGGAATATTGATTGCCTTGAGAATTCAACGAAATAAATTAAAAGGTGATACAACCCGAAGCAAACTGCCATTACTTTTTTTTAATACAAAAATAGAAAACATGCGCAATGAATAAAAAGGCAGGAAAAGCTCGTTATTTTTCGTTGTCGGTGCAAATGTTATATAAAATCGCATCCACGAGCGGGTCCTGCTCAGGAAAGGTCAGGATGTTGCAATTTGATTTATGTTTTCCGTGTGTTGGGACACCCGTGCCAATGCAATCTGCTTTAACGAATGCTTTGCTTCTCTTTTGTATATAACTAACCACATTGGCAATTATTGATAGTCGCATCAGTATTTTAATGCAAACATTCTAATAACAATAAAAGATAACATGAAAGAAAAAAAACGCAAATGAAAAAAGTTAATTTCTGCGCTCTATCCAGTCCTTGGCTACAGCATATACATCAAGGAAATATATTGAGGGAAACTCACTACTTTGAAAACTGTAGTTTGTCAAAATATATATCACGTGTGTGCCATTAAGGTTATTGAGGTTGATCTACTTTCTTACTAGAATTTGAAGGTTCATTCTTTATTCCAACTCTTCTGCTATTGTTCCATTCCTGAATTTTATATGCGGGGTTTTGTATGACCAGAATATGTACAGAAGACATTTTTTTGCAGACACATTTAAGATTTTGCTTGCAGTTCGGTTTCATATTGTTTCTTTTGATGTATGTCCGATTCTTATTGTGTTGTGACGCAGTTGAACACACATAAGTATTGCAGTCCCATTGCGTAGTGTGTGAAAACAAGTGCTGGTTACATTAGTACACATATATTAAGGAATGCATAAATAACTACATTTATTTAAAAAGTGCCCTATTTATGGTGGCGCACCATAAACATATATCGAAAATGCTATGTAATACACAAATTTTCATTTAATGAACCATTGGTTTGGGAGATTTCGTTCAATGCTTAATAAACGTCTTGGAAGATTTGTATCATTCAAGAGAACATATCGTTTTTTTAAAAAAACACAAATACACAAATCAGTTTGGCTTATGTCCCATGCCCCTTTATAATTCTGGTCGGCGAATTTTTACACGATTATCAGTTCTCCGGCGATTTTCTTTCACTCGGTGGAAATTAATCGTTTCTTGTTCCCGTTCCAGACTTTATCCCAAATAGACTCTGAACCCCGGGGCCCTTCAGTGAGACTGAACAAACTTTCGGTAAGTTTTAATATTTTCAAATAAATAATACTGGCTACAAAACCGAACTGTAATAATTGCAAGGTGTTAGATTTATTACCCCACGGCAGGCAGACGGGGTGGCAAAACATCTAGTAAAAGCATAATAGGCGATTATGGTTAAGTCACAAGTGCGTATTTACAACAGTTGGGATACATAACAGCGATAAATCACATATACAAATATTATATACAGCATACATTACATACTGGAGAATAAATGCCAGGTTACATTATATAGCATATTGGCTTATCCAGCAACACTAGTCTTAAAAATGGCTGGCGGAAGTGTAAAGTTTCGGTTATGGTCTTTCATGATATCTTTGAAATGGAAGTAACGTTTTTTTGCAATATAATGTCACTTAACACCTCGTAAAAAAAAAGAATTGGCACCTATCGCTTAGATCAAACCAAACGTTCCCTCGGCTTACTTTCTCACCATAAAACTTCACAGCAGGCTGCAAGGGCGAGTCGTCAACACGAAACACGTAAAACATTTTCTCCTCTAGTATTTTGGTTTGCTACACCTCGACATTCTTTCGGTGATTTCTAGCGCAGACTGGTAACAAGCGCTGCGCTTTCGGGTTCTATCCGACCGCTTCTTAACTTGAAACAAACCGAACCACAGGAAAGGTTATTTGCCTCGTTTTTTTTGAAAAAAATCCAGCATTCTTTGGCGTTAGCTTTTTTTTTGCCGTCTTCCTACGCTCTCGAAGAAAAACGGTTGGAATCAGCAATTTAAGGAGAGTGAAATGGTTGATCATTGACTATAAGGTACTTTTCTACAGATGGAGCATTCAGTGGCTCACTTGAAAAGTTGCATACGAGTGAATTTTTACCCCTATCTTCCCTCCTACGCTGTTCGGCTTCCCCTTTCATGTTGTGCGATCGCAATAAGCAATAGGAGCAAGTGTTTTCTCTTTAGTGATCTGTTTACAGCCTTAGTGCATGAAGTCATAAATCTTACGTAGCCATAAACGACAGAAGCATTGGTATGCATAAGAGGTGACCATGGCTCATATACCTCTTACACTGCTCGCCTCTCCCACTCGGTTTTGGTTTTGAAGCGTAACTTTTCTCTCCTGTGCCTGTACACTTTCACCTTAAGAGTTTTCAACACGTCCAAACTATGGATATTAGATTCGCCTTTGCTGTATAACTAATGGTGCCCCTTGAAAAGAGACGGCATTTTATCTTTGTTCAATATTTCCTCCTAATTACCCACACCCTTTATTCCAAACAAAGGCCCTTCTTTACAACAAAGAGTTAATAAAAGTTAATAAAAGTACTTTTACATTAAACATGAAAGGCATTTATTGAGAGTTTAATCGGTTATTTTTTTTAAAAAAAAGCAAGTGTTATCAAAAGGAGAGATGGCTGAAATAATAATTTTGACTCAAGTTATGTTTGCAGAGATTCAGTGGCTGCCAAACCCCGAGCTCTTGTGTTCACCTCGATGGTTAATTTGCATAATTTTTCACTCGTGACGCTCTGTTTCGGGGGAGTTTACCCAGTCTGTCTGTCTGCCCAGCACTCTCAGACAGCAATCTTAAAATCCGCGCTTTTAACATTCAATATTCATAAGAAACATACCCCATTTCTTTGGTATTAGATAAGCGCAGCCCGGAAAGCTGATAGCAGTCTTATCTCCCTGACCAGGGCGCACTACCATAATCACAGGGCTGTCCATCCAAAGCCCACAGCTTTCTCTCCAGTCTTTGCAGCTCTACCATTTTGTCTTACCCTTTTTTTTGCCGTTGTCGCCAACGAGTGCATTTCAGCGCTCAGAGTAACTGTTTGCATTCATTCCACTTAATTTGGAAGTTTGGAAACTCGTGCTTATCGATTTCCCCCCCTCGGTGAATCTGAAAATATTGTGCCGTGGTCTGCGTCTATCGTCAGAGGCTAAGGTAAGCTGGACACAAATAGGCTATCACTTGTGAATGGCGGAGTTTATGTCCCAGTGATTTATGACCATATGACTTAAATCTCGGTTCAAGAAGAGTTCACAAGCTATAGCTTCCTTTCACATTGTGACTGATATCCGTAAGGTTTTGAATTCAAGCCCCTTTTCTCTTCTGCTTCTCTTTCGTCACTGACTAGTCTTTTTAAGGCGATTTTTCTTTCTCAGAATTTTCTCTATTTGGAGGCTTTATAATTATCTACTGCCGCCTAAGGCACAATCTATAAATCTGAACTGCGAAAACTGCTACTGTTAGCAGGGTCTCGGTTCCTAGTGCTTACTGATTATTTTTAAATCGTCATCTTTTTATTTTCGTGGTGTCATAGAGAACCTCTGAAGCTTTTTAATGGTGATGGTTTTATTTTTAAACACGCATTTACGCCCAATGTTTTTCTGGAAGAGTTGGTTACACTAATTTAATGCCAGGCTAGCACACAGGGAAGGCTTATTCGATTTGTCTTGCATTTCGCTTGAACAGACAAAACTTCTCTTGCTGTGTTGTCGGATTCGCATAAAATGTTTTGTGGTTTCTGAGAGTGAAAACATCTGTGAAACTCGCCTGTAATCATTCAGCCACCAGAATGTCCGCATTCTGCAACATGTAATAAGCAAAACGGGTAGTGAGCAGCAAACAAATTATTAAAATGCTTTGGTTGTTTCATAATACAAGGAAGGTTTGGATTATGATCTGCACAGGTGAGTGAGGGTTTGTTTATTGTTGCAACAAACATGGCCGACCGCAAACACAGGTTACAGAAACATAAAGTGAAGAAACATTATAGCGTGAGAGACCAAATTGTCAAGGATTGACACAGAGCCAATTCTTTACAGTAGGATGAGTAATAGGCAACTGCTGAACTTATTTCTAACTGTGTATTTGTACGTACTTAAAACACACAGCAATTGTACAACTATGAAATAATGGAAATTACTAATAACTTTACACAAATTAAAGTAGCGTTAACTTTGTATCATTTTTATTCTTGTATGATAGCTAAATACAATAACACCAAACCTCCTAGGCTTGTTGAAAGGCCTATGATAAAGGCACAGCGCTCTACAGCTGTGCAGCACTGTTGTATTTCACGATTCCAGGTTCAAGATGCAGTGTTGCTGTGGCAGTAAGTGCTATGAATAATAACTGGGTAAGAAGGTTCATTTCTGAAGAAAGACACTGAAACCATCTTTCTAACTCAGTAATACCCACTTTTGGGGATTAGGTCTCGAATTTCGGATGTACCCTGAAATGTGTTATTTAAAACCTCTTTACATATAGCCCTGCCCTCCCCTGCTGACCCCAGCAGATTGGCCTACATTTACAATTCTGAATATGACAGTGGCATTTAAAACAGCTTTATGTTCGCCCTGCAAGTAAGTGAATTGCTGAAACTAGTATTTTGAAACCAACAAAACCTTTTCAAATAAATATATGGAAGTACACACTGGAATTATGTTCAAACCATGTAACAAAGTTCACATCATCAATAGTTCCAGTCGTTTCCTTAATTATGTCACAAAATGGGAAAATTCAGTCTGAACATGTGCATGTGAACATTGTATGAGTGGAGCAAAGAAAGGTCCGAGAAACAAAGGTTTTCTGCAAGGCCATTTTCTTTATGTCAATAAAATAGCATTTAATTAAAATTGGCCTACAGACTCATCCAGTATATGGGCTGTTTATTCGTGAAAACACAACAGTTGCAGGTGAAACAAAGATTTGCAGCCCAAATTGATCTTTGTAGAATCTATTTTGAAAAACGTATTGCTCCATTAAACATTGTTTTAAATAGGGACGAGATGCAATTCAACTTTATTGTGGGGTATAAGGTCGTCTTGGATATGGAAAAGGTAAAACTTAACTGTTATTTGTGAATGAAATGGTGCTAAATCTAGCACCAGAGCCTTATGGTACAGGCACTTTCTATGGTCTGTGCTCCCAACACTTCTGCGGCCCAGTGACCCCCATACATCAAATTACGAGGCAGTTTCAGAGACACAGCCTATTATCGTTTGGTTGGAAGAAAAGTTCACACCGTGGTCATGGAGAAGAACGCCGGTTTTTCTGGTTCCTGGTGCTTTTCCATCCATCATGTTTTTAGCAGGTAGAATTTAAGCAGTAAAAGGAAACCTTGGAAATTTCCGCCAGACCAAATGGTGACCTGTTAAAACTAGAATCAACTAAAAACAAAACAGCTCTGACCGTCAGTTTAGATAAATCTGGAAAGCTAAAACAAACATCGCTTCACACGCAATGCATTTAAAACAACAGCTAAAACATTTGTTCCCTTTCTGGAATGGTGGGAACGTTTCTTTTTAAAAAGAAAACTAAATTATTCTTCGGAGCAACATTTTTTATTGGATTCCGTTGGTGTTTGTGGCACAAAAATAGGAAAGAAAGACGCAAATAAAGACATTGATAAATTCGAGCAATGTAAGAACGCGATTTAAACAGCAATTTTATACATGATATCTTGAACCAACCTGCAAATTAATCTGAATGTTAAGAGGCAAGCGGACTCTCGTGAGCATTGAATGTTTTTTACGTTTCCTTCGTTCCTTGGTTTTGTCTGCGGGAAGCTTTTGCTGACAACAGAAAAGTATCGTGAGTTTCAATTCTTAGACACATTTGCAGAGGCGCTAACAGTAATCCCGCCATTTGAAATCGTGGTTATTAGACCTCTTAAGATGCAACTAACTAATCACATATTTTAATACGGCTACGTTTCAGTCCAGTTTACACACGCACATATCAAGCTTAGCAAAACAATTACATTTCGTTAACAACTGGTTTGCGATTGTAAGTTATAGAGGGGACGGCTCTCATTTTCAATAGTCCCCAGAAGGAGGTTGAACATAAGTTAACCTACCGAAATCCATGTCTCACAGTTCAACATGAATCCTTATGTGGTATTGTATTTCCCTGATGAAACAAAATAAAAAGGCTGGAATTTGCAGAAACCGAATCCTTTCCTGTACAGACACACTGAGCATTTGCCGCTGAGAGTCAGTTTTAAACTGCTGTTGTGCTCAGATTGCCCAGGGCAAGACTGTGTGAGACCAAATATTGCTGCGCATTTTTTCTTTTATGGCTTTTCATGTCAGTTGCTATTGAGAGTAAGATGGATTTGTACCATTTCGCCATTATGGTTTGTGTTTTTGTTACTCCAGGTCTACCCGAAGAGGCCATTGGAAGAAGGGCGTCACGTGACACAGGGTGCCAATGTTATTCTATAAGGGTGTCAAGACCCTGTCAGTTTGCGAAATAAATATTGGGAAACAACGAGATGCAAAAAGCGACATACTACGACAGCTCTGCTATTTTCGGTGGTTACACATACCAAGCAGCAAATGGTTTTAACTATAATGCTAGTCAGCAGCAATATCCGCCTTCGTCCCATGTGGAAAGCGACTATCATCGACCTGCTTGCTCTCTGCAGTCACCTGCTAGCACTGTCCCCCATCACAAACCCAACGATATCAATGAGAGTTGCATGCGAACCAGTGCCAGCCAACCCAGTCACCCTCCAGTTATCCCAGAGCAACAGCAGAAGCAGCCACCACCTCCACCACCACCTCCACCGTCTGTCTCACCACCCCAAAATACCAGCAGCAACTCGACCCAGTCCAGCACAAGCAAGAATCCCACTCTTACCTCACAAACCACCATTTCTAAGCAAATATTCCCCTGGATGAAAGAGTCGCGCCAAAACGCCAAGCAAAAAAACAGCAGTTCCAGCTCAGGTACACCGCATCCTGTCTTAACTCTTGATTAACTAGTGAGGCGTTTCGCTATATAATGAAAAAGCTCCCAATGAAATTGCTGGAACTGGATAGTCACTGCCATATTTTCAGTGTTGTCTGAAGAACTTCAATCATTGAAGTAGTTGGAGGTTGCAATAATGGTTGAGTTGTCCAGGCAAAAATAAAACATGTATGTCAGTTACTATACATTTCATAAGAATACTTGTGGGTTATCTTCCAGCAGTCCATTCAATGAGTCCTCTGCAAAGGTAAATATTTTTTCTGTATGTATAGAAACCAACCTCCATGTGTGTATTTCCAAATAATATGCACAAGATTAATATCTGGTGTATGCAGTGTTATTTTAGGGATTTAGTGGTCTCAATAATATCTTCAACTGATCACATCATGGGTTAAATTCAGCCATTTTTCTGTCAAAAGGCATCATATATTTCACTACAATGGTTCGTATGTAGGGATTATCTTGCAGGGGTACATTTAGATGCGTTATAAATACAGAAAAATATATTTTCCAGTAACATTTTCTGTATGTATAATTTAAGTAATTTAGGAGCAAAATTCTCCAGGAAACAATTAAATATTGCAATTCTATTTCCTCAACTTTCTAAGGGCAAATCCATATCACAAACTCATATATCCAAGTCTACCCACAAAAATACACAGTAAATTCACTTTACAGTATATTCTGTGAAGTGCTTGAGATGTCTCGAAGCCATAATAAGGTGCTATATCAAATGCAATGATTATTATTATTATTATTTATATACATATATTCATGAATTATTATAGATGTGCACTATGTATCTGCACAGAATACCACATATGTATGTATTTATAAAATATACATACAAATCTCTGTGCACATATGTGTATATTACATGTATAGATAATTAATTGCCCATACAATATAGGTTTAATTCCATCAGTTTAATAATAACGTTATTATTGTTAATGAATCATAACTTTACAGTTTATACTCTGAATCACTTTGAGACGTCTCAAAGATGTGATAAGGTGCTGGATCAAATGCAAGTATTATTATTATCATTACTATCAGTGGAACACCCAAATCAAAACAGAATGCACAGTATTGATATCAGATTTGAAGCTTTTTCATTACTCAGAATTATGTACTCGGAGGTTAATTTCTTAGTTAGCTGAAATGTTATTGAAATAAATAAAATAAGCACTGGACTGACATATACAGGGCATTGAGACATTATCTTATGTAGTGATATAACTCTATTCCATATATTCATATGATATGCATAATAATTACATTCAGGCTTGAACTGCAATAAACTATAATTCTGTGAGTGCCAAAGGTGGTTGTGTGTATTTTAGAGGAAATACATGTACCTACGGAAGCACCCCCATATGATTCTAATTTTGTGTATTACAAATTCTAATCATGCTATTTACTGAGTTGGCCAATTGTTAATGAATAACATACTTGCAGATAACAGCTACCTGTACCAATGCAAAGTTGGGAATCAACTGAAACTTGTAAACGTTTAGTTATATCAGATTTGTTTGTAGTTTTTATCAGATTTTACATAAGTGGATCTAACCACAAATATTTTCTGACACATGCTTACATAAGGAAAGGCTGTGTACATTTACTTTAGTATCTTTGCATGAATTCATAAACAACATGAACAAGTTGTCAACAGATTGCAGCTAATGAGAGCTCAATGTTGGTAATCCTTTGAATAAGATTACTTGTTAATCATTGTTTACTATAATATGTAGTACAATATCTAATCAAATATTACTTTAACTCATTTGTTGATAACCTTTTTACATCCTGTGTAGCCACCATTGTGACATGGAGCAGTAGAATTTATGATGTGGGGGAGGTGCCATTAAGAGGCACTGCTTTAGTTGGGATATAGGGTTATTCAATGTCTTGTATGACTGTTTGTATATTTGCATGTATACAAATAATATATGCAAATAACCAATCAGGAAATGGAGAGAATAACTTCCATGTGTATTTTTCTACATACAATGTAAAGTTTAGATCTGGTAACTTGAGTGTTATTATACTTTTTTTTCACTTATATGTGCAGCTGATGAGATCATGGGTGGAATTGAGCCATTTTTCTGTCCAAAGCATGACACATTTTGTGGGAACTAACAGAGATATTGTGTGTTTCAGTCATGAATTTTAATAAGCGATCTTATAAGATGTGAATATTGTCAATTCAGGAATTAACTTTAAGTTTAGTTTGGCTATTTAAAAAATTAGTGATTGTGGTGAATCTCCACAATAAGAGGTGACTTTCCTAAAATTAAATTGTAACGGATAATCTTACACAATATTCTATACATCTGTATACATATTGACTAATGTAAGTACGTAGGAAAACAAATAAGAATTTGCATCTTACTTTGTGTTCTTGATAGGGAGGATTGTTCCTTAATACAGTAAGAGGCATTAAACCAATGCCAGTGCCTCTTAAGAATACAATAGCAATCACAGATGCATACAGTGAACCTGCACATGTTATTAAAATCACATTAAATTTTGGTTTTGTGCCTTGCAGTTGAAAGCTGTGCTGGTGAAAAAAGTCCTCCCGGGCCAGCCTCTAAGAGGGCACGCACAGCATATACCAGTGCCCAATTGGTGGAACTGGAGAAGGAGTTTCACTTTAATCGCTACCTTTGCAGGCCCCGGAGAGTCGAAATGGCCAACCTGTTAAACCTCACTGAAAGACAGATTAAAATCTGGTTCCAGAATCGTAGAATGAAGTACAAGAAGGATCAGAAGGCAAAAGGCATGCTAACTTCCTCTGGAGGACAGTCACCCAGCAGAAGCCCCATCCCACCACCATCTGTAGGATTATATGCAAATTCCATGCATTCCTTGGCAAGCAATGCTCCGTATGACCAACATTCACCTACGTCCTTTAACAAACCTCATCAAAACACCTATGGAATTCCTACGTCTTACCCTGCACCCCTCAACAATTGCCCACCTCCACAGAAGAGGTATGCTGGGACGGCTGCTGTGACACCCGAATATGAAACACATCCTCTTCAAGGCAATGGAGGATATGGGACTCCTCATTTACAGGGTAGCCCAGTGTATGTTGGGGGAAACTTTGTGGAATCCATGTCTAGCTCTGGGCCTTCCCTTTTCAGCTTAACCCACCTTGGTCACCCTCCTTCTGGAAACATGGACTACAGTGGTGCTGGACCAATGACCAGCAACCATCACCATGGACCTTGTGATCCACATCCTACATACACAGACCTTTCTTCACACCATCCATCTCAGGGAAGAATTCAGGAAGCCCCCAAACTGACTCATCTGTAATGGACCAGTTAGCTGTGGTGAACTATCACTTTCTCATGGGTTTATGTCATGTTACCTTCGATTCTCCCCTCCCCCACTCTTGTTTTTCTTTAGTATCAACCTCTATGGTTCATATGTAATGTTGTACCTATCGACAACCCTTGCTTGCATTGCTCTATCTCTGTTAGTGGTTGTTTATCTTCATGGACTCCAGCCTTAGCATTCATTAGTAGAAGTGAAATACTAAGGCTCACAGAACTTTGCATATAATCTTCTACTCTTATGGAACAGGGTATATGAACAAATTTTCTAAAAATTACTTAAATGTGAATTTGTTCGTGCTTTATTTTTCCTTTTGAGGAACAGTAAAATAGTTTATATTGCACTTCTTTACATTGAATGGTTAAAACAAGATCAAAGCGCTCGAACAGAGCAAATAAGAGTACTTGTACGTCTTTCAGTATGTGTGTATGCTGGTGAACATTCAAATTTATTTATTTGCTCTCGCAAAGGAGAATATTCTAAGTGTTTAAAGTATTATTTATCCCCATTGACGCATATTTATAAAGAGAACTGTACATTGACTATTTACTTGGTTCTGTTCAGCCTTGTGTTTAAGTCATGGTAAATATATGTTTGTTTGTTTTTTTAAAAAATCATGTAAAATACACAGAAAAGTAGTTTTCTTTTAGTAATGTATTCCTGGAAAATGCAACTTGGTCAATCGTGGGAATAATGCCAAGAGAAAGGACATAGTCTGTAACTGTAGTATTCTTAAAATGGAACACAAAATTGCCACAATTTTGTTTTAGGTATACATTCCATGCTGCAAATGAGATATCCATGGAACAGCTAGTTCTGACGAATAAATTTTTTTTGGTCAGCAATATGGTGTTGCTTGTGTTAACTAAAATGAGATATACGCATTTTTTCAAGCATTTGCAAGAATATAACACCATGCAGCAAGAAATAGCAAAGCACATAGCTCAGTAGTCAGTCTTCCTTTGTGTTATGTTGGCTCTGTGGTGCTTCAACCCCCGCACTGAAAGATCATCCATTATCATGTGGCTTGCAAATGTCTCCCAATGCTGCATTTATTTAGTCCAAAACGGAAAGCGACACATTTCTCCCTTGCACAAAGAATGAAACGACTCTACTGGCTTCAAATTTGTTTGTTTATTGGTTTGACCAAAGTATATGTGGTTCATAAGGATTACAGATATTACAGCGGGTGAAAATATTTCACCAGCGCTTAGAAACATTGCCATTGCCGCCTGGTTCGATTCCCAAATAATCCTGGACATGCGAAGGGAGAGAGAGAGAGAAAAAAAACGTCAGGATTCATAAATGCTTCCTTTTAAATATCCGCCCCCCATCCCCCCACCAAAAAATGCCTACTATTCATATTACAAAAACACGGGAAACGCTATAGAAATTATTTCATTGATTTTAATTGTTATACAAACTAATCACGGTTTTGCTTAGCTTTTTTTAAAGGAGAAAATTCATTATAAATAAATTCAGTTCTACGTGTTTATATTTCCATAGATGTAACGCATATCCTTCGCATCCAGTGATATAATATTAATTACGGGTGAGAAAACGTTAATGTTCTGGTCATTCGACTCTTGTGTGTTTTAATACTTTATACATTTCACATCAAATTTGCTCTTCAATATGTTCTTTAAATATTAAAATGTTTTTTGTAAAAAAAAGTCATCAATCGAAAAGTATTTTCAAGATTTCTTTTAATTCTTATATCTAGTGCTAAAAACTGTATAAATTTAGTTTTAAATCCATATGTTCCGCTCCAGCAACTGTTTTGTTTTAAAAAAATCAAAATGAACTACTCTGTTGTAAAGATAATGTGCCTTTACGCGAATTATTTATTTACCAAACAATTTTTTTTATGTTTTGCCATTAGCTGGCACGGACATTGATTCATTTATTCCAATTAGTAAACAGGCCAGGGACATAAAATATGGATGTTTAGAGGTTTTATTATTGTCCACCAAAAGTTGCTCATCGATTTTCTTTAATTGCGGGCTAAGATAAGGAAGAAAAAAGGCGTTATTTTTTCAAAAAGCTGAAGAGAATTTCCGAGTTGTAGAGTCTTAAGCGTGCAGAAAGCAGACGCCATGTCGTCGGCATGCTCACTATCAGAGCTTCCCAAAGGACAAGCTGTCCAATTTATCTTCCTCTCCAAAATACATAGGAGACTTTCTTCACTCAGCTAGCAAAGCTTTAAATGTGATACAACTCCGCTGTATATTTACCAACTGGAAGGATGTTAGCTAACAATAGAATATATACTGCACTTATATCATCCTATCCTGATTAAAAAAAATACAAATTCCGCAAGTTCAAATTGAACACAATTATTTTGGTGAGTTTTTAGGGGCCGGGGTCAACCTTTTTTTCCATGCATGTAATAAATTATATGTGCTGTAAACGACAGCATATTTTAAGGAGGTCTGTTTTTTTAGACGAGACAACGATTTCCGTGGTTTTGCAAAAAGGGTTAATAATGTAATATTAAAACCAAATCAAATTATTATGACACGCTTGCTGGGTTTCCAAATGTTTATTTCAACGAAAATGAGAGAAATTTAAAAAATATATTTCAAGTTGGAGTCAGTAAGCCTAATTATTTCAGGTTGTTTGCGAGAATATTTTGTTTTTGAAAGCACAGAATTTGGCCGTGGTGCATTCTCGGGAATATATATATATATATATAGATGTAGTTATGGATTTCTCCTCGGAATGTATGAAATATCTGTTTAGAAAATAGTGCAATGTATCCACTGAATAGTTAGTTATTTTACAACTACTTAAAATTATTAAGAGGATATTTCTCGCAAATATGGTTTGCAGATCCGAAGCATTCCCCGAACTCGGCAGGATGTTTTTTTGTTTTGTAAACCTAACAAATACCAAGGACATAAACAAAATTAACATTTTAATATGTTGAAAGACGTTACTTTCTTTTTTCACACAACAGAATTTTGTGCTTGAAACGTGGCCGCTTCTGCTTTCGCCCACATGCCCCTACACAGGCTGTGAAAATCTCTGCAACGCCAACGCCTACAAACATTTCACACACAAAAGCCCATTTAATTGCTTAAAAAAAACTCTTCAATTCGTTAGCACTAAAACCCACGACCCAAACATTAACGGGAAAAACTAGCCTTTGCCGTAACTAATACGAGACGATGTATCATAATCTGTATGAACTCACCTTCCCTGCCTTACATTTGAAAGGCGTTGGATGTACTCTGACGTTTAATAAACGATTTGTTGTAAATATTTAACCACCAAGAAGGAATCTTACTCTCTTCCTGATGCCATTTGACATTGCAGAGAGAAACCTTAAATGTGTTCTTGGGGGCCAGAAGCTGTCAGATCTTAAGGCGAACAAGATTGATCGGGGACATACTTCCTTACAGCTTTGTTTGCGGTATACGCAGAAAAGGGCCTAGAAAAGCATTACCATTTTTGAACCTTTGCCGTCTCAACAAAATCTCTGCATGTTACAGTCGTATTTGTAAAAGTGATCATGCTCAACTATTAGGATGTTTACTGGACACGCTAGGGCCACAACAAACACAAATCCATCATGCCTGCTTTTTAAAAAATGTTCCTTTATACAATTTAGACGGAAGTTGTGTTTTAAACAAAAACGAAATGTAATATTTTCAAAGCAAAGAGAGTTTACGTCTCCGTTTCTGTTATTCATGTTGTCGTTTTGTTAAAACCATTGTACTGTGATTTTTAAAATATATATATACTGTATATATATAACAGCACAATTATCACGAGCAGTTCATCGTAATGTGCTACAAATGTCAAAAAACACAAGAGAATACAATACCTTCATCTATACGCCTTTTAGGGTTTTCGGTGCTCAAAAACAAAATATCATTAAAATGTATTGTCCACAATCACCACCACAATCGGCCTCTTGTTTCAGTTATTGTCTCCATACTGTACAACAATCAAAGTATATCCAGTACTGTACAACTAAAAAAACAAATATGGGGACGGTACGCCCAACGAAAACATGAAGCAAATGGCTGTAGCCTCGCCTTGTGTAACTTCTTATGTGGCAGGGATCTGGGGTCCAGTGTCAAAACTTTGAAGATTAATGGATTACTTTGTTAATGACTCTAGGCGTCAGATTTAGGTGCTGGATGATTTGTGAGGTGCAAGTCGTCTTCGTGACAGTCGGTAACACACAGAGAAAGAGAAGCCAGCAAGTGTGCAGGAGACAGGGACAGACAGAAAGAAAGAGACAAGGCTGAGTGAACTGATTTCCATGAGCTTTAAAACAAAATCTTTTGCACATTTATTATGGGAAGATGGAACAAAAAGTGGAAATCAAAATACTGCTGGCCCAGAATGAGGCGTTCCTCTCCGACTTTTTGGATCAATCACATAGACAGTGCCTTCTTTTGATTAAACCCCAAATTGTCATTGGGCAGACGCAATCATGTGACAGCGAATTCGGTCCAATTTCAACCTTGTCTCCATGAATTCAATAGTTTAATAGTAGCACGGTCCCCATACGGCTGTAATCAGTGAATTAGAAAAAACCCAGCAGCGATATTTATTATTTTTTTACGGGCCAAAAAATAACTAACAGCTAACTTTTCCCCCCTTACGTTCTGTGAAGCCGGCAATGAATTACGAATTTGAACGAGAAATTGGTTTTATCAATAGTCAGCCGTCGCTTGCTGAGTGCCTGACATCTTTTCCCCCTGTCGGTGATACATTTCAAAGTTCATCAATCAAGAACTCGACGCTTTCACACTCGACAGTGATTCCTCCTCCTTTTGAGCAAACCATCCCTAGCCTGAATCCCAGCAGTCACCCTCGCCAAAGCCGGCCAAAACAGAGCCCAAATGGCACAAGCCCTTTACCAGCCGCGACTCTACCTCCGGAATACCCCTGGATGAAAGAGAAAAAAAACTCCAAGAAAAATCACCTACCTGCTTCTTCTGCAGCTGCAGCCTCCTGTCTTTCCCAGAAAGGTCAGCTCAAAGGCGTTTATTTAGCATTATTATGATGATTATTATTTTAAAACTAGTGCAGCTTTTTTTTCACATGTATCGCTTGTTTAATCAGTTGTATTTTTTGCAGGTTAATAATTAAGAGACTGAATCACTTTCACTGACTTATTTAATGGAGGATGATTTATTTGGCGAAGCTAGTCACAAAATGACCTTCTCTGCTCTTATCCCATCCCAGAGTTTTGATATTTGACAGTAATGAAGAGTGATAGATGAGCGCAGTTTCACGGTAAAGCGGCTGATGCAGGGATCAGAAAATGCAAAAAGACTGTTGCAAACTTTACTGCGATACTAAGCATTACTGGCAGGAATATTTTTAAAAATCTCTTTAGTATTTTCAGCAAATGTCAGACGCCACAGCCGCAGACACTGAAACAATGGGTCCACTGCATTCAGGCGGCCATTTTGTTGCAGTGGATGCTCTTATTTAATGTAATATTGTCTCAAGTGGGTTCTGAAAATAAATGTTCTTTTATTATTTATTTTATTCATAGAAACCCATGATATTCCGGACAATACAGGTGGAGGATCGCGGAGGTTAAGGACAGCTTATACTAACACACAGCTTCTGGAGCTGGAAAAAGAATTTCACTTCAACAAGTATCTGTGCAGACCCAGGCGGGTGGAGATTGCAGCTTTGCTGGACTTGACTGAAAGACAAGTGAAAGTGTGGTTTCAGAACCGGCGAATGAAGCACAAAAGACAGACCCAGTGTAAAGAAAATCAGAATAGCGACGGCAAATTTAAGAGTCTGGAGGACAGTGGTCAGACTGAAGACGACGAAGAGAAGTCACTCTTTGAGCAAGCCCTCAACAACGTTTCAGGCGCTCTCTTGGACAGGGAAGGCTACACTTTTCAAACTAATGCACTGACTCAACAGCAGGCCCAACATTTACACAATGGAGAATCCCAAAGTTTCCCAGTTTCTCCTTTACCGAGCAATGAGAAAAATCTAAAACATTTTCACCAGCAGTCACCCACTGTTCAAAACTGCCTGTCAACAATGGCCCAGAACTGTGCAGCTGGCTTAAACAATGACAGTCCAGAGGCCCTCGATGTCCCTTCTTTACAGGATTTTAACGTCTTTTCTACAGAATCCTGTTTACAGCTTTCAGATGGAGTATCTCCTAGTTTACCGGGGTCTCTCGATAGCCCTGTGGATCTTTCCGCTGACAGTTTTGACTTTTTTACGGATACTCTAACCACAATCGATTTGCAGCATTTGAACTACTAGCTGAAAAGTCGCTGTGATAGGAATATATGCCTTCTTTTAAATTCGATTTCTTTCGATTTCTTTCAAATGGTCAGTATTTTTTTTTATTTTTCTTTAATTAATTCGAACGTGTTTGAGCTCTAACTGTAGCTGCAAAAGTTTGGACTAATTTCCCGTGTTTCCAACTCTCCCATCGAGTCCTATCGGGACTTTCATAAAACCGATTGCATAGAAATCCAACAATTCCCACTTTCTCTTCTTTACTTTTGTATTCTTTAGGGCTCATTGTCATAAATAATTTGATAGAGCAAAGTATTATACGCTACAGGTAGTTTCCTGAAGCATTTTCTCTCTCAGGACTATTTTTCACTTAATAAATATCCTTTCATTTCATTTGACATCAATTCATTAATAAAAAGGAACAGTCTGGTGAGTCTCGTTCTTTTTTTCCCCATAATAGAATTTATTGAAGAAAAAAAGATGAATTTCAGATTCGTTATTGTACAACTTTACAAGGACAATAAACCTGGTTGGAAAAACTTTGATCGAACCTGTTTGTATTACAAAAAAAGAGCGCACAAGGGAAATCTTTTAATAGAAAATTAATCAAATTATCTCTCAAATTAAACGAAGTACACGATGATTCATTTTTAATATTAGCACCGTCAGAATGCGAAAATAAAGAGCAGGGAATGAAATATTACATTAATGCAGTAATTGAAAACACTTGGGAAAAAATCTTCTCAATTTTACACCGATGACGACTCGGCAAATCTACAGGAAAGAAAAAAAAGTTCAGTGTTGTTCAATTCATGTGCGCTTGCTGCTGAACAAACTCTTTTATTTATTGATGTCAGTAGCTAATCTTTAATGGTGTTACCTCTGATTCCTTATCTCGCTTACTGCCAGTCATCATCAGCAATACAGATACCCATAAGTTTCCACTGCGTTAATCGCCGACCAACCTGCTATATATTCAAACCGAAACTCGTCTGGTCTAAAACTCCTGCGTTACGACCGTTAACAACCAACAAGTCAGATCCTCTAAATTTAATTTCGATAATTGATTTTATTCAGTCTGAACGAAAACACGAGTAACTTCCTTTCCCTTTTTTTAAAAAAAAACTGAGCAACGGCGCTGGCTTTCAGACCTGTCGGGGTAGCTCTTTCACACGAAAAAAGTATGTTCAGCACAAATGTTTAATGGGGTCACAATTTCGTTTTTGAAATCGACTTCTAAAATATGATCTGAAATCTTGGCTCGTATTTTATAAAAACACCACGCATATTCTGGCTTATTATCATGTTTGCATTTGTATAAATAAAACAACAGATGTAGGAATTCGTCCCCATTGTGCACATGGTTGTTGAGGCATAAGTCGTATTTTAACTCTCCTTCAGAAACCCCAGGACTGGGTGTGAGTCTCACACAGGCTTGTAATTTTAGCCGCGGTTTCACGGTATGTTTTTGTTGCTGACTGGAACACGTTGACTGCTGCGTAAGCAGTGACAGGAACGGCTCTTGAGGTAATTCTTCCCAAACTCATAAATCAAACTGTTTTATGAATGAGAATGCCATCAAAGGGATCAATCGCAGCAACACGCACACACACACACGCACACACACACAAAAATCATCTTACGTATTCGCCTGGACTAGGGAACCCCTGTCAGCCTCTAACTTAGTAGGCGCTGAATCGTAATTCATTTTTACTGCTTATTTTCAAAGAACATTGGGGGGTTATGTTGCTACTGTTGGCAGTCACTTCGAATCGTAAGTTACTGTTCAAAGATTTATAATCGCACTGCTGCAATCGTACTGCTGTTTCTGGAATGGCGTAGCTCTTTCTTATTTTCCACATTATTTAAATATGGAAATAAATGAAAATGATTTTTACTGTGAACTCATCATTCATTTTGCATTGAGGCGTTTTATTCCTTTCATCTGTTCGGTCGGTGGTGTTCCATGAAGGCGGTACTTTCCCTCCTATTAAACTAAATCTTAAACGTAGAGAAAAATAGTGACACGTTGTCGATATCCTGTCGCTATTAAGCAAGTCTTTACAAGACATAATGACTGTGTTACCAGCAGATTCATTCTTACCAGGAAGACACAAGAAAATAGGAGAAACTAATTTTAATCTAAAGACGCACAACATCTAACGCTGCCCGCGATAGAGCTTTGATGAAGGCAACTAATACAAATAAAAGTCATTTGTGCGTTTGCAAAAATATATTTCACGAGTTATTTGGTAAAGTTCGTTATATAAATATATTGTTTAGGGGGAGGGGAAAATTAGCTGTTTTTGCATAATTAGAAATTAGGACTGCGCAACAAGCTTTGGCTTTTCGAAAACGATCCAGTCCAGGATTTATTTAGCATCCGTTTGCTCTGACCTCATTATATAAATTTTAGTCGCAGTAAATAAAAATGGCGGAAGCTATTTGTTACATCAATGTTTTCATCAATTCTAAGTTATTCGTGTGTAGAAGGATTAGAAAAGTGGACCAAAATCATCCTTAGTAGTCACACTCTCTGATCTTTTTGCTTGATATATTTTTAAAACAAATCCCACAATTCACATTGTTGTGAAGAAAAATTCCCACTGTGGCCTGAAAGGGACATGTGTCTTTTCAATGCATTACAGTTCCCTCTCAGTCTGCTTTTTGCCAGTATTAGGACAATGGGTGAATGGGTGACTTTAGTGTATGAATTGTTCGCATGGCTGGAGTTAACTGTAGTTTTACTGCGACTCAAGCGCCATGCTTTAGTGTGATGGTGTCACATTTACAGCAAAGTGCACAAATTGTTCATTCTTAGCAAAGAAGCACAGAGTGAAACATTAATTCAATGCGCCATTATTTTCCCTTTGACGAATGTGTCTTATTTTTATAAAGTCAGATTAAAAATGAAAACACTTGCATTCAAAGAGTGCGTCAAAAGCAGTAATACTTTGTAATACTTAGCGTGTTTTCGTGACAAGGCTACCCATCCCCTTAAAATATTTTAAAAATCTTCATTGTGTATAATCTTTCATTAAATCCTGCCAAGAACATGCTTTCAAATCTCCCTGGTCCTATAAACAATCTAGATTTTCCGCGTGTGGTCTCCTTTCAAGACTGCTTGTTTACAGTAGAATTATAATCCACCGTTTGTCATCATTCATTAATCGGAGTAAATTGCTGTCTGGTACTCTGAGTCACGTCACTCTGTAATGTGCAAAAGATTGATTCTAAGTCACCACCGACCCTGACTGCTGGGACAGTGCTCTACAGGAAGCTGACAGATGGGCGGCAGCGACTTTATATCGGCCACGTTTGGCTACATTGTGTTTTAGTCAAGGGAGTTATTATTCATAACTGCGCGGGAAAAAAAAGTATACAGAATCACCCTACAACTGAAATAAATAGGCTGACACCCAATATCATTTAGATAGGCTCCTCGGTCGTATGTAATCCTGTAGTTAAGGGGATGCACCCAACGGTCTGTGCTCAATCTTGGAGCCTCCTCATTTCCATGCCAATAGCTGGAAAGCTTACAACAGGCAAAGGGCAGCCCTTTGATAGGCTGCTGCCTGCATCCTTCTGACATAAGAGCACAGGGAAGATATGGCGTCCGCTTACAAGCTCACACCCTATCATACACCACTTAAATATAAATCCCGATAGATTAGTCCTATTGGTTCAATCAATCATTTTACACTTTGCTTTTTTGAGAGCCGTATTTTGAATCGCGTAGCACGGATTAGTATTTAATAGTAGGTATTAAATGCTTAAGGATTTAGTTAATCATAAGTGTTCCTTATGATTAGCTACGCCTTATCCAGACGCGAAGCAGCTCTGCAGCTTCTGTTACCTGTATGTGCTTTTTAAAAAAGTGAAGGAAGCGATCTGGCACACAATAGACCTTAACTCTTGCCGACCTACATTTCTCGAGAGTCTTGCTGAGAAAACGCCACTCACCCGAAATGCAACTGCTTCAGACGGTTTGCTCCCTAATCCACAGTGGAGGGATGATTGCACTATCACCTTTCTTACGGCTCTTAAGGTTCCGGGTGTTAAGTTTTCATCGAAAGGGTTTCCTACCTGACACTGAGAGAGAGGTTGCTGTGCGGCAGAAGTAAGGATAGTCCCCCCCACTGCAGGCAGGCGCGATCGGCGTTTTACACCAATACCAGCGCAGACCCGACCAAACAGTACGTGCATCTTGAATACATTTCTGCTGCATTCTGCCGGGCATGCTTTGAAGTATAATGCATTGGTGAGCTAATGCGCGTAACCTTGATGGAAGAGCATTTGTTATTTAAATGCCACTAAAACGGTGATCGATCACCGCCGAGATCGTGCGAACTTCGCAGGCAGCGCCGCGATTGGGCCGAACCAGGTCACGCGGGGACACTTCACTGTACATTGATATCATTTTCCTTCAGCCCCATTAAGGAAGTGGGCAAGTTGGCACGGTCCATCCAGTTGGTGGACAGTGATCACTGTGTGTGCTGGTCACTCCAGTGACACATGGACAATGCGAGGATGAACTCCTTTCTAGATTATCCCATCATTAACGGAGAAACTGGGACCTGCTCTTCCAGAGGTTACCATGCCGATCAAGGAATTACAACTTATCAGTCCTGCGCTGTTAGTACAAATAGCTGCAACGCTGACGACCGGTATATCGTGAGCAGAAGTGTTCAGATAGGCGCTCCTCCTCCTCATCACCACCACCATCATCAGTCTACCTACTCACCTCACAGCAATTTGGGCATCTCCTATGCTACCCATCCCAACTGTGGCACAGGTTACCCTGCCCAGAGTTTTAACACAGGCTACAGTCATCACTACTCATTGAACCAAGACACGGATGGCAACGGAGGGTACCCTCAGTGTGCGCCTGCTGTCTATGCTGGGAACATTGCCTCAGCTATCAGCCCACATCACCCCGGCTATGGCGGGGTGGTGGGCCCAGGTCAATATCCCCATCACCCTTACGGACAGGAGCAACAGAGCCTTGCTCCAGGCTGTCACCCTTTATCCCCCGTTCATGGCAGTCACCAAGAAACCTGTTGCTCCCCTTCAGCTGAGACCCCTCCCCTGGCACAGACTTTTGACTGGATGAAAGTGAAGAGGAATCCTCCGAAAACAGGTAAATTGATTGTGGATGTTTGTGAGGGAGAGAAATTAAAGAATGAGAGAGAATGTGAGTGTGTGAGAGAGAATTGGTATTTTTGAGGGGGAGAGAGAGAGATTACACATTTCTAATTATAAATAACCTTAAGACGAACAAAAAAGGCCACCAAATGTGTTGGAAAAGTGATAACAAGGCGCAGAAGACTGGAATGAAACAAGTTTTATCTGTTGAACGTAGTGGTGAAGGTGTTACAGCCACAGTCTCACCTTCTAGTCGTTTGCTTTGATCTTTCTTCCATTTTTCTCTAGCATTAGTCTAAGCTGCAGTAACCAGCTGTTGACAACTAACAGTTGCAGGCTGATCCTTTTAGTCCTATCTGACAAGTCATTTCCAATGTAGTAAAGAGGCTTTGATTGATTGTCAGCATAGTAACAGTAGCTTATCAAAGCATGACAGTTGTCACACTCGTACCACTTAAACCTTCATCTTACTTACCTGTCCGTGTTGTTTTTTTACTGATGTAGGAAAGGCTGGCGAGTATGGCTTTGCCGGTCAGCCTAATACGGTGAGAACCAACTTTACCACAAAGCAGCTAACCGAGCTGGAGAAGGAGTTCCACTTTAACAAGTACTTGACTCGGGCCAGGCGAGTAGAAATCGCTGCCGCCCTCCAGCTCAACGAAACCCAGGTAAAAATCTGGTTCCAGAACCGGCGTATGAAGCAGAAGAAACGGGAAAAAGAAGGTCTTATCTCAGCTTCTCCGGTTACACCGCCTGGGAATGAAGTCAATGCAGAAGACACATCTGACAAATCAAGCTCTAACTCTTCCACTCCTTCCCCATCATCGTCTACCTCAGAAACGCTGAACACCTCAGCCTGAAACATTCCTCGATATATTCAAACTGTGAAGCAGTTATACGCTTGTTGGTCATTTTAAGTTAGAAAACAATACCGTACTATGATTCCACTCCCCCACCACCACTCCCCGAGAAACAAACGAAAAAATATTTTGTTTGCAAAAAATGAATATGCTAATCTCCAAAGAAATCAAGAGATGCACTATTCCGAGTGTTTACAATAGGAAGCAACTACTGTATAGCATAGTTGTCCTATTTTAATTTAATGTGTTGCATATATATTGTAAGCTGTGCTGGTTGTATATATTTTGTCAAGAGTTTTATCTTTTTACAAGTTTTTCTAAAGATGATGCTGAAATTCAGGGTCGATGGACCCTTATATGATGTAGGTGTAGATTTTATAAACAAATTGTAATCAATTAATCAAAGTGTAAGTGAAGATTCTCCTATATTGCGGAGAATGGGGAGCTGAGTGAGTTCGGAGCTCTTCTCGCACTGTGAAAGGTCATGAGTACAGAATTTAGAGTATGCTTCATTGCACTGGGCTGTGTAACTCTTGAAGGATATTAAGAATTTGTTTCCTTTTCTCAAATAAAGTGGGAATTCTGAAGTGGGTGGTCTTTAAGACCAGCAGTAGCACATTGTTAAAATACCTCAAAACTATAATGTTTACTCCGATATCTGTTGGACTTGATGTCATGAGTCACCTGTCAATGTAATTTATAGCCAAATGTGGGTTCGTGTCTGGAATTTTGCATGATCCAATACCGATGGTGTGTATCTCCTAAATACTGAGTTTTATCAGTTTCCTTGTGTGACTATGTGTTATGTACAATCAGCACGTGATTTGAGATGGTTCTGGGATTTTCTGTGACTTAAATCCAGATCAGAATTTACGGGTCCAAATAAATTCTATTAAAAACAAGCTTTTGTTGCTATAAATCAAACCCAACTTGCACAATCATCCAACAGAGTTCGAAAACTCCCCCTACGGACACTCTGCATTTTCACGTTACACACATTGTTTATTTTAGATTCTTAGTTGATAAGAATTGGGGAGAACAAAAATCCACCAGGTTTCAAAACGTTGATTTTTATAATCATTCGATTGGGTCCATTTGGCGCTTCGGGCGAAATAAACCTACAGCAAAATATGGCAAGTGACTGTTCACAGGATAGAAAAAGGAATAACTCGAAACGTGTGTGAAATAACTTTAAATAAACAAGGTAAAAGGCAAGGCGAGTATTCCTGCACATTCCACTGCCAAGGGTTGACCTTTTCCCCTTGAATAGATCATTTACATATATGTAAACAACGCAATCTGCAAAGACAGCCATTGTCACCAACTGGTTTGCTTCGAGTTACAAGACCAACAGCTGGAACAGCCTCCAAAGGCTTTGATGAATCCACATTAATAGGGATAATAAAACGAAAAGTCAACCTATAGAATTTTTTTTAAAAAATCAGATGAAATTTGCCGTAACTTATCTTGAAATAGTTTGATCAAACATCCCAGTGACAGCCGCGTGACTAGAATATCACTGGCGTTTGCTTAAGAACCAACATGATTAGATTCAGTTTGGTGTCAATAGGAAAGTCGATGGTTTTCTGGGCACTTCGGCCCTATCAAGGGAAAGATCTGCTCTGGGGCTGCTTTCTTTTAGCGGGTTGGAGTCGATGCAAAAGAACTTCAAAAGAAACCTTCAACTTCTGATCCATTTGATGCTCCGCGTTCCCAGTATTACTTTCTGTTTATGGAAAAGTCCACAAACACGCCTGTACTCGGCAGAAAGTATTTCTTTTCACTCAAAACATAAACATATCGGTTCTTCGGAGTTTCGTAAAACTACTTCTTGCCTTAACTGTTCACGAGAAGTTTGGTGATATATTTTTACTGGTGTTGAAAACTGCACCAGTTTCAAGGTACAAAATAACCCGCCATCTGTTGCTGGTGCCTTAGGTGTGAAGTCCACTTGCTGTGGCAACCGTTTGCCTTCATCTCTGCGGCTCTGAACATGCACTTTGTCTCAAATGCAAACACGATTACAATGTCTTTATATCCACTCTTCTCATTTCTTCTCAGTTCGTAGATGGATCGACACGATTTCTCTTATTGCTGAAATCTAACAGTATGGTTATTACAATGTACATGTTATATTTAGATGAGCAACACACACTTTCTTCCGTCATCAATGGTAAATTTGGAAGCGCAAATATGTCACGATTTAAAAGGGAAAGAATTTTAAAATGATAGTAAACTGCCTAAGCAATACCTACCGTCGTCACCAGACCGCTCTATTATAATGATATCATAGGATTTTGAACACTAGTAAATGTACACCGAAGCCTTCAATTCATTAACTTGACACAATAATAATTGTAACAATCCTTGCTTTTGATATAGTGCCTTATCATGTCGTTGAGACGTCTCAAAGCGCTTATTAAATCCGCGTAGGATATATACTCGCAACCAATAAGACTGTTAATGGAAGATCACAGGAAAATAACCGAGAGTATTTTTTATCAAACGTTTAAAATGATCTGTAAATAGTTCTAACAGTCTTTTTAAAAAAAAATCTAAATCTGTGATATTCTTATTACCACTCGGCATTATGTTTCCAATTGTCCGTATGTATTATCCTGTGTATTATCAAATCGATCTAGTACCAATCCAGGCTTATCCCTTTTCGCTCTTATCAATATGGAGGGGATAGCTGGATTGCCCCCGAATAACAGGGCAATCGCCCGCATTGTTCATTCCACTGCAACATTCAACCTCTCGAATTTACCTTTTTTCCTTGTAGAAGCTCGGCTATTTTTCTCCAGGGCAATCAGATTAAAGTTGATCAATATTTACTCTGTGTGGAAAGCTGACTGAAAACCCCATAGCTAAGAAAGAGCTTCGCGCTGGCTGCTCAGCCTTGTTTAGACTCACCAGTTCATCGAAAGTTCAAGCCGAAATTAATTCAGCGATGGGTCATCTTCAAATTAGCCTTCCTGTTTTAGAGCGGTGTCAGCTCTTAAGCACAGACTCCAGACAAATCCCCTGTACAAGCTAGATTTTTTAAAGCATAATTGCCAAAAAAAATCCTCAGAATCCACACTAAAATGCAGGGTATTAAGCAAATTGTTATCCTTGTTTCGGGTCAAAGTTCATCCTATCACCGAATAAATGAATATTTAATGGTGTTTTATTGCCCCCATTCTAATGACAGGTCACGTTCTGAGTAATCTTCTCCATAAACGCTGACGTCTTAATCAATACAGGGGTTTAGTTTTATGACAGAATGGAGACACAGAAAGTCGGCTAATATTGTAGGCCTAACGAGGCTTTACTGTCAGCGTATATTGTGATACAACGACTTATTTCGTTACAGACGCCAAGTTAGAATAAAATCGCAATTACCTAACTTTAATAAGCTTTGGACAAACAAGTCTGGGCGACAGTGTAAGTTGTTCTTACGCTTCGCATCAGGGCCATCTTATGGCAGATTGCAATTGCGCTGTAATGCGGTATTTAGCTATCGCACTGTTGATAGAATCATTAAAATACTGCAGTGCGATTACGTTTCCAATTCTACAAAAGGCGTTTTGTATTACAAACTATTGTGAAGCACTTTGCTGTATAATTATGCAAAAANTGGTTGACATAAACAAGTTAAACACGCAGAGCGAGCCCGATAATATTACAGTCGAGTCTTTCCTTCAATCATATTTTGCTGACATTGATTTCAAGCTAAAACTGACTTGAAATTGCGACTGCTTTTCAATATAAAGCACTCACATATATATATATATAGTAATGGGAGAATTATAAACTTTGTAGATACTGGGAATAAAACACCTCGGTCTAAAGTAGCGGTATTAAACATAGTAGAAGTCGCCCTTTAATCCTCAGCCATCAATCGCCACCAGGCAAATACACCAGGCAAGACAGACAATCTGACAGGTTGCAGAATGGGGCGAAACAGAATATACAAATGATCGAGAGAACATTCAGGGAATATTTAGACTATTGAAAGCTAGTGTGGGTTAATTTCACTTCCAAATAAAAGTACAGAAGTAGATTTTTCAACAATTAGTCACAATAGTTGTCGATGCACTAACTAGCTGCCTGACCCGAACTGCAACTGACAACCGCAGCATACAGTTTAGCGATGTAATTACACCGGCACCAAAAGCTGTTCCCAACATGTAATCTGGATTAGCCAAGACACGACAGAGCTTACACAATTAAAATTGACATGGTTTCAATTTTTGGACGCGAAAACATCTGAAGTGTGCGAATGAGTAGGTATGACAGACGAAGCAAATAAAACTTGAAACTATTTTTGATGTTTTTTTTTCCCCCGAATGTTTCGAGCGCACTAACTAAAGTCCGGAGCTTATCTTTCTGCTCTTACAGTAACCTTTACTGAATCGGGAGGAATTAGCACCAACGCGATTCATTCATTAAACCGTATCCATCAAGGATTCTTTCTGGCCTCTTTTGAAGCATTTTTAGGATTCAGGTCGTTCGTGTCGATATGCTTGCTTAGTTTGACGGTATTTGTATGAAAACCATTCAAATATAATATCATTGCTATTTCTTATATTTCTGATTGCGTTAAGTAGCAGAATGCAGAATTGTGCGTGATTGTATTTATCTACGCGATAAGACACTAATTTGTTTCAAAATAATTAACTGACTCTACACACAAGATAAGTCGAGTTCTGACCTTTCGATAGTTTTGCCCATAAGGTTAAACAAACGTACTTCAGGTTGTGAGTACCAATTCATCATTTTAAGAGCACACCATCATTTTAGCAGTGTAGAAACCACATCCGTGAAGCTATACGCAACACTTAGTACTTGAAAACAATCCAGGAATTAACTACTGTATAACACTGTGGACGCATGGAGTCACACACCAGTATAATGACAAAAATATACTTCACATAACCACTCATAGTAATTTGGATTTTATCCAATAATTTGAAATTAAATGGTTAGGATTTTTAAATAACTCGCATGTCTTGCACTCAATACCTTGTCGATTGTCATTTTTAATCGATTAACCAGATCATCAAAACATTTCATTTTACAAGCAGGGTGATTTTAAATCTCTATGCATGTATATGGAT